GTCTTGTCAGATTACCGTCGATTTAAAAGTTTGACTTTGACATGTAACGATCAAAGACAAATTTTCAAAAACCCTTGGCCTCCTTCGATCGTGTTTTTGTTGCTCTAATTCAATTTTTTTGTAAATATTTGTCAACCTATGATAAATTAAAATCGGTTTTTCACTATGTACTCGCAAAAAATTAAAAATATACACAAAATCCTTATGCCTACAAATATGGACCTAAGAAAGGCCTACAAATATAAAATAAATTATGAGCTTTATTTTACACTAATTGGCGACGATATGAGCCACCTTTTGTACTGACTTCAAATGACTTCAAATGACTTCAATAAAAATAACAAATATTCTAGGTTATTTTAGTAATACCACTTAAAAAATTGATCGAAGGTTATTTCGACACATCTTCCCTCGCCCCTGACGTACAATACAACAAATCGCGTTTTTTGGAAAATTATAAAATTTAATACATACCTAATGGTATAGTTTTTGAAAATTGTAGACTCACTTATTTGTAATTGACACCAGTTTTCAATCGATCGAAACCAATTTAACTTTTTTTTTTTTAATTTTGAAAATTGGAAACTCACTTTTCGCGCTTATTTGAACAATTTGAATAAATGTCGCGACGGGAATTTCGGATTTGAAATTGTCAGAAAAATATCTACAAGTTGACCCCAAATTCCAATCGATTGAACCCATTTTAACCATATTTTTGGAAAAATTTTGAAAATCGTAAACTCACTTTTCATGTTTATTTAAATAGATGTCGTGATGGCGATTTTGAATTTGTAATTGGTGGAAGATTAACTACAACTTGACGGAAATTTTCTACCGATTGAACCCATTTAAATCATTTTTTTGAAAAAATTTTGAAAATTGTAAACACACTTTTCATATTTGTTTAAATAGATGTCGTGCCGGCGATTTCAAGTCTCTAATTGGTGGAAGTGTATCTACAATTTGACACCAATTTTCAATCGATTGATCCAATTTTAACCATTTTTTCGGGAAAAATTTTGAAAATTCTAAACCCACCTTTCATCTTTATTGATATAGATGTCGTGACGGTGATTTCAGATTAGTAATTAGCGAAGATTTTCAACAATTTGACAGCACTTTTCAGTCGGTTGAACCCATTTTAACCATGTGTTTGGAAAAATTTATAAAATTATACACTCACTTTTGACATTTGTTTATATAGATCTTCTGACGAGGATTTCGGATTTATAATTGCCAAAATATTTTCTACAATTTGACACCAATTTTCAGTCGCTTGGACCCATTTTAACCACTTTTTTTCGAAAAATTTTAAAAATTATAAACTTACTTTTCACGTTTTTTTAAATAGATGTTGTGATAGGGATTTCGGATTTATAATTGCCAAAAGATTTTCTACAATTTGACACCAATTTTCAATCGATTGAAACCAATTTAACCTTTTTTTTTTTGGAAAAATTTTGAAAATTGGAAACTAACTTTTCGCGCTTATTTGAATAATTTGAATAAATGTCGCGACGGGAATTTCGAATTTGAAATTGGCAGAAGATTATCTACAAGTTGACCCCAAATTCCCATCGATTGAACCCCTTCTACCCATTTTTTTGGAAAAATTTTGAAAATCGGAAACTCACTTTTCACGTTTATTTAAACACATGTCGTGCTGGTGATTTTTTATTTGTAATTGGCGGACGATTATCTACAATTTGACATCAATTTGCAGTCAATTGAACCCACTTTAACCATTTTTTTGGAAACATTTTTAAAATTGTAAACGCACTTTTCACATTTGTTTGAACAGATGTCATGCCGGCGATCTAAAGTATCTAATTGGTGATCATCCACAATTTGACACCAATTTTCAATCATTTGGTCCAATTTTAACTATTTTTTTGAAGAAATTTTGAAAATTCCAAAGCCACCTATTTTTCTTTATTGATAGAGATATCGTGATAATTATTTCGGATTTCTAATTAGCGAATGATTTTCTACAATTTGACAGCAATTTTCAGTCAATTGAACCCACTTTAACCATTTTTTTGGAAACATTTTGAAAATTGCAAACACACTTTTCACGTTTGTTTGAACAAATGTCATGCCGGCGATCTAAAGTTTCTAATTGGTGATCATCCACAATTTGACACCAATTTTCAATCATTTGGTCCAATATTAACTATTTTTTTGGAGAAATTTTGAAAATTCTAAATCCACCTATTTTTCTTTATTGATACAGATATCGTGATAATTATTTCGAATTTCTAATTAGCGAAGGATTTTCTACAATTTGACAGCAATTTTCAGTCAATTGAACCCACTTCAACCATTTTTTTGGAAAAATTTTGAAAATTGGAAACACACTTTTCACGTTTGTTTGAACAGATGTCATGCCGGCGATCTAAAGTTTCTAATTGGTGATCATCCACAGTTTGACACCAATTTTCAATCGTTTGATCCAATTTTAACCATTTTTTGGAAAAACTTTGAAAATTCTGAAGCCACCTTTTTTTCTTTATTGATACAGGTGTCGTGATAATTATTTCGGATTTGTAATTAGCGAAAGACTTTCTACAATTTGACAGCAATTTTCCGTCAATTGGACCCATTTTAACCATTTTTTTTTTTTGGAAAAATGTTGAAAATTTTACACCCACATTTCATGTTTTAATTGAATAGATGTTCTGACGAGGACTTCGGATTTGTAATTGGTGGAACATTTTCTACAATTTGACACCAATTTTCAGTCGCTTGGACACATTTTAACCACTTTTTTTCGAAAATTTTTGAAAATTATAGACTTACTTTTCACGTTTTTTTAAATAGATGTTGTGATAGGGATTTCGGATTTGTAATTGGTGGAAGACCATCGACAATTTCACACCAATTTTCAGTCAATTGAACCCATTTTAACCATTTTTTGGAAAAATTTTGTTAATTATAAAATCACTTTTCACGTTTATTAGAATTTTGGATTTGTAATTGGTGGAAAATTATCCACAATTTGATAGCAATTTTCAGTCGATTGAACCTATTTTAACCATTTTTTGGAAAAATTTTGAAAATTATACACACACTTTTCACGTTTCATTGAATAGATGTAGTGCCGACGATTTCAAGGTTCTCATTGGTGCAAGTGTATCTATAATTTGACGCCAATTTTCAGTCGATTGAACTAATTTTTACCATTTTTTTTTTTTTGAAAAATTTTGAAAATTCTAAACCCACTTTTCATCTTTATTGATATAGATGTCGTGACGGTGATTTCGTATTTGTAATTAGTGAAAGATTTTCTACAATTTGACAGCAATTTTCAGTCGATTGAACCCAAAAAAATTTGCTTAAGTAATAAGCCATGAAATTTATTTTTAAAGTGATGATGGTTGGCAACACCAACGCGTTCCTTGTTCGGTTTGTTTGACAGTTACCGTCAAATAACTGTCGATTAAATGTCAAATAGCTGCATTGCCAACCTCATTATTTTAAAAATAAATTTTATGATCTACTAGAGGACCTAATGTCGATGATCAGGTATATAACGGGCGGTCAAAAATTTTTCAGACCGAGTCAGGCTATGGAAACATTTTCATTTCTTTGATTAACAACTAAAAATTTTTGTTTCTATAGTATGGAAGCTTTTTGGTCAACTATTATTAATTTCTGTTCAATAGACGACGGCAGATGGAAACGGCCCTACTTTTTCCAATTTCAGGAGCTTAGAAACATAAGATTAGCCTTTCATAAATGGAATCAGACTTGAAAAATTTGTGTGGACTTTTTTGTCGTGATTTAAATCAATCAAAAGAGATTTTATCGAAAGAAATCAATGTATTAATATAAAAACTCTCCAATTTCTAAGATATTAGCCAAAAAGGCATCCCAGACTTGAAAAAATAGTTGTATTTTGAAATTTAAATTGTCCCAGTCATTACAATCGAGTAGATTTGAATCTATCATTATTTTCCTGAAGCGCTTAATTATGCAACCATAAATACACGTACAGGGTAATAATATCCAATGAACGCATATCAAAACTCATGCTCCAATTTAATATGTGTAAATGTATCAATAAAATGAAGTAATTAAAATTGAAATTGAAAGCTGAATTTAAGAAAAACAAAAAATGTATCAAGTGGTGCAAAGAAAATGACATAAGCGAATTTCCAAATTAAATCAGAAATGATAAAAGCCTCCACACAATAATGTATTCGATTTTAAAAAGTAAGTAATGGGTTTAGTTCTTACCTGCAGATGTTTAGTTTATATTTTCTTGTTGCACAATTCAATAAATACGTTGTTGTCTTGTGGTTATTATAATTCTACGCCAACAGTCTGAATAAAATCACTAAATAAAGTTTAAACGGTTTTTTAATTAACAAGAACTATGTACTAGCAAACAATAACGTAATAACTGTCAATAGTGTCATGTGTCAAATTGCTACCAACCCAATTTATTTTTTCAAAACTTATTAATTTGTATTTTGCAGCACTAAGGTTTTTTTCATTGCTATTTCGGCACCCAAGTGTCAACGTAAAATGTCAATTATAACTAGCACAAAAACAGATTTTTTTCTGTAGATAATAAAAAAAAAATAGTTAACATTCTCGGCTGTGTGGTCTTTCAGACGACACGGATTGCTCAGCAAGATCTCCATACGATAAAACTTATCAATAATCGCACGCACTTTCCTTTAACATGTTTCAAAATACTGCCATATGCTTCGAATTTCATAACTGTATTGCGTGACATGAATCTATACATTTAAAGAAGTTTAAAAATTTACTCCGTATTAGTCAAATCTGCTTATTAAACCTTCAATGGTGTCTACAAGAAGATGGTACCCATGGTAATTACTTTACGGCTTCCTTGATACCATGACCCCCTTGTGAATCACATTACAACTTATCGAACTATAAGAGTTGAGCAATTAATTATTTGTTGCTGCACAACAACAAATGTTTATGTGTGCACAATAAAATAAACAACACTATTCTGTTTTTTCCAGGACCAAAACCCCTGCGGCTAGAGATAGTACCCCGAAACGAAAGCCGTAAACGACTGAGATTAATATGTAGAGTTCGAGGGTTCCCCATTCCCTTAATCACATGGAAGGTGAACGACACCATCCTCCTCCCAAATAACCGAACACGGATCACACAGAAAAAGTAGGTAAAGTTTGCCCACACCTCGACCTCGTACCATTTTTCGTCCACACTTTTCCAAAAACCCAGAAGGCACGAAAAATGGAACGAATACCACGCTTAAAACCACAAATCACAAATCCAAATTCTAATTGGCACTTTTGTTCTATTTCCGCTCACTTCAGTGATGGAAAAGAGAGGTAAGTCGATATTTATTGAAAAATCACCGAAATCACTGCCAGCATTTGAAGCATGCGGCACGCTTTTGGCTTGTATGTATTTATATAAATGGTAAACTGATTATCGCTGGTCGCAACTTTTACAACGCATTGTACATAGCATAAATTGAATGTCTTAAGGAGGGTTCACACGGCACATGCTGGCCCGTCGAGTCATAAATTCTTAATCAGTCATTTAATGAAAACGAGCATGCGCATGTCAGTAAAATTTATGACTACACGAACCACTGCAGGTCGTTAATTCGATATTTGCAAGATCCATCGAAATTTGCCACCTTTACATATTTCTCTAATTTTATTGTTTATTGATTGTTTTTTTTTTCTAATTGTAGAAGAAAGAGTACGCTAGTGATACGCAACTTAACGGAGGCGGACTACGGCCGGTACCGGTGTGTGGCTCGCAGTGTGGATAAGAAGAGTTCTCACGTCGACCGTACGATAGGTCCCAAAACGATGAGCAAACCCAAAGTGACGACGACGACAAACAGACCCAAACCTGGTATCAATTCAACTGTTTCAGATAGTGATAGTGAGTCACTTAAGTTTAGGGGGTTCCAAGTGCACCGCACACGGATCGTAGGCGGCGTAGCGCGTCGCGCATGCGCGCCACTAACCCCAGTCGACTTGATTTAGCGAATGCGCGACGTCTACGAGGTCTACGGTCGCTGCTACGTTGGTATGATGCACGTGGAACTCGGTGCAGGGCGGAAGCTACTCTTGTCATTTTTGTAGATTTGAACTGACTTGGTTTTTCGAGAAAGAGCTTTTAGAGTCAAATTTTTGGTTTGTGAAGAATATTGGAGTCTGCGATATGCCCAAGCTTTTCTAAAATTACTAACATTTCAAGAGCTGTAGTTGCCACCGACTGATTTAAGTTGACTTTAGTTTTAGTTGTTCACTTGGTGCATCCATTATGTTTGTGTAGTTAAAAAAATTACAAGATTCACATTTTCCGTAAATTCCTTGTCCTCGGAATTGTGTACTTTGGCTAAACTGCACAAATTCAAACGGCGCCTAAAATTCGCTTCGCATTGTATCGTTGGCACCACCGGGGGTCCTCAAAGTGTGCCAACGTACGAAACTGCAAATGCGCTATGATGAAATATTTGGGAATATGAACGGTCAAGCGCCACTCGTATTACACAATACTATTGGCACTTTGACAGCACGCATACACACAAACATAATCGGGCATCCTCATGCCAAAATCATTATTTCCTAACATTAGGTCACCTAACACCGTTTTTATGTAATCGCGAAAATCATCAAGTGGTCGCCAGTCCTAAGTCCGTTTTCTCGTTTTCCAGGGAAGCCCTGCGACTTCCCGATGAATAGAGACTTCTGCTTAAATGGAGGCACTTGTTTTTTTACGCAGAGCATGGTAGAATATTCGTGTGAGTAAGTATCTTTAATTCCTTTATTTTTAGGTTCGACTGTCCTAATATTAATTAAGAAGACGTGTACCGACTGTTTTCGTAGGGTGCTGCTATTTTAAATGTCCCAGCCGGCTCGAATTACCCTAACTGTGGCTTCAAAAGTGTAAAAAGGCTATTTCCGGAGGTAACATCCACGAGTGCGTGGAAATGTAAGAGTCAATAGGGCGAATTCAGTTTTTACGAAGAGCTATATTCGATTTTTGACCAAACTCGTGACGTCAAAAGGAAATTTAATTTGACGTGATGCCTACTAATTTCGTCCCCAATAACATTATTTTTGACAAATAGTTTAAAAATTAGCTGTTAAACGGTGTGTTCATAACACTTAAGAGTACTTCCAAAATTAGACACAATATCACATCTAAATCTACATATCTGAAACCAATATCTTTGAAGATTCTGACCAATTGTACCTAAGTAAGTGAAGAAATGGAACCTCAATATTGTCTCCTTTTTGGAATCTGAGACGATTTAGGTCCACTTGGGTGTGTTCAGGAGACCCAAAATGCTCAGGTCTGGTCAAATTTGACCGCTTCCTGACATTTGGAAACGTCAAAAAAACACAGTTTCAAGCACTGCTCAATGGAAAACCAGATGTTTTTGACTTAGAAACTAAATATGATACCCATTTGTCAAAAGTGTCGAAAAAATTCAAGATTTTTTATCAGGTTGGCAAAACTGTAAACTGACATATTAGCGTTGTTGCCAATAATTTAGAATTGCCAACACAAAAGGTTGCTTCAATCACTAAGTCAGTAGATACTTCACGATCTTTAAATAAAACAACTAAACGTTAAAATGTTGAAGAATCTTTGTCACAAATGAGAAACACACTGTTAATATTTTGGAAAGGCTTAATGTGAAAAATATATTCCGAAATTAATAAATTTGTGTAAATTTTCCAGCTGAGTTTACAAAAATTAAAGCAAGGTTATTTTTCTTTAATTTTGTTTAAAATTAAATATTTTGCAATTGCATAAATTAGAAATTAAAAAAAGTTAAAGCCCAAAGTTGTACGGTTTTTTTGAGGACTATATTCTAATTTTTAACACCTTCTTTCAATTTTCTTAAATTTTTTTGCAATGGAAGGGTTCAAAAAAAAGATCACAGTAACATTGTTTTTAAAATCTGAGTCACAACATTTTGTGGAGAGATAAACAAAGGTACGCGTTTTGTTGTGGTAAACAAAAGATTACATGTTCATGTACAGAGTGTTTACAAAAAATGTTTTCATTATTAGAATTTTCAAGTATCGAAATTTCAGTTTGTTCAAATAGAACACCCTATATTTTATTACTGCATCTTAATCTATGTGTTGTTCTTTCTTTTTTCTGAATATTTTCTATATTTAAAATTGATAGTTACTGCGATTTTTTATTTTTTAAGAGACACCCCCCGACCTTCTGTCGCTTGAAATAAAAAAAAAGTCGTCTACGGCAAAACTAGCAAAAAATATTGCCGGCAGTTAGAATTTAATCTACTTGTTCTAAATTTCAAGCTTTTACATTTTCAAATACCTGAGATACCAACCTGAGAAAATTGTAAAGTTACAAAATTATGTTGGCAACAACATTGCGATCCTTGTTCAGTTTCACGGTCATATAACTGTCAAATATCTGCAATACCTACATTATTATTTTAAAAATAAATTCCATGGCCTACTAGACGGCTTTTTTCATTACCTTTAACCCACTTAAAAACTATTTAATTCAGGTCATTGATCACAATCATTTCAGTTATTGCAATACATTGATGCTTGTTATTATTCTTATCCAATAGGATTTAATTTTTTAAACTCATTTAGACTTGTGCGCAATTAGGATGTACTATCCCCGCCCACCCGCCCTCTATTTTCTTAGAGGGTATATTATTTGCCAAAATCAGTCTTATCCTAGCAAGTACTAGCCCCGCCCACCCACCCTTTATTTTCTTAGAAGATGTCATATGCCAAAATCAGTGTCATCTGAGCCTATACTAACCCCGCCCACCCGCCCTCTATTTTCTCAGATGGTATGACATTTGCCAAAATCAGTCTTATCTTAGCAAGTACTAGCCCCACCCACCCGCCCTTTATTTTCTTAGACGATGTCATATGCCAAAATTAGTTTTATCTTAGCCTATATTAACCCCGCCCACCCGCCCTCTATTTTCTTAAATGGTATAACATTTGCTAAATCGGGCTATCTTAGCACATACTTCCTCCTTTTATTTGAAAAAAAAAATCATGTCTTTTCCGAAAAAAACAAAGTTAATTAATACTAAAAAAAGATTGATTAGCTTCTAAATTTCAAACTTCTGTCTTTTCGAATGACTGAAATATTGAACTGTAAGTAATTTTGGCATCTTACTTCCAAAATTGAGCGAAAAACCCTGTAAAATGACATGAGGAATAAATAATACTAGTAGGCCACGAAATTTATTTTTAAAATAATGATGTTCGCAACACCAACGCGTCCCCGGTTTAGTTGGACAGATACGGTCAAATAACTGTCAAATAAAGTGTGTCAAATAAAGTGTCAAATAACTGCAATGCCAACATCATTATTTTAAAAATAAATTTCGTGGGCCACTACACACCTTTTTTTTTCATTGGTATGGTAGGTATGTTATGAAATCTTCAATAGAAAATTAATTAAACGAATATTTTCTTCAATTTCCTTTGAACTATTGCATTGAAAAGTAGCGGGCGATTTATTAATGTCTGTGATTTTTTTGTCAAGTTGGCAACATATTTAAAATTTTATTATGACATACCTAATTGTCAGATTACTATTTACGATGCCAAGTCATCTTCTTGATACGTTTGTTAGGCCCGCTCTTGTCAAAACTGACATATTAGCATTGCTGCCAATAATTCAGAATTGCCAACGCAAAAAGTTGCTTCAGTCATTAAGTTACTCGGTACTTTAAGATCTTTAAATAAAACAACTAAACTAAACGGAATGTCAAAGAAACTGTCAAAAATGAGAAACACCCTGTTAATAATTTGGAAGGCTTAATGTAAAAAATCTATTCCGAAATTAATAAATCTGTGTAAATTTTCCAGCTGCATTTGCAAAAATTAAAACACTTTTCTTTGAATTTAAAAAATCAAAGCAATTCGATAAACAAAATAATAAATTTATACAGGGTGAGTCACTAAGCGCACGTTGCATAATTATTAGAAATAAAAATAGTCAAAGGCCAAAGTTGTATGGTTCATTAAGCACTATACTCTAAAATAATTTTTAACTATACACAATGTTGTTTTTAAGGGACTTGTTTTTTTTAATTGACCTCCTCTTAACCACAACTACACTTTATTTTTTAAATTACGATGCGATGTTGCCACGTTATATCAATGTTCTTGAAATTTTTTAGCAAAGGAAGAGTTCACAAAAAAAAGAATTTCAGTTTTTTCAAATAGAACACCCTATATTTTATTACTGCATCTTATTCTATTTTTTGTTCTGTTTATTTTTTGCGGAGTATATTTAAAGTTGATACTTACTGCGATTTTTTACTTTTTAAGAGACACATCGACAACAAAATGGCTTCCAAAACCTACTTTTTCTAGCTTGAAATAAAAAAAAAGTCATCTACAGCAAAACCAACAAGAAATATTGCCAACAGTTCATTGTTCCAAATTTCAAGCTTTCATGTATTCAAATAGCTGGAATACCAACCTGAGAACATTTTAATTACAAAATTATGTTGGTAACACTACTGCGATCCTTGTTCAGTTTCACGCAGAGATATGTAAAAGACAGATGCGGTTATAGCTTTCCCTATCTAGGGCCAACATCTATGATCTAAGAGTAGCAATACTTTGTATCGCCTATCCTTTTCTATATCAGCACCAGTACTATGGATTGCCAACTGTAGGCTACATCGATCACTCTCTAAAAGGTGGTTGTCTTGTTATTGGCCCGTTCTGATGGCGGCAATTATAAATAATCATAACCACCCACAGTCTGAGTGGTCTGACAGGGACCGGCACAAACACAAGAACGGTATCAACGACAAACGTTGCGCCAACTCTGATTGGATGCGCCGTACAGAGCGAGACCTTCAGATATCCGGTTACCATTATACGTGCTAGAGAAAAAGAGGGAGATATAAACGTACAGTGACATTTTGGCCCTAAACGTATGTCCACGAGAACATTAAATATCTGTATCTAGTCTTTTACATATCTCTGGTTTCACGATCACATAACTGTCAAATAAAGCGTCAAATAGCTGCAATACCAACATAATTACTTTAAAAATAAATTCCATTACCTACTAGACGGTTTTTTTCAATCATATGATATTAGAAAAGTTCTGGTAAACAGAGACTTAAACAAAAAAAAGTACATTATTATTTACCCACTTAAAAACCATACTTCCTTCAATTTGGAAAAAAAGTTGATGTCTTTTCCGAAAAACCCAAAGCTAATTAATACTAATAAAAGATTCCTTGATGTTAATTAGCCCTTCTAAATTTCATCAAACTTCTATCTTTTCGAATGACTAAAATATTAAAAGTACCATAGGATCGAACAAAAAAGTAGTGAAGTATGCCATGAAATTAATTTTTAAAATAATGATGTTGGCAACACCAACGCGTTCCCTGTTTAGTTTGACAGGTACGGTCAAATAACTGTCAAATATAGTGTCAATTCCAACATCATTATTTTAAAAATAAATTTTGTGGCCCACTACACCACTTTTTTTTCAATCGTATGGTATGTTATGAAATTTTCCAATAAAAATTAATTAAACGAATATTCAACGACTCATATCCTTTGAATAATTGCGTCAGGTAAATTAGTGAAAAAAAGATTTCATATATAGAATGGAAATACTATGAGAAGAACATATGTATTTTTTTAATGTATATTTCTTTATGAGTTGATAAAGGTGAAGACTGTTGTTAACACTACCACTAGCACAGTCCTTAAATTCGCAAATGGACCCATCCTGAAACTTTTACGTCTACTGGAACAATTATTGTGTTCTTCTTGAAGTATTTCCACTACTCTACAACAAGTATATCAAATTTTAGGCGGGAATTTCAAATTTTGGTAATTTCCCTACAAGTGATACTTTATTTAATTAATAGACCTTGGTTTGTCGGTGATAACGGGAATAGTGTTTAAAATGTTGATGTTTATACATCGGAAGAATGTCACGTAGGCACTCGATTGATTTGAATGAGTTTACCACCTCAAAACAGATAACTAAAATTATTCAGAAGCCTGAAATGAACAAAATATTGTGAATGTTATTATTATAATTCTCACTAAATTGACTGATCCATTAAGAGTCACCCTGTATAAGCAAATCTCTATGTTTAAAATGTTCGCAGTTAATTTTAAGTGTTATTTTTTATGAATTTGAAAAAGTCATGGAGATTTTTTCATAAATTATTTAAAACAAAATTTGGCAAACTTTGGAGTACAATCATTGGAAAATTCTGACCTGACCTATTTGGGACACCGTTTTTTTTTTTGAAAAATTTACAACAATCGTGAGGTTCTAGGTATTCCTGTTTGGAAAAATTTGAAAGTGCTTTGGAGCTTCTAGTGTCTTTTCTTATACTAATTTAAATAAATTTCTTAGGAGATACGTTATTTGCTACAATCAGTTTTATCTTAGCAGGTACTAGCCCCGCCCACCCACCCTCTCTTTTCTTAGAGGCTATCTCATTTGCCAAAATCACTCTTATCTCAGCAGGAACTAGCCCCGCCCACCCGCCCTCTATTTTTTGGGGGGATCTCATTTGCCAAAATCAGTCATCCTAGAAGATACTAGCCCCGCCCACCCACCCTCTTTTCTCTTAGAGGGTATGTGATTTGCCAAAATCAGTCTTATCCTAACTAGCAGCTGCTAAAATAAAACTGATTTTGGCAAATGGTATATCCTCTAAGAAAAGAGAAGGTGGGTGGATCAAGTGATTGATAAGATAAGAGTGATTTTGGCAGATGAGATACCTTCTAAGAAAAGTGAGGGTGGGTGGGCGGGGTTAGTATCTCCTAGAATAAGACTGATTTTGGCAAATGACATATCCTCTAAGAAAAGAGGGTTGGTGGGCCGGGTTAGTACCAGCTAAAATAAAATCAATTGTGGCAAATGGCATACCCTCTAAAAAAAGACAGGGTGGGTGGGCGGGGCTCATTTGACAAAATCAGTCTTATCCTAGAAGATACTAGCCCCGCCCACCCACCCTCTCTTTTCTTAGAAGATATCTCATTCGCCAAAATCAGTCTTATCATAGAAGATACTAGCCCGGCCCACCCACCCTCTCTTTGCTTAGAAGGTATCTCATCTCCCAAAATCAGGTCTTATCGTAAAAGATACTATTTAAAAATCTTGTTCAGAAACGCTATATATATATTTTGAATCAGCACGTCGAGATATAAATCACTGAATTTTGTACGGATTTTGAGGCACGTTTTCCAAAAGCTCAATTTTTCGATAGTCCTTTAGAAAGTTTCGATGATTTTTCGACCACCTTCTAAAAAGCTTCAAAGAATGTTTTTTTTTGAAGAGTTCCCCCAGAAGCTATTTTTAACTTCGCTTTTTGAAAATGTCTATTATTTTACCAAAATCAGTAATAAGAAACACGCCAGTTTTTAGGATTTTTAGAAAATTTGAGTCTCGAACCGAATTTTGGAAAATCTTGCCTTCAGACGCTACACTACAGAATTTTTTTAGGATTTTTAAGCCTTGTGTTCCAAAAGCTCAATTGATTTGATCTTACGAACTTTTTGATCATTTTTCCACTATTTTCGAAAAAAACTGAAATAGATTTCTTTTGTAGATTTCGACCTCCACAACCTATTTTTCAGCTATTTCGTCGAAAAAATTCCTATAATTTTTCCAAAGTCACCAGTATGAATAGTGTCTATATATTTAGGATTTTTAGAAAGTTTTACTTTCAAACCTAATACTTATTTAAAAATCTTGCTCTGGAACGTTATATATTTTGAATGAGCACGTCGAGATCTAAATCACTGAATTTTTGAGGGATTTTTAAGCAACTTTTTCAAAATCTCAATTTTTCGATACCCTTTTAAGGAATTTTAGATTATTTTTCGACCACCTGCGAAAAAACTTAGAAGAACTTTTTTGTAGATTTCGACCTCCAACAAAATGTTTATTTTAAATACGTTTCGTAGAAAAAATCCTGCAGTTCAATAGACATTTTACATTTATTACTTCCCGAGCGTAAGCAAAGGAAGTATTGTAATCGAGTCCGTCGGCCGACTCTCTACTTTTACGTTTTCTCGATCTTTCATGACCCCTAGAAGACGAAGAAATAGGTCTCCCATTTCCGTCTGTCTGTCCGTCCGTCTGTCCGTCCGTCTGTCCGTCCGTCTGTCCGTCCGTCTGTCCGTCTGTTGTCCCGGATTTTATTAGACAGATAATCTCCGAAAGTACTCGACCGATTGTTGTGAAATTTTGTACTTATATTAAGAATATCATGTAGATGGTAAAACGCTAACCAAAATTTGTCTAATCATCCCCACCACTAATGCGATGACGTCACTTCAAAATTGTACATAGTAAATGGGTTTTCAATTGTATAAAATAACATAGTCCTACACATGTAGTTTACAACTCTGAATCGACTTTTCACCCGAAACGTCCAGATTTTTGGAAAAAAAATCAAAATTATAAAACAACATTTTGAAATTTCATTTTTAATCTGCTAACCAGAATGCTTTGAAATGTTGCAGATGTTTTAAGGCTATAAAGAGCATCATAAATCTTTAGTCAAAAAATATTTGCTTATCCCCTCCAAAAACTTGATGACGTCAGCTCAAAAGTTTGTGGAATAAATCATATCTAAAATGTACAAAATATGATGAGTCTGTACTTGTGATCTATCACTCCATTCATATTTTTTGGATTTGCATATACAGGGTGACTCAAAAAAATTAATGAATGCGTAAATATATTTTATTGATTTAATCAGGAACTACAAAACCGAATGCTCTGAAATCTTGCAGATGTTTTAAGGTCATAAAGAGCATAATAAATGTTTAGTCAAAATATATTTGCTTATCCCCTCCAAAAACTTGATGACGTCAGCTCGAAAGTTTGCCGAATAAATCATATCTAAAATGTACAAAATATGATGAGCCTGTACTTGTCATTTATCACTCCATTCATATTTTTTGGATTTGCATATACAGAGTGACTCAAAAAAATTAATGAATGCGTAAATATATTTTATTGATTTAATCAGGAACTACAAAACGGAATGCTCTGACATCTTGCAGATGTTTTAAGGTTATAAAGAGCATAATAAATGTTTAGTCAAAATATATTTGCTTATCCCCTCCAAAAACTTGATGACGTCAACTCAAAAGTTTGCCGAATAAATCGTATCTAAAATGTACAAAATATGATGAGTCTGTACTTGTGATCTATCACTCCATTCATATTTTTTGGATCTGAATGTACAGGGTGACTCAAAAAAATTAATGAATGCGTAAATTTATTTTATTGATTTACTCAGGAACTACAAAACCGAATTCTTTGAAATCCACTGCGAAAAAAAAACATAATAGGCATACAGTCGTCACGTTTTCGACAGCGAGGGAAGTACTGTCTAAACTCTTTAGACCAATTTTTTTTGTTTTTTTTGTTTTTTTTTTTAGTGTACGTGATGTTCGTCTCCAGTAGCGACAAAATTTTTGATTTATTACTGCCACTTTTCCCACTAGTGACACAAGTCAAAGTGGTAGGAAATTAAAAAAAAAATTGGGTTGGCAATTCTGATTATTGGCAGCAATGTTAACATGTCAGTTCACGGCTTGCCAACCTGAAAAAAAATTCGCAGTCAGTGGGGGTACTACGAAAAATCAAAGTACTAAAAAAAATCACCCAAAAATAGTAGAAATAATAAAATTTATGAAAGTTGCGGAAGACGTCGTCGGAGGAAGCTAATCCAATGTTGTCAAAAAATGTGTCTAAAGTGTTTTTTCTCTTTCCAGGTGTCCCAACGGCTTCGTGGGCCAAAAATGTGAAACAAAAACGTCCGATCAACTTAGTACGTATCATCACACCCCTCTTTCCACTTGTAAAGTAGGCCTCTTTACGAAATACGATAAATGTTAGAAACTATTCCTTTTTTACTCGGTTCAAGTTCAGTGGTGGACTTTGCACGCACACGAGTACGGAGAAATTGTTTAGTGTATCTGAATAACATCGACACTGTAAAAATAACTTGTTACCGTTGTACATACAGACATTTAGAGAAAAATCCACATGAACTGTATATTTGTAAACTATCCTACTGTATAAGACTGTTAAATCGTACGTTTTGTTTCATTGGACAGTCACATGAGTATAATATAGAATTAACTTTATACCTGACATCGAATTCGTTTTTTTAACGTTGCAATCGAAAAATTCGATTTGGATTTCAGGTAAAAGGCGATGTACCTATAAATATCAGGGACCGACATTTTACTTAATTTTTTGTATAAAGTCATGTAGATATATTTATTTATTACATCTATACTCACAACAAAGTCTTTAAAACTTTATTACAAATTCTAAAAAAATGAAATAAAAAAATAGTTGTAAAACTTATTAATAAACAATGAAAAAAATTCCGCCGTCTTTTATTGCTATTGGTTTGTTCACCCTAATCTGGTACGTTAGTTGGGAATAAAGGATGCTCTAATGGATTTAAAATTTGTTTTATAGGTATGTAAAAAGTTTTGCCTGCTCTTTATTACTGTACTATTTTTACTACGTATTTGTGATTAACCATTCTTTAATAACTTTATTACTAATAACACTCTCGAAACGTAATCGACTCTCTAGATTTGTTGTGAGTTTCAGATGTCTCTACTAAACTATTGCATGTCCCTTTTAGAAGTACGTTAACATTTCGTAGTAACCAAATTTTCACGAAACATCGAGGTGCCTAGCACCTCCTTGTTCTATCACTGACCAACTCTGAACTACACCACACTAAACTAAAAACGATAGAAATCTCAAAATTACGATAACCCTCTCTCTCGCCCAATCAACACTTTAACTTTTTATGTTTCAGGCGAGCAAGTTAATTAGAAAATTCTTTCTAAAAATAACCGTTGCTCGATTGGTAAGAAGTGTTTGTTGGCATGCACATTTCTTTACACTAACTCAAAAGTAGTTTAGGGGTGTGCAGTGGAAATAACCCCACGTTCCGACCGCTTTAAATAACGCCGTGCTTTGTTTCAGTACACTGAGAAGAAAATTCGTATTTGGAGTAAGAGTCAAAAGGCTGGATTAAGAACAAAGAGAACTACCCCATACCAAAGAAACTTGCATTAGACTAAAGAAGGATGTAGATACTCAGTTTATTTATTCGACGGTGGGAGAACAACGCACAATAACTTGTAGTACTCTATGTGTAACATTTTTTTTTGTTGGCAACAAAATGTTATGTAAATCTCAATGTTGTTAAAGATACTCGCATATTGTGATAACGATAAATGGCGCTACTAGTTATTGACATTTTTATTGAAACTAAAGTATATTATATAAATTAGTTAGCAGCGAATCTCGAAACCATTTGTCGTGATTGTAGTTAAGTTTTATATGCTTGGAAAGAAATGTTATTTCTTTTGTAAACTTTATTGATATAAATATTTATAAATGGAAACGCAACTACATGTAAACTTATTTTCGCAAAATTCGTCCATTTTTTAAGCAGTATTGATGTTGAAATTAGAGATTGCCTAGTGAGAAAAAACTACTTAAATGATATATATATTGACAATAATTATGCTAATAAAAAGTTTAAAAAGGAAATTGGTGTTTTATTTTACGCTTAATCTAAGTACTTCAGTCTTCATTCTTATAAGTAACAACGGTATCCACTTTGTGAATATTAGTAGAGAACGACCTCATTTTCACAGTTTGGGCATTTTTTACGTGAGCCATCTCCGCCTCGCTCCATTGCGACGGCAAATCCACGTTACTTTTCGTATAAATTTGAATATCAAAACTACACAGACAGTCCAACAACGGCAAATACGCCACAGACGAAGCAATTTGCTTCAAAACGTCCCTAATTTCGTTCTTAATCGTTTTCAACGGTTTTTCCGAAACCTGCCCACCTGCCTCATCCGGATTACCCTCATACTCCACACGAAAGTCCCACCTTTCCATAACCTCCAACGTCTTCACGTTGGTTATTATTAAAGCTACTTTGGTCACACTTCTTTGGATTAGCCACTCTACAAAAAAAGTTACAACACTCGCAAAAACCACGCTCCCTTTACCTTTCAATTGACTCAACGTTGACGATAAAAACTCCTTAATTTTGTTATCTGTGGACATTAAAATGGTCAGACCGTAATTCTCGACACTTTGAAAGTTCTCGGGGGGGTACAGACCCCGTTGAAACAAAATTGAGTTGATTCCGAAATCTGAAAAACGGGATTATAACCTCAAAATTTACGGGTTTCGGGATTTACTCAAGTAGTCGCACACGATTTCAGCGGAGCCCTTTAAAGTGATGGAGGATTTACTCTGCTGAACGACCCCCGTCATCTTGAGTCGGTTTCACTGGGAATTTTGCGCAATTTTCGGAAAATGTAACGGACACAATAAAATTCAAATTTCAAATACGAAATGTCAAACGTCAAATAATTGGCGCACACTAGACGCAGACGTAAAAGTCCCTATGTTACGATTGGCAACAAAATCAACGACTCAAGCAATGAGCGGGCGTTTTAAAATATAAAAATCTTTTTAAAACAAATCACGCTTGGTGTAAATAGGATTTCATGAATAAATGTAACCAAAACAAATCAAACCTTTTATTCTCACACAGTCATTCAACTGGAATTTCAACCTTCAGAAGCTGTCATATCTTCCATAGATGGATGACACATCATTCTACAAACATGATTGTTAAAATAGTGTAACGTAATCTCTCAGGGCTGGAGACTGGTTCATGGGTTTGGCGCTTCCATTATATCTGGTATAACATCAGTTTCAAGTTGGATTTAATTCCATTTTTGACCAATTTTCACCGATATGTTGACTTTCTACAAAACGTATCTTTAAAGTCACATAAAAATTACAATAAATAATCGATACTAACCATCGAGTTTTGACACAAATAGTGCGTCAATCATTATTTTTCCCAATTTGAAACAAATTTGGTTTGTAAATGATCAAAATACCACAACAAACGTCAAAGAACAAACGTCAAATTACCCCCATTAAACGGAAATGAAGCAAGGCAGCCAACACAACCTCAAATTTCCCCACGATGTAAACAAATTCGTTTTCCAGAACATTTCCAATTCCAGAATTTACTACCAAAGGAAATTACTTTCAGTTTTTTTTGTAACAATTCTAGAAGTTTAGAGTTTCCGATTGATCGAGTCAAAAATACAACAGCATTTGTTAATTCATGCGTCGGTTTTTTATAAAATGCCGGAAAAATGCGACCCGAATGACGGAAAACTCAAATAAATTAATTTTCTTGCAAAGATTCGAAAAAACTTATAGTTGGTTTAGGTTTAGGGGACACTGAGAACCGTTTTGTGAGCGTTTAAAAAATATGATTCAGCAAATTCAGCCAAAATAATAAATTCGCTTTTTTGCACGTGTTTTTTTCGATTTTTGTATTAAAAGGAACACCTACAACGTCTAAAACACAAATTTTGGTTAAAAACAACTCAAAAAATATTTAGATTTGAATTTGTAACCGAAAAAGGGTGTTTCGAATTGCCTCTTTTTTGACAAAACGAAAAAATTGCTTGGTGTTTTTTCATTCCAATGAGTGACCAGATATTCACGTTAATCCAACTTACACAGATCCGTTTTAACGTTTTCTGTACAGCGTTGTCGATTTAAACCCGAACTGTGCCCGTTTTTAAAAAACGAACGGTAAAAAATCAATAAACCGTTTCGGTGTTTCGAAATTCGCGCGCGATTTGACGGAAGTGAGTCATGTTCTGTCCTTGTCTATCGAAGCTTTGGAAGCATCGAAAACCGCCTAGATTCTTCTGGAACAATCTAGAACGTAGGAGGCTATATAAGCAACCGAACAAACACGAAGCGCACAGAACTGAAAAACCAAGCGGGGCGTGAGCAAGCAAAAGTGACCAGTGAAAATTAACCCAGTGATATTTTCCAAAGCGAATTTTCTCGTGAAGTATTAGTTTGTGCATTAACTAAACAAGGTAGGTGGAAATTCGCACGTTTCAGCAACATTTTCTCTCAACTTTTTGTCCGTCAACGTGGAACGCCGGTATCGATTTTCCCGGACTGAGTGTCTGATTTTACGCATTTTCGTGGGTAGTTTTCCACGTTTTCGCGAGTCGTGACTCAAAGTGACACATTTTATGACTTTTTTTCCAGAATTGGTGTAATTTTCCGTCGTTATTGATTAGTTTCCACACGGTGTGTGCTTAACCTCAATTAGTACTAATTTGCAATTAATAGTTGTCCAAATTTTCACTTTATTGATCAGTCATTTTCCTGTTTTCCGCAAAACGTGACTCTGTATTCGCACGATCATCCCACGCGTGATTCATCGGTCGACAAACCCTCAAGGTCATTTTTTGTTGCAGATGCCTGAAGAAAACCAGAATGGGGATGTCGAAACCTTCGCCTTCCAGGCGGAAATCGCGCAGTTGATGAGCTTGATCATCAACACCTTCTACTCGAACAAGGAAATTTTCCTGCGAGAGTTGATCTCGAACTCGTCTGACGCCCTCGACAAGATCCGTTACGAGTCACTTACGAATCCCGCCAGGTTGGACTCGGGCAAAGATCTCTACATTAAGATCATTCCCAACAAGAACGATGGTACTTTGACCATTATTGACACCGGGATCGGGATGACCAAAGCCGACTTGGTCAACAACCTGGGTACTATTGCCAAATCCGGGACCAAGGCCTTCATGGAAGCTCTGCAAGCCGGCGCCGATATTAGCATGATCGGTCAATTCGGTGTGGGTTTCTACTCGGCGTATTTGGTAGCCGACAAGGTCACCGTCGTTTCCAAGAGCAACGATGACGAACAGTACATTTGGGAGTCATCGGCTGGGGGAAGTTTCACCGTGAGGCTGGACCATGGTGAGCCTTTGGGTAGAGGGACTAAGATCGTCCTCCACGTCAAAGAGGACCAAACTGAGTTCCTGGAGGAGCACAAGATTAAAGAAATCGTCAAGAAACACTCGCAGTTCATTGGATACCCAATCAAATTGGTGGTGGAGAAGGAGCGCGAGAAGGAACTGAGCGACGATGAAGCCGAAGAAGAAAAGAAAGAAGAAGAACCAGAAGCTGACAAAGAAAAAGATAAGCCAAAGATTGAAGATGTAGGTGAGGATGAAGATGAAGATACTAAGAAGGACGACAAGAAAAAGAAGAAGACTATTAAGGAGAAGTACACCGAAGATGAGGAATTGAACAAGACTAAGCCAATCTGGACGAGGAACGCTGATGACATCAGTCAGGAAGAGTATGGAGAATTCTACAAATCGTTGACTAACGACTGGGAAGATCATTTAGCGGTCAAACACTTCAGCGTTGAAGGCCAACTTGAATTTAGAGCGTTGTTATTTGTACCCAGACGTGTACCCTTCGACTTATTCGAAAATAAGAAGCGCAAGAACAACATCAAGTTGTATGTGCGCAGGGTCTTCATCATGGACAACTGCGAAGAACTCATTCCCGAATATTTGAACTTCATTAAGGGCGTCGTCGACTCCGAAGATCTACCCTTGAACATCTCTCGTGAGATGCTTCAACAAAACAAGATCTTGAAAGTCATCCGCAAGAACTTGGTCAAGAAATGTATGGAGTTGTTTGAGGAGTTGGCTGAAGACAAAGACGGTTACAAGAAATTCTATGAACAGTTCTCCAAGAACTTGAAATTGGGTATCCATGAAGACTCTCAAAATAGGGCTAAATTGTCTGAATTGTTACGTTATCACACTTCCGCCAGCGGAGATGAAGCTTGCTCTTTGAAAGACTACGTCAGCCGCATGAAGGCCAACCAGAAACACATCTACTTCATCACCGGCGAAAGCAAAGAACAAGTAGCCAACTCTTCCTTCGTCGAACGTGTCAAGAAGCGCGGCTTCGAAGTCGTCTACATGACCGAACCCATCGACGAATACGTAGTCCAACAGATGAAAGAATACGACGGCAAGACCCTCGTTTCTGTTACCAAAGAAGGTTTAGAACTTCCTGAAGACGAAGAAGAAAAGAAGAAGCGCGAAGAAGACAAAGCCAAATTCGAAGGTCTCTGCAAAGTCATGAAGAGCATCTTAGACAACAAAGTCGAAAAAGTCGTCGTGTCTAACCGTCTAGTCGAATCCCCATGCTGTATTGTCACTTCCCAGTACGGCTGGACCGCCAACATGGAACGTATCATGAAAGCGCAGGCCCTTCGTGACACTTCCACCATGGGTTACATGGCTGCCAAGAAACACCTAGAAATTAACCCAGACCATTCCATCGTCGAGAACCTGCGCCAGAAAGCCGAAGCCGACAAGAACGACAAAGCTGTCAAAGATTTAGTCATTCTTCTTTTCGAAACCGCTTTGTTGAGCTCTGGATTCACCCTCGACGAACCTCAAGTACACGCTTCTAGAATCTATAGAATGATTAAATTAGGTTTGGGAATTGATGAAGAGGAAGCGATGATCACCGAGGACGCACAAGGAGGCGACGCACCAGCTGCCGATGCCGCCGAAACCGAAGACGCTTCCAGAATGGAGGAAGTAGATTAATTTCTTGTTAAGTTAGGACATGTGTTTTAGTATGTTCTAATGTTCATTCCTAGCGTTTTTCTAATTTTTGATTATTTTTGTATGAAAGTATTATTTTCGGGCGTTTTTCCCGAAGCTGTACGTGTTCAATACTGGTTTTTGTTTTTATTCAAATAAATTATTAACATTAAAGGTGGTTTAATTGTCCTGTGTGATTCAGGCGTGGGTGAAAATGGTCAACCAATGGGGAGGCGTCATTGTGACAAATCAGTCACTAATAAGTTTATTATTGGAAGATGCGTCGATCGTGTAATTGGGTCACAAACCCTGCAACCCCCAATCGTATCGTATTGATTTCCAATTGTGAAGTCACGTGTTTCGAAACGCGTTGCTATTGGTGTTAGTATTGACGTTTGTAAGAAAACCTAACCCTACTTGCAGACATAACCTCAATCCTATTATTTCAACAAAAATTACATTTAAAATGGATTTTGTCAGTATGGGACGAAAAGGCAGAATTCAGAAGCCCCCCGTTTCAGGTATAACTCACTTTGCGCCCCAAATTATGTCTAAAGTCGCTTAATTTCTCAGATGACCCGGAACGCCCCTTTCGAATGTACAACATAATATCGTACTTTATTGTATTAATAGTGATCGGATTGCCTGTTTGGTGGTTCACTACAAGGGTCTACAGAGCCAGTTTGCCCCTAGATCGGATGTTTGATGTCACTTTAGCGAATAAAACCGATCGACAATTTGGTATTTTGTTAAGTCTAGAGTACGACGTCCTAATAACTGTAGTTAACCCCGAACCCTCACGTCTGCATGTCAACCTAGAAGGAGAAGAGTTGGAAGTTTACTTGCGACCGTTCCTGGAAAAGGTGTCTCCTATTGCAGACTTCGTTGTCAAGTCTCAGTGGCTATATCTAGTCGAATTGGGGGCGCGACCCACCAAAGTGATTGATCACTACGTCCTCTCTGAAGAGCAACTACCTCACGTGATCACCCCCCTTGAAAAAAAACTCTGGTCACACTTGTCTCCACGTCCATGTTTAAATTTAGTGTTGTATGTGTCTCACTGTGAAGTCCCGCTGTACATTCAAGAGAAAAGCGAAAATGCCACGAACGCGTTCCTGAGTCCCCGTTGGGGCGGAATTGTCATCATAAACCCCGACCCAGACTCATGTGAAAAAAGGATTTTCCAACCAAACGTGAAACAAATTGGGGGGATTCTTACCACTCAGTTGAGTAAAATGTTGAGGATGGAGGGTACAACTAAGCAGGATTTGATAGATCTGCAGAAGCGCAAAGCCGAAGACATGGTGGACTCAACTAGAAGGACCCTAAAGTCACTAGCTGAGTTGCTTTCAGAGATTAACAGTATTGTGATCAGCGATGACGTAGCGCTTAAGATTAAAGTCGCGGTCGACAACGCCGACTTAGCTGATGAGTTAATGGCGAAGGGCGAAATCGAAAATGCCCTCACCTTTGCAAAAGTGGCTTTCGAAAATTCGGAAGCCGCCTTCAGTGACGCCTCCTTGTTAGCGCTGCTTTATTTTCCGGATGATCAAAAGTAGGTATTTTTGTTGTGTGATTGTGGTGTCTGTGAGGACAGCGCGTCGTGGTTGTCAACGAACAATTATTTTTTCAGGTATGCGGTTTACATTCCACTGTTCTTGCCTGTGATGATCCCCGTTCTCATGTCCCTACTCACCTTGAAGAAATGGCTCAAAGAAAAAGAAAAAACTGAGTAATTTGTACCAAATAAAAACCCTTTTACACAAAAGTATTTATTTTATTTATATACAGTTATTACAATGAAACTCAAACTGCTCACATCTGTACAAGGTGCGAAATAAACTTATGCCCTGACGGAACTATAAAAAATATATTTAGGTGAACAATAAATTAGGGATCTATTCTAGGTAAGTAATAAAAGTGTACCACTAACTTAGAGACATCACGAAACATTTACCATCTACGTTTCGGATTTGTTTTCGAAAATTATGTGACTAATTCGTTTCAGGTTTATGTAAACCATCCCACACGTTATAACAACAAAAAATAAAATAAATAATGTCACATACAAATCGAGCTTAGTCGATTTTCACCGCGGAGTAGATCTTTCGGACGAAAGCATACGCCGCGAAAAATCCGATAGTTCCGGTCAGTAACCAAAAGGTTAACACCATGAGTCCGGTATACCCGAAATACAACAAAGTGGGAATAAATTCGGTTATTTCTAGCTTAGTTACGAAGTAGAAGAGAGAATATCCTAGAATGTACAAGGCGGAACCTCCCGACACTATGAAGCTCCTCCACCACCAATGGTAGTCCTAGAAAACAAAAATTAAAACCCTTGTTCAAACCAAACAAATAAATACCTCGCCGCATAGCTGAAAATACACCATCACTATGGAGATTTGTGAGCACGAAATGACCAATATTATAAACACCAAGAATAAGAAGCCGAACAAGTAGTAGAATTGGTTCTCCCAGATGGCTGTGAAGATGAAGAATAGCTCGATGAAGACGGCGCCGAATGGCAAAATTCCCGCCATCAAAGTGCTGCAGAAAATATTCACACTTGTCTGATTGTCACGCGCGTTTAAATTTCTTACCATAACATAGGATTCATGTACCAGTGCTGGTCAGGAACTTGTCTTGGAATCTGATTAGTCCTCACCGGGTGCTGGTACGGTTGTTTCCTGAACCCGAAATAGTACCCCAAATACACTAATGGTAAAGAAATGAACACCCACATTAATAATAATGAGATCATTGTTGAAAAGGGTACCGCCCCACTACTGGCTTTCCCCCATATGAAGAAATTTAAGAAGAAACATGAACAAGCTATTATAGCTGGATACAAAGTCGCCGTGAGGAAGGCGGCACGTTTCCACTCTCTTCCTTTCATGGTTTTGTACAGTCTGGCTGAAAAATATCCGGCTACTAGACCCATGAACATATAGAGGAAAATGGCGGCTGTGGTCAGGGCGCCTCTTGAAGCCGGCGACAACATGCCCAACATGGCGAAAACTACAAAATAATTATGTTAGTGACAACAAAGATTTTTGGGGTTAAAACGAGAAGAGGACGTCATATAAATATATTAAACAGTCAATTCAAAAAAGGTATCATTAAGCATGATGTTTGATGGTCAACTTTTGCCGTATTTAAAGGGGTCATAGAAAACAAGTGGAGGATTTAAGTTCCTTTTTGTCGAAATAAGTCTACACATATTAAGAAAAAAAAGGCAAAATATAAACCCCGCCCACTCACCCTGTCTCAATTGTAAAGAATTTTTTTATTCGTCGTGAGCCAAGGGGGCGGAGCTTAACTGCACAATCCGTATTTCTCGACAAGAAATTAAAAACCTGTTTTGAGTATTGTGTTGTTCAAAGAATACTATGCACATTAAGAAAAAAATAAAGCCAAAGATTAGGCCCCACCCATACCCGCCCCGATCTCAGTTCTCAATTGTGATACATTTTTCATTCGTTGTCAGATCGACGGGGCGGGGTTTACTTACAAAATCCATATTTTCTTACAAAAATTTACCATTTTCAACGTGTTTTAAGTTTCTAAGAATAAAAAAATCATTACAATTGCGAAGGGGTGGGTGGGCGGGGTTTATATATATTTTGGATTTTTTTGTATTCTTTGGACACGATACTCAAAAACATGTTTTTACTTTCTTGTAAGAAAAGAAGTAATTTGCAGTTAAGCTCCGCCCTCTTGGTTCATGGCGAATAAAAAAAATCATCACAATTGAGATAGGGCGGGTGGGCGGGCTTCCATTTTGCCTTTTTGTTTTAATATATATTTAATATTCTTTTCACAACAAGAAACTTAAAACATGTTTAAAAAGCAAATTTTTACAATAAAATATCGATTTTGCAATTAGGCTCCGCCTCATAATGTTTATATTTTGGCTTTTTTGTTTCAATTTTTCACATATTCTATTTTTCAAATTGTTTAATTTTATATTTTTCAATTTTTTGATGTTCTGATTTCTCGATCTTTCAATTTTTCGAAATCTCTCTCAGTTTTAGATTTTTAGTTTTCAGTTTGTAGATTTTTAAAATTTCTAATTTTTTGATTTTTGGACTTTTTGAAGTTCAGTTTGTCCATATTTTTAATTTTTCAATTTCTGGATCTATGGAGATTTCGATGTTTCGATTTTCTGGTTTTTCAGTTTTCCGATTCTTCAATTTTTTAATTTATTATTTAATTTTTTATTTTGAATTTTAAATTTTTCGGTTTTTAATTTTTCGTTTGGGTGCATTTCGATTTTTCGACTTCTCGATTTTCAGTTGTTCGATGTGTCAGTTTGGACATCTTTGATTTTTCGACTTTCCAATTTTTCGATTATAAATGTGTCATATTTTACCTTTTTTTCTTTATATACATAGTATTCTTTGAACAACACGATATTCAAAAACATGTTTTTAATTTCTTGTAAAGAAAGATGTATTTTGCAGATAAGCTCCGCCCCCTTGGTTCATGGCGAATAAAAAAAATCATCACAATTGAGATAGGGTGGGTGGGCGGGGCTTATATTTTGCCTTTTTTCTTAATATACATAGTATTCTTTGAAGACGATACTCAAAAACATGTTTTTAATTTCTTGTAAGGAAATAAGTAATTTGCAGTTAAGCTCCGCCCCCTTGGTTCATGGCGAATAAAAAAAATCATCACAATTGAGATACGGCGGGTGGGTGGGCTTACATTTTGCCTTTTTGTTTTATTATGTGTAGACTTCTTTTCATAACATGAAACTTAAAGCATGTTTAAAATGGAAATTTTTTATAAGGATATATCAATTTTGTAATTAGGCTCCGCCTCATAATGTTTGTTTTGATTTTTTTGTTTCAATTTTTCGCATATTTTATTTTCCGATTTTTCGAATTTTCTAATTTTCTACTTTTCAATTATTTGATGTTTCAATTTCTCGATCTTTCAATTTTTCGAAATCTCGGTTTTAAATTTTTAATTTTGCAGTTTATCGATTTTTAAAATGTTTTATTTTTTGATTTTTGGACTTTTTGAAGTTCAGTTTGTCGATATTTTTAATTTTTCAATTTCTGGATCTATCGAGATTTCGACGTTTCCATTTTCCGGTTGTTCAATTTCCCGATTTTTCAATTTTTCATTTTATTAAGTAAATTTTGTATCTTAAATTTTAGATTTTTCGGTTTTTCAATTTTTCGATTTTCAAAGTGTTCGATTTTTCGATTTCTCGATGTTTCAATTTTTAATTATTCGATTCTCGATTTCCCATTTTTTCGATTTTTCCATTTAGATTTTATAAATTTTAGATTTTTCGAATTCTCGTTTTTTCAATTATTGTCCTACTTTCCGATTTTTCGATTTGTCGATTTTCAATTTTTTGATATGTCAGTTTGGAGATCTTTGATTTTTCGACTTTCCGATTTTTCCAATTCTGAATTTTTCAATTTTTCGATTTTAAACGTGTTATATTTTACATTTTTTTCTTAATATACATAGTATTCTTTGAACAACACAATACTCAAAAACATGTTTTTAATTTCTTATAAAGAAATAAGTATTTTGCAGATAAGCTCCGCCTCCTTGGTTCATGGCGAATAAAAAAAATCATCACAATTGGGAGAGGGCGGGTGGGCGGGCTTACATTTTGCCTTTTTGTTTTAATATATATTTAATATTCTTTTCACAACATGAAACTTAAAACATGTTTAAAAAGGAAAATTTCTAAAAGGGAATATCGATTTTGCAATTAGGCTCCGCCTCATAATGTTTATATTTTGCCTTTTTTGTTTAAATTTTTCACATATTCTATTTTCCGATTTTTGGATTTTTTTAATTTTATACGTTTCAATTTTTTGATGTTTCGATTTCTCGATCTTTAAATTTTTCGAAATCTCTCTCGGTTTTAGATTTTTAGTTTTTCAGTTTATAGATATTTAAAATTTCTAATTTTTTGATTTTTGGACTTTTTGAAGTTTAGTTTGTCGATATTTTTAATTTTTCAATTTCTGGTTCTATCGAGATTTCGATATTTCGATTTTCCGGTTGTTCAGTTTCCCGATTTTTCAATTTTTCAATTTACTAAGTTAATTTTTTATTTTAAATTTTACATTTTTCGGTTTTTAATTTTTCGTTTGGGGGCATTTCGATTTCTCGATTTCTCGTTTTTTCAATTATTGTGCTACTTTCCGATTTTTCGACTTTTCGATTTCTCGATTTTCAATTGTTCGATGTGTCGGTTTGGACAATTTTTCGATTATAAACGTGTCATATTTTATCTTTTTTTCTTAATATACATAGTATTCTTTGAACAGCACGATACTCAAAAACATGTTTTTAATTTCTTGTGAGGAAATAAGTATTTTGCAGATAAGCTCCGCCCCCACTGGTTCATGGCGAATAAAAAAAGTCATCACAATTGAGATAGGGCGGGTGGGCGGGCTTATATTTTGTCTTTTTGTTTTAATATGTGTAGACTTCTTTTCACAACATGTAACTTAAAACATGTTTAAAAAGGAAAATTTTTATAAGGAAATATCGATTTTATAATTAGTCTCTGCTTCATAATGTTTATATTTTGCTTTTTTGCTTTCAATTTTTCTCATATTCTAATTTCCGATTTTTCGATTTTTTTAATTTTATACTTTTCAATTTTTTGATGTTTCGATTTCACGAACATTCAATTTTTCGAAATCTCAGATTTCATTTTTGGTTTTTCAGAGTATCGATTTTTAAATTTTTTTATTTTTTGGACTTTTTGGAGTTCAGTTTGTCGATATTTTTAATTCTACAATTTTTGGATCTGTCGAGATTTCGACGGTTCCATTTTCTGGTTGTTCAGTTTCCCGATTTTTCAATTTTTCAATTTATTAAGTAAATTTTTTATCGTAAATTTTAGATTTTTCGGTTTCTCAATTTTTCCATTTTCAAATTGTTCGATTTTTCGGTTTCTCGATGTTTCAATTTTTAATTATTCGACTCTCGATTTCCCAATTTTTCGATTTTTCCATTTCGATTTTATAAATTTTAGATTTTTCGAATTCTCGTTTTTTCAATTATTGTCCTACTTTCCGATTTTTCGATTTCCCGATTTTCAATTTTTTGATACGTCAGTTTGGAGATCTTTGATTTTTCGACTTTCCGAATTCTGAATTTTCAATTTTTCGATTTATTTTATTATTATTTATTTATTATTTATTTTTCGTGTTATATTTTACCTTTTTTTCTTAATATACATAGTATTCTTTGAACAACACGACACTCAAAAACATGTTTTTAATTTCTTGTAAAGAAATAAGTATTTTGCAGTTAAGCTCCAACCCCTTGGTTCACGGCGAATAAAAAAAAATCATCACAATTGAGATAGGGTGGGTGGGCGGGCTTACATTTTGCCTTTTTGTTTTAATATGTGTAGATTTCTTTTCATAACATGAAACTTAAAACATGTTTAAAATGGAAAATTTTTATGAGGAAATATCAATTTTGTAATTGGGCTCCGCCCCATAATTGCAAAATCCATACTTTTTTGCAAAAATAGACCATTTTAACCATGTTTTAAAATCCTTGTTGTGAAAAGAAGGTATGTATATTACGAAAACAAAGGCAAAATATAAGCCCCACCCACCTACCCGATCTCAATTCTGATGATTTTTTTTTTTTCATCGTGAGCCAAGAGGGTGTAGCTTAACTGCAAACTCCTTATTTCTCTACAAGAAATAAAAAACATGTTTTTGAGTATCATGTTGTTCACAGAATACTATGTATATTAAGAAAAAAACAAGCCAAAATTAAGCCCCACCCATATCCATTCCAAGCTCAATTGTGATGAATTTTTCATTCGTTGTCACAGCGAGGGGCGGAGCCTAATTGCAAAATCGATACTTTCCTATTAAAATTTATCATTTTAAACACGTTTTACCTTTCTTGTTCCGAAAAGAAGACTACACATATTAAGAAAAAAAATCTGTTTTTGAGACGACTAGCAATAAATCTTGTTGATTTAAACGTTGGGAACTATCTTTAGCAACGCAGAAGTACTGAACAGGCAATTTGATTAGTTGAAAACCCAACGTCAACGGCGAACGGCAACGTCAGCGACAAGTTTATAAATCGACCTTTATAATCACTATGTGGATGAGGTTTCCAAGGTTAATTTTTCTCTTCATCAACAATTAATCTAAAATAGCTAAATATGGACCACGTGTTTACTTACTCTGATTAACATAATTTATATTTTATTTATTTATGATAAGAATACACACGTTTTAGCTTTGTTGTGAAAGAGGTAATTGAACTTTTCAACTATTATAAAATAGCGATGAAAATTGTATTGTCTTACGGATTTTACGGTAAAAGAAAAAAATGTAAAAAACGATAACAAAATGCCGACTAAAATTTCTCTATTCATCCCTCGTAAAAAACCGATGACGTCATTTAAAAATTCTGCCAAGTCAAACTCACTTTGGTGTTGCCAACATCATTGTTTTAAAAATAAATCTCACTTTTTTTCGATCATATGGTATAATCTGGCGAGTGATACGCCACTGCTTTCTTCTAAATAATTTGTGCCAAAGTCCGTCCTCCTCTCGACTATACCGTGCGATCGAAAATAAAACCACTTTTTTGAAAAAGTGGTTAGTTTAATGGTTATGTTGGCATTGATTTACGTCAAACGAAAGTTTGACATGCAACGCCAACTTTAATTGGTTTTATTTTCATTTTATTTTCAATCGTACGATAACAATTTATTACTTGTCAAAATCAAATTTTTTAGGGATATTAAACGGAATCGCACTGATTGATTAGTTTTTTTGACAAGCTACTACTAGTTTAGAAATCAAGTATGAAGGTAACACTTTAGTGTTACCTTCAAACTTGATTTAGTACTACGTACACAACGTGATAAGCGCCATCAGGAATATCTGTATCCCGGATCCCACCACAGCGGCAAACAGTCGTGAATTTTTCGGGGGTCGAAAAACGTCCCCATGTACCAATTTCCAGCCAGTTTCCTCTATCGTTTCGTCGAAGCTTTCGTCAGCGTTATATTTCGCGATGTCCCTTCTCAATGTTCGCACCATTATCATCGTCAAAATTCCGGAAAGGAAGAAAATGACGACGATTGAGTTGATAATGGAGAACCAGTGGATCTGGACATCACTCATCGCTAAATAAGTGTCCCATCGAGACGCCCAACTGATTTTGGACAACTCCCATTCGACTTCATAGGTAAAATACAGCTTAGTGCCTGTCGTCGGATCGACCAGTTGTGGACGGGGTTTATTAGGGAATGTGCAAGTTTTATCCATGAATTTTAAATCGTCCATGTGGACAGATTTGGCCTCTACATGAAATCCAACCACGCGATAAACATCGCTAAAAATCCCCGTTAATTTTAGTCAAATTTTACCGCAAATACTCACGGTGTTGGATTATGATATAATAAAGTCAGTTTCAAGTGATTGTTGATATAGTTCCTGTCCCCCACGGTGTTACCTAATTTGTACCCATGTTCATACTGTATTTCATTGGTTTCTGGGTTCAAAACTGGAGTAGCTGCAGGGAGATTATCAACCAACCTACAACCCCAACTCAGTTATAAACCACAAAACACTAAATCCCCCTTACAAGTGCACAAAATACTCGTGTTGTATTCTGTCCACGACAATCTGAGACTCCCCCACACTCCAATTAATTGGGTCCTTTTGCGAATTACACAACAAAGTGCACGGCGTATTCTTTGCCATTTTTACGTCATACGGCGTATTTACGATACGATCGCCCCTTAAAACCTCACCCAAATTCTCCGATTTATAGTGAATAGCATTCAGCCCGCCTTTCGGTAAACAGAAAGGCAACGAATAATACTCGTACGGTAGCTGTGTATGTATACTTGTCATTTTCACAGCCTTGACTTCGATCGTATCACCTGCTTTAAAATCAGCCGGGGCCATTCCCGGCACATAAAACGAGTAACAATTTAAAATGCATATTAACAAAAGTAATAAAGTTGTGCCGTGCTGGAAAAGAGTGAGGTTAAGTTGAGTCATTTCGCTTTTAACGTACCAGTACCTTGTGAAACATGTTGGCGATAAATAAAATAGACCGGTGTTGCGAAAGTGCTAAAAGTTATCCGATTCAGACGCTAAAATAACAAAATAATCATTTTAAATCAATTTAACACTTTGCAAAGATCGCTGCAGGAACACCAACAAATTTGACAGGTCAAATGTCATTAGTGTCAACACGGAATGTATTGTTGGTTGCATACTCCCAAACAAACTTTATTCAACTTATTATAAATACACAATTATAACGTAGGGGTTCTTCTGTACCAAAATCGTGCTCGAAAGTCGTCGGAACACGTCAAAAAAGCCGCTTGTGTGGGGGAATGTGCTATAAGCCTGACAGCCCCGTTGTGACCCAGCGACATCAACTGCTTTCTTGAAGCGTTACGAGAATTCCAAGCACAGAGAGACGTGGTTGCTTCGTCCGGAAACAAAACGTAGTCTTCTGTGTGGTTGAAAACGGCTTGCGCTTCATACTCTTGTTTGCCTGTGGTCCCAGCCCCCGTGTACGCAATCAAGCACCGACTGGTAGTCAGCTCCCACAATTTACAAATAGAATTTTTTCCTGATGATAACAAATATTTTCCGTTTTTGGAAAAAGCGACTGAACAAACTTCAAGTCCGTCGTGGGCTTTTTGGAAAGTGTTGATGCAACGGTTGGACACCGCATCCCACAATTTTATATTACCGTCTTTACTACAAGTGGCAAAAACTCTGGCGTCTAAAGACCACTTTAGACAAGTGACTGACTGAGTGTGCTGATGAGAAGGAAAAGCGCAGACGTAGCATTGCAACGTGTTGACGTCATACAGCCGCACTACTGGGTGCTGCGTCGCTACAATCATGTGGTCTCCACTGGGGTGAAACGACATTGCTTTAATAGGCTCTGCTTCCTAAAACACAAACGTTAATTATTGCGTTTACAATCCAAAACTGTAGTTCATACTGTTATTGTTTTAAAAGCCTTCTTCACACTAGCCTTTGAAATGTCAAACATTTTAATTGTGTTATCCTTAGACCCTGATACTAAAACTGGCTCCTTTGGGTGAAACTCCAAGCAAGTAACTTCTTCCATGTGGTCATACAATGTCCTAATAACCGGATGTCCTTGTTGTTCGCCTCGTGACGGGTCCATTTCATCCGGCGCAGACTTCGCCAACATCCTATCAACGTCCAGGATTTTGATACTGGCGTCCACACTTCCAGTGGCGATTAATTGACCGTCGCTGGAAAAGCACCCAGCGCGGCAGTTACCTTTATGGGACGTGACGTAAGCGGTTTCGTATAGCGCCGGCTCTGGTGCCGGGATGTTGGATTCGGTTTCAAACTCGAGGTCGAGACCAGGCCCAATATTGTTGTTACCAATACCAGGATTCTGGGGTCTCTCTTTCCGGTCAGGTTCATGTTCCAGTCCGGCTAAAACGATGTGGAATAGGCGATCGCTGGGGGCACACGGAGGGTCTGCTTGAACTGCCGCTGTTAAGCTCGTCCCAATGCTTTGGTGGCCGTCGTAGAACAACTGGCTACAATTTGAGAAAAGTTAGGTTAGGTTGGCTCGAGGGATTTCGCACCTTATAATAAGCCGGTAGAGGAATTCCCGGCTTTTAATCAGGTTGTTAGTATCAACATCTTCTTCTTTAAGGCCGGAATTGGTCATTTTGAGCCGTTTTGTGTTAAATTAAACTTAAAAGATAGTTTGTCAACAACGCAATACCTGGGGGATTTGATAAGTTCACGTCGTTAGGTTGGTACTGTCAACACTGAGCGCTCACTTTTTTAAATTAAATTAGCAACAATCCTTTACATTTATTTATGCTTAATTAATTATTTTGCACATCATGCACCACATTTTCTGAGACTACGTATATCACTTTGAAAATTTGTTACCACCGTCTTTCAAAATACGTATTTAAATTCACACTCCATGTGGCTTTTTTCGTAAAAAAAAGTACCGAAAAACGGGTTCAAAAAACACGAAAAGAAATTTCACGTTCGCACATTCGTCTTCACTGTAAAGTAATATGAACACATAAAAATGTCAGGGGAATTTCACAAATCAGTCGAAGACGTTGAACTTCCACCAGAGACCAAAGTTGAGGAAGATGTTCACAGTGATGTAAGTAAAATTTCGCTATTTCTTTCGTTTAGTCAAAAATTCTAGTCCCTCTGCTGTGACCTCTGCAATGTTAAAGTTACAAGTGCCAAAATTCTCCAGCGGCACTTGGAGGGACGAAGGCACAAGATGAAGGCCGAACGAAAGGGGAAAACCTTTATTTGTGAAATGTGTGATGTCGTTGCAAACAGCGAAATTCAGCTCAATATTCATCTCAACAGTAAGGGATTGGGTTGCAAAGACTTTTAAAAACGTTGCGTTTCAGGTATTAAACATAAAAATAAACTGGTGAAAAAAGAACAAAGCGAATTCACATCGACCGCTACTAGCAGGGCCGGACTGTGGATATTGCTCTTTTGTGTCGTTTGTATTTTTATTAATTTGTTACTGTTGTTTAAAGTGATTTGCAATTAGTCTATAAATGTTCATTGTTATTGAATTTACCATTATTTAATAAATTGTTGTTTAATGACTTTAAAAAAAAAACCTATTACTCTAGAATAGTATTTAATACAGTAATAACATATTTACAGCGATGTGGACGTTTTTTTCTCTAAAGAAAAAACTAGTTTGCGCGCCAATTACACTCTACCTTTTTATCACCTAGTTTCAGTACAAATAAACCGATTTAAGTAACATTTCATTAAATGAATAAATAAAATAACCACTTGTAAGAGTATGCTTAAAAGAATATTAATAATCAATTTCTGGTAGGTTGTCCTGTATCCAGGTAAGTGCAGACCGAATATTTGATAATTTAGCCCGACACAAGAAGCTTGAAATCAACAAATACTCAGGGTAGGTTCTTCTCCCTCCTCTTCTGTTGACGCCTGTTTGACCGAAACTCTTATTGTTGATTTTACCTTCACATAATACTTTGGTTGTCAAGCTCAACAACCACTGTAATATCTGGAAAATCAACCACAATTCAACATTGTTAAATTATGGATATTCAAATACATACCTCAGCACTAGAAGGAACCTTCAAGCCTCGTTTCAACCAAGAACTAGGAGCCCATAAAAACAACTGACACACGTTTGCAGCGACCTCTGGATGGAGACGCTAAAACCCACTCATCACCACTACACCCTCAGAAATCCTCAAACTTACCTTATTTGGATTGCGCTTCAAAAGATTCCCAACTAGCGCCTTCACAACATCTGGAACTTCATCCGGTAGTTTGGGCAAATCCTGCTCCTTGTAATTAAAATTCTTGAGACGGTTCTTTCCATAGAACGGGTTAGCGCACCCAAATATCTCGTACGCGATAGCCCCGGCAGCCCACAAGTCGGCTTTCGCGTAATTCAAAACTGCGAAAGTCCCAGGTGTCTGATTTATAATTTCCGGCGCCATCAACGCAGTGTTACCACCCTTATCGATTTCGTAACTCGTGTATGGTAAACTCAGCCCATTGCTGCGGTCCGCCAAACAACACCCAAAGTCGCTGATTACCAGAATGGGGCTCTCTGGTTCTGTGGTATCAAGCAACAAATTGTCGCTTTTTAAATCGCGGTGGGCTATGCCATGAGCTGTCAAGTGCGCAACGCCCTCTAGCAGCTGCGACAGAAGCAGAAGTGACGTTCGTGTGGTTGGCGCTGTTTGGAGGAAATTCTGTAAATTAGAGTCATAGCGCTTCATTAACAAGAACAACGACATGTTGCGGCCTTCGCCCTCCGGATGGATACGTTTAGGGAGGGCAGCGGGACACAGATCTTTGCTATCTTCGAACTCCTGGATGAAGTCAGTGAAGACTGAGAATATAGCGATGACGTTTGGGTGGGGTGGCAGGTGTTTTTTGCGACTGGCTAGCTCCATTTCCCAGTGGGTGGTGTCGTGGTTGCTGTAGTACATGCGAGCTGGGACTGTTTCGCGGTACATGGCTTTGAGGATTTCCATTGAGTTTGACTGGATGTCATAGTTGAACATCATTTTTAGGGCGAAAGGGTGGTTGTTGATGGCGTCTTCGTCCTCTTTCACTGTGGCGGAGTAGACGACGCCGTTGGCGCCTTTGGCGATGGGTTTGCCAAGTGAAAGGTCGTTCAGGGTTATGGGTTCTGATTCAAAGCGAGATTCGTCAACATCGTTGTATTGCCACTTTATTTTAGATATGGCTTCTCGAATTTCCCAGCATACTCCCTCTAGTTCGTCCTCTTTCGTAAGAATTCCGGTTCCCGAGGCTAGACTTACTCCCACTAGAGCGAAAAACGGGGCCGAGTCTCCAAACAAGATTCTGGAAGTAAACATAACTTTATGATATTAATTTTTGAGATAATTCGTTTGTATTAACTAAATATGTACATAAGTGGAATGAATGTCTGTTGTAAAATAATAATTAAATTGTTATCTAACTACCTTTTTATGGTCAAACTATAAAAATCTGAATTGTTTCTTATCATTTCCTTGTTGCATAAACTAAAACCTAGCATTTTTTTCTGCAATGAACTTTGGACTCTGCCAATTATCCCTTGCCAACTATGCCCGCAACCCACCTTCTCGTCGCCTTCTTTCTCAGCTCGGCCGAAAGACTATTCGTAACCCTATTGAGTACATTATCAACGAGGATCCTCCTAGCCTGGAGCCCCAGCTGCACCCCAACATTTCTCAAGGCGAAGTTCTTGGGTACCGCTTGAGTTTTGGGCACGGGAGGTGCCGCTGCTGCTTGTGACACGGCATTAATTTTGTCGCCAATGGTGGTGTTGAGGTCCCTCTTGCAGAATTGCTGGATAAGACTTCTACCATGTTTAAATAATCGGGTGCCCACGGCTCGCACGGACATTTTGCACTAACGGTATGCGAGTACCCTCAAGGGGGCACTATTCGCACGAAAATCAACAAAATCACACTTGTTTTTACTATTTCCGCAAAAAAATTTGACACTTTGACATTTCGCCTCTTGGGAGCACGGCTGCCATCTTTATTTTGACGCCTACGCACACGCTGTTAAAATATAAATAGAAAACTTCTGTCCTTTTCGTTTCGTAGGTTGTGTGTGTGCGCGACAAGGACGCGTATATATTGACAAGTTATATTAGTGCTATTTTCGACTTTTGCGTCGTAAATACGATATTTGAGGATTTAATGTAAAGCCCCACCAAACTGTCAATCTGTCGCGGCTTATTTGTTATTTATTTGTTACAAATTTTACAAAACAAATGTTTGCTTTTTTCATTAGTGTTGATAGATGGCGCTCTATTTTTTCATTTTTTTGAAGAAAAATATCGTTTTGAGACATTTTTAACACCTTACGTAGCTCGTATTACTATTTTTGGTCAAAATAAGTGTTTAAATTTATCACGAAGACATAATTTTTACTAATTTGTAGCACAGATTTCTTTTATTTGCAAATCAAATCATAGGCAACAGATGGCGCGCCGATAAAAACAGGTGATAAACGGTTTTCCTCCGGTCATCCATCTGTCAATAATGAATTTAAAATTTGTGATAAAAAGCGAAATACTAACATTTATATTAGTTTTCCGTTAAAACGATCACATCACACCTAGTCACTATTTACTTATTACATTCAAAACAAAATGTATTTGAACGGCGTAATTCTTTTAACAATTTTAACCGTTTTCCAAACCCAGCGTGTTGAATCAAGTTTAATTGATTATGTAAAAAATTATTTTAATTACGAAGAACCCGAGACCGACGTGGGCGAATTTGCCCAAAGAATCCCCTACGAAGTCTCCACGGTGGATGAAAAATTTATATCAGAAGCGGCAAAGCTCACAGGTGTTGCTTTATCAGAGCTCGACTCCTGCCAACAGAGAGTAAATATTTAACTCTTTTCGACCCTCAATACATTCTTTATTTGCAGGTGGTATTGAAGCTCAAATCTGACTGTGATAAGATGAATGATGAGCAGCTGGCGAAAATGGCGGTTCATCTTTTGAACTGCCAGTCGTACGTAGAGGGGCGCCAGATTTTTCCGTGTACAGACGACATGAGCATAGGGGAGTGCACCAGAAGCATGGATTCGGATACGTGGACTAGCTACCACTTGATGAGTAACCGAGCAAAGGCGGTGTGCTACTCAATCCGGCAAATGCAGTTTCGGGGCATGGCTGAGCACACAGTGAACAGGTTGATGGACGTGGCTAGAGATCAGTTGAAAACGTTGGGGAAAATCCACGAAAATCAGCAGGATTTGCAAGACATAGCCCAACACACTTTGACTTCGTTGTCAGAGGGTCATTCGGTTTTAGCTGATCAGCAGAAGGACATCCAGAAGGCGCAGTTCCATGGACAGTTGGCGTTGGAAGATAATATTAGGAAGTTGTCGCAGGAGAAGGAGTTGATTGTGGATACACACAATCAATTAGTGCATATGACGCACAAAATCCAGAAAAAATTAGAGGATTCGAGTAGGAATTTGGAGCAGCAGGCGGGGGAGAGTCGCCAGAATCATCAAGAGTTGTTGGATGATTTGATAGCCATACAGAACAAAGCACACGCGATTTTTGAAAGAATAGGTTTTTTATTTATTTATTTTTTTTTGTAAGTGAAGTTAATTTTGTAATTATTGTAGAAGCGTCGTCTAAATTGCTCCTAGAACAAAACCAAAATTTCAAAATTCAGTACGAAGAAACGTTGAAGAATCTGGCTGAAGTCAATAAGACTGTTCATAATTTGGTGACGCTGGTTGGGGGTACAAGGCAGGCTTTGGAGGAACGTTTGACGTGGTTGACTACGGCGCTAGGGGGTACCGATTTGGCTGTGGAGCGCTTGTATCTTATAATATGGCATACGGCTTTCATGTTGGTGTCAATGCTAACATGTGCTTTTCTTTCGGCGCGGTTGTCTACAAGGGTGATGGTGGCAACACTGCCGCCGCTAAATTTAGGTCTCGCGCTGTTTGGGAACGAAAATCAGATGGGGCCGTTGATGCTAGGGAGTACAATCATGAGTTTCGTGTTTGGTAAGAAAAATAACTTTTTGAAAACGTTTGTTGTAATTTTTTTAAATATTTTTGTGAGTTGAATTTGAACAAAATGAATTCACAAGCAAAATCTAAATGTTGTCATAATTTTTGGATTGACAAGCTATTTTTATAAATGTGTTCAGAAATTTGTAAATTTAAACTGTTACACATTAATTTACAAACAACTATGATAACCTTTTGTATATTTGGCATTTTAAGATTTATAAACATTCGTTTCGTTTTAAATTTATGTCATATTTGTATTGAATTGTTTTGAAAAATGTGGAAAATCCGTTTTTTTAATAATGAAAGAAATGCAAAATTTTAAATCATAAACTTATAAAAAAAAATGTATAGATAAATAGCAAGGGCAATAAAAAACACGATCAAAGACGACCATGGATCTTGAAAGTTTGTATTTGATTCCCAAGTCAAACTTTCAAGTTAACGGTAATCTGACAAGACGAAATTCAATCAAAGACAAATCTTGAAAAATTCATGACTCTCTTGAATGTTTTTTATTGTTCTCTTGATACAACGTCTTGGAAAGAGTTGAGTGTTTTTAGTTATAATCTAAAATTAAAAAAATAACTTAAGAAAAACGTTAATTTGTATAAACATGATCAAAATTTTAAAATGGAAACAGGAAAATAAAAAAAAAACGAGAAAATTTTAAAATGAAAAAAAAAGCAAAAAAGTGGCCTTAAAAAAATAAAAATTCATATTTGGAAATGTCATTTTAGGGTTTATAAAGATTCACGTCCGATTTATATCATATTTGCGTTGAATTATTTTGAAAAAACTGAAAAATCAGTTTTTTTTAATGATAAAAAATCCAAATTTTAATTCACAAATTTATAAAAAAAAAATGTATAAGTAAATACCGAGAGAGCAATAAAAAAAACACGATCAAAGACAGCCATGGATCTTAAAAGTTTGTCTTTGATCGTTGCATTTCAAGTCGAACTTTCAAATTGACAGTAACCTGACAAGACGCAAACTCTATCAAAGACAGACCTTGAAAATTCCCTGGCTTTATTTGATAATGTTTTTTATTGCTTTCTTGATATAACTTTTTGAAACCAGTGGCTGAAGATACCAAAAATTATATTTACTATTCAGAGAGTTATTTAGAAATTTTTGTAAAACGTCAGGTTTTAAATTTTGGAAATTTGGAACTTGTTGAACGTGTTTTTAGATATAAGATACAATTTTAAAAATCAAACTAACAAAAACGTTAATTTATTTATGTATGATCAAAATTTAAAAATAAAATATCGGAAAATAAAAAAGATGAGAAAATTTCACAACAGAATTTACTGTCACCTTCACAAAGATTTTTTACACTTGGTAAAATCCAATACATTGTTAAAGTTAGAAATTTTAAAATGAAAAAAAAATAAAAGGAAAAAAGTGACAATCCAAGGTGACCTTAAAAAAAATCACAATTCATATTTGGAAATGTCAATTTGTGTCATATTTGCATTGAATTATTTTGAAAAAACTGAAAAATCCATTTTTTTAATGATTAAAAAATTAAAAATCCAATTGTTAAACCACAAATTTACAAAAAAAATATGTAAATAAATACCGAGAGAGAAATAAAAAATACGATCAAAGTCAACCACGGATTTTGAAATTTTGTGATTGATCGTTGCATTTCAACTCAAACTTTCAAATTGACAGTAACCTGACAAGAAAATTCTGTGAAAGACAGATCTTGAAAATTCTATGGTTGTTTTTGATAATCTTTTTTATTATTCTCTTTATATAACTTCATGAAATCAGTGCCTTAAAATACCAAAAATTGTATTTGCTATTCAGGGAGTTATTTAAACATTTTTGTAATTCGTAAGGTTTTAAATTTTGGAAATTTCGCACTTGTTGAGAGTGCTTTTATTTGTAAGATAAAATTTTAAAGATCAAACTAAGCAAAACGTTAATTTGTTTATACAAGGACAAAATTTAAGAATGAAAATATCGGAAAATAAGAAAAAGGAGAAAATTTCTCAACAAAATTTAATATCATCTTCAAAAAAATTTGAATTTTTGAATGTTGGTCGTGGTGAATTGCAAATATTTAAAATGAAAGAAAAGAGCTAAACAATTGAGAATCAAAATTCGTATTTGGAAGTGACATTTTAGGATTTATAAACATTCATTTAAGGTTTATGTCATATTTGTATTGAATTGTTTTGAAAAATCTGGAAAATCTATTTTTTTTTATGAAAAAATGCAAATATTACACCACAAATTTATAGAAAAAATGTATAAATAAATACCGACAGAACAGTAAAAAAACATGATCAAAGACAGCCATGGATTTTGAAAGTTTGTCTTTGATCGTTGTATTTCAACTTGAACTATGAAATTGAGGGTAATCTGACAATAGAAAAATTTTATCAAAGACAAAACTTGATAAATCCGTGGCTATCTTCGATCGTGTTTTTTATTGTTCTATTGACATAACGTCATGAAAACAGTGTTTTAAAATGTCAAAAATTGTATTTACTATTGAGAGAATTATTTAGAAATTTTTGTATATCGTATAACTTGTTAAGAGTGTTCTTAGTTTTAATATAAAATTTTAAAAATGAAAACAGGAAAATTAATAGAAAATTTCACAATAGAATTTAAAGTCATCTTCAAAGAGATTTGTTACAGTAGGTAGAATCCCATACATTGTCAAAATTTGAGTTTGTGAATGTTAATCGTGATGGAATACAAATATTTCAAATGGAAAAAAATAAGAATCGAATGACCTAAAAACATTGGAAAATAAAAAGAATGAGAAAATTTCACAATAGAATTTAAAGTCATCTTCAAAGAAATTTTTTTACAGTTGATAAAATGCCATACATAGTCAAAATTTGAATTTTTAAATATTAATCGTGATGAATTACAAATTACAAATATTTAAAATGGAAAAAAATAAGAGCTAAAAAAAGAGAATCTAAAGTAACGTAAAAGAATCACAATTCATAGTTGAAAGTGACATTTTAGGATTTATAAACATTCGTTTCATATTTGTCATATTTGCAATGAATTGTTTTGAAAAATGTAGAAAATCCGATTTTTTTAATGAAAAAAGTCCAAATTTTAATCTACAGATTTATAAGAAGAAATAAATAAATACCGAGAAAGCATAAAAAATAATACGATCAAAGGCCCCCTGATTTTGACAGTTTGTCTTTGATGGTTGCATTTTCAACTCAAACTTTCAAATTTGCGGTGATCTGAAAGACGAAAATTCTATCAAAGAAAAATCTTGATAATTCCCTAGCTATCTTTGCTTTTTTTTTATTGTTCTCTTGATATGATTTGTGTTTACCATTCAGAGAATTCTTTAAAAAAAATTCTATATCGTTAGGTTTTAAATTTTGGAAATTTTGAACTTGTTGAGATTGTTTTTAGTTTTAATTTAATATTTAAAAAATCAAACTAAGAAAAACGTGAATTTGTTGGAACGTGATGAAAATTTAAAAATGAAAACATTGGAAAATAAAAAGAACGAGAAAATTTCACAATAGAATTTAAAGTCATCTTCAAAGAGATTTCTTCTATTTCGTAAGATCCCATACGTCGTCAAAATTTGCATTTTTAGAGGTTAATCGTGATGGATTACCAATATTTAAAATGAAAAAAAATACGAGCTAAAAATGAGAATTTAAAGTGTCTTTAAAGAATCAAAATTCACATTTGGAAGTGACATTTTAGGATTTATAAACATTCGTTTCAGATTTATGTCATATTTGCATTGAATTGTTTTGAAAAATCTGCAAAATCCGATTTTTTTGTTTTTAATTAAAAAATACACATTTTAAACTACAAACTTATAAAAAAAATGTGTAAGCAAATATTGAGAAAGCAATAAAAAATAGGATTTTCAACTCAAACTTTTAAATTTGTTGTAATCTGACAAGACGAAAATTCTATCAAAGACAAATCTTGATAATGGCTAACTTTGATCTTTTTTTTATTGTTCTTTTGATATGATTTTAAAACATCAGAAATTGTATTTACTATTCAGAGAATTATTTATAAATTTTTGTATATCGTTGGGTTTTAAATTTTGGAAATTTTGAACTTATGGAGAGCGTTTTTAGTTTTAATTTAATGTTTAAAAAGTCAAACTAAGAAAAACGTGAATTTCTTAGAACGTAATGAAAGTTTAAAAATGAAAATATTGGAAAATAAAAAGAATCAGAAAATTTCACAACAGCATTTAAAGTCTTCTTCAAAGAGATTTGTTACAGTTGGTAGATTCTCATATATTGCCAAAATTTGAATTTCTAAAAGTTAATCGTGATGGATTACAAATATTTAAAATGGAAAAAAATAAGACCTAAAAAAAGGAGAATCTAAGGTAACTAAAAGAATCAAAATTCATATTTGAAAATGACATTTTAGGATTTATAAACATTCGTTTGAAATTTATGTCATATTTGCATTGAATTGTTTAAAAAATCCAGAAAATCCGATTTTTTTAATGAAAAAAATGTAAATTTTAAACTACAAATTTATAAAAAGAAATGTATAAATAAATACCGAGAAAGCAATAAAAAATACGGTCAAAGACACACCTGATTTTGACAGTTTGTCTTTGATCGTTGCATTTTCAACTTAAACTTTAAAATTTGCGGTGATCAAAGACAAATCTTGATAATTCTATGGCTATCTTTGCTCGTTTTTTTTTTATTCTCTTGATATGATTTTAAAATATCAGAAATTGTATTTACCCTTCAGAGAATTATTTAGAAATTTTTATATATCGTTAGTTTTTAAATTTTGGAAAATTTGAACTTGTTGAGAGTGTTTTTAGATTTGATTTAATGTTTACAAAGTCAGACTAAGAAAAACGTGAATTTGGTAGAACGTTATGAAAATTTAAAAATGAAAACACTGGAAAATAAAAAGAATGAGAAAATTTCACAATAGAATTTAAAGTCATCTTCAAAGAGATTTGTTACAGTTGGTAGGTTCCGATATATTGTCAAAATTTGAATTTTTAAATGTTAATCGTGATGGATTACAAATATTTAAAATGGAAAAAAATAAGAGCTAAAAAATGACATTTTAGGATTTATAAACATTCCTTTCAAATTTATGTCATATTTGCATTGAATTGTTTTGAAAAATCTAGAAAATCCGATTGTTTTAATGAAAAAAAAAAATGCAAATTTTAATCTACAAATTTATAAAAAATAAATAAATACCGATAAAGTAATAAAAAATAATACGATCAAAGACACCCCCGATTTTGACAGTTTGTCTTTGATGGTTGCATTTTCAACTCAAACTTTCAAATTTGCGGTGATCTGACAAGACGAAAATTCTATCAAAAACAAATCTTGATAATTCCATGGCTATCTTTGCTCGTTTTTTTTTATTGTTCTCTTGATATGATTTTAAAATATCAGAAATTGTATTTACCATTCAGAGAATTATTTAGAAATTTTTGTATATCGTTGGGTTTTAAATTTTGGAAATTTTGAACTTGTTGAGAATGTTTTTAGTGTTAATTTAATGTTTAAAAAGTCAAACTAAGAAAAACGTGAATTTGTTTGAACGTAATGAAAATTTAAAAATGAAAACATGGGAAAATAAAAAGAATGAGAAAATTTCACGACAGAATTTTAAGTCCTCTTCAAAGAGATTTGTTCTATTTCGTAAAGTCCCATACATCTAAAAAATCACAATTCATAGTTGAAAGTGACATTTTAGGATTTATAAACATTCGTTTCAAATTTATGTCGTATTTGCATTGAATTGTTTTGAAAAATCTAGAAAATACGATTTTTGTAATGAAAAAAATGCAAATTTTAAACAACAAATTTATAAAAAGAAATGTATAGAGAAATACCGAGAAAGCAATAAAAAACACGATCAAAGGCACCTCTGATTTTGACAGTTTGTCTTTGATGGTTGTATTTTGAACTCAAGCTTTCAAAATTCTATCAAATACAAATCTTGATAAATCCATGGCTATCTTTGATCGTGTTTTTTATTGTTCTCTTGATATGACGTCATGAAAGCAGTGCTTAAAAATACCAAAAATTGTATTTACTATTCACTTATTCAGAGAATTTGTAATTTTAGTAATTTAGAAATTTTGGTCAATGAAGTTTTAAATTTTGAAAATTGCAGTTACGATGAAATTTAAAAATGCAAACATAAAATTAAATTTAAAATCATCTTCAAAGATATTTTTTTACAGTTGATAAAATCTCATACATTGTCAAAATTTGAGTTTTTGAATTTTTAAATGTTAGTAGTGATATTACAAATACCGAGTGATTATTAATATTTGCGATTTTTTTTTGACAGGTTGGCAACATATTTAAAATTGTATGATGGCATATCTGATGTCAAATTGATACTTTGAACACCAATTCAGTATCTGCCATTTTCTCATTGGTTTTTAGGCGCCCTTATAACAAAATTGGCAACAGTGACCTGACACGCTAACATTACTAATAATTCAGAATTCCCAATTCAAATATTTTCTTCAATTATTAATAGTCACCTGATATTTAAAATGAAAAAAGGGGCTAAAAAAATGAAAATTATTTGACTTAATAGCACGCGATCAACAGGAATCGTCTAGTTGGCGCTGAATTTTAGCTATCTTTGTCTTTCCCATTGTTAGTCGCAGACACAATGAGAGAGAGAGAGAGAGGGTTTCTTAATATTTTAAAAATACTTTATCTTCATAAATCATAAATTTCCCCACTAGTGAAGAAAGTGTGTAATTATACTACAGGAATATATGTATGTTTTTTTTCAGCTCAAACTATATTATTGTGGGCAATGTCTTTCCGCAGCACCGTCAGAGAAACCCTCCCTTGGATAACATTCCCAGCCCTCAAACAAGAAACCCCGGTTTCAACCAAACGGGAAACCCCGGTTTCAACCAAACAAGGAACACCAACCCGAGACGACGGCGACTTCGACCGAATGAGCACAGGCCTAGCCAGTGAATTGGAGGACGATTTTAATATGAATAGTTTAGGCTCTCCAACCCCCCCTCATTCCAGAAGCGGTTTTTACAGACCTAGGTCTAGAAGTAACACTCCTTTAATTTTAAATGGCGGTGCTAGAGGCACATGCCATGCTAAAACCAGAATGGGAACACCATGTAAACTGTCGAGTTTACCGGGAAGGGATTATTGTTATAGGCACCAGTCAGGTGACTCGGTAATGGGGTCATAATTTTAGTCATTTGTGATAAAAAAGTCACTGATTGCTCGAAAAAAATAGCTGAGTGGAGGGAGTTTTATTTATTTATTATTTTGATTTTAATTATTATTATATTTTTTTAAGTACGTAAGTAACTTGTAGTTGATTTTACATTTAAGGAGGCGCAAACGTTCGTTGTTATGTACTTCTAGTCTAGTGTAGGACTGATTTCTCTTCCTTTTTTATTTTATTGTCTTCACTCAGTCAAGAGCAACTGAACTAATTTTACAAGTACAAGCCCACTGTACAGTCTATATTTATGTATCAGTATAAAATACGAAATAAATTATTTTCTCACGAGGACGTCGCAAGGGTGACCTGTGTTAATTCCTGGTGGATACTAAAGAGGGCGCTTGTGGAGGAAAAATGACACATGGTTACTCGCTCTCTTCTATTATAACTCTAAGTCGCATTTTTTGAAACGGAATGCTTAATAAATTTCTGAAGGATGCAGGCGCTTGACAGTTCTGTGTGCAGACTTGCCTCAATCCGTGCCGATTATTTATAAGCCCGCATCCCGGCGGCGCTATTATTGTTCTGGCAGCATCCCAGATGAGTCTGATAACACGCCACAATGGCGTGCGGAGCGAGGAAAATCCGGCTGGATTTCGATTCCATGCGTTTTCGCCGTGAGTGATAAGATCGATAGCGCGCCTTAAAATCGCGCAAGCTTTTGCACGGCGAACGCACGCCACTGGAGCAGTCGTCGCGCAAGTGTGGCGAAGTGGAGAGGTTCGCGTTTTCACCTTTACATAACCTACGAGCGCCCGGAGGGCGATATGGACTTTATTTTTTCACTGAAAACGTAAGTCCGAGCACTTGGTGGCGTCTCTTTTTGCGTTTTGCATGCGGTGTGGCGATTGACGGATGGGAATTTGGCGGCGGCGGGGTTTGAAAAAATGTGCGCGTTTCGGAGGCATGTTCGGCGTGTTTTGTTTGAAAATTGTGTAATGAATTTAATTTCCGTATGTTTATGGAGATAGAAGCGGCCTTGAGTGGATGTAGCGATGGATCGGGTTGAGCGAGATCATATTCTAATTATATAAATGAGACTGGAATTACGCGATTGCGGGGTTTATGGAAATTCGGGATGCGGAATTTTTTTTGTGTTCGGAGAGTTTAGTCATCGATGATTAATTAAACAATGCTAGTCTTGATTTAGTCGTTATGTAAAGGCAGAGTTTGGCATTTCCGGAATAGCCTGTCGTAATGTCAGATAATTGCGGCAAATAAACCTTGGCGATGATTTTTTTATATCTGATTATTACTAATTATATCTATTTAGTTACAAAACAGGTATTGTTTGTAGGCCACCAGGTCCGTACGTGCGGGTTTAGGGCCGCGAAACGAACACCTGCCAAGGCTTCCCCTTAAAAGTGTGCCAACTTGTATGTGGAAACGTAAAATTTTAATTAAAATTTGTCTGTTCATCCTTTTTCAAAAACCGATGACGTCATCTCAAAATCTTGTTGAATATTATCCATTCGTGACCTTTACAACATAAAGTAGGCTTTGATATTTTTTCTTCATGTTGGATAAACTGATTCGATAATACACGCCTATATAAGTAATAAATGTCAGTTTCAAGGGATGTTTATTAATATTAAAATTAAAAGTTGGTCTTCGTTTCATTTCGTTTCATCATGTTATTGAGGAAATATAACAAATGAAGAATTTTTTTTATAGTTTTCCTTAGTTATTTTATAAACATATAAACACGAAGATATTGATCTAAATTATCAATATAATTTGCATCAGTTTTTTTTTTTTTTTTGCTATTTATAATTAATTATTAAGGATAGAAAAAAGGTTACAGACCAAACTTGTACAGTTCTTTGAGTAATATGTACTAAAATTACTGTCAACCATGCAGAGAGTGTTTTGTTTTTGAAGTATATCTCAAAACTTTTTTTTTTTAATAAAACACCCTATATATTTTTATATAGGCCGACGAAAAAATGACGTATGAGCTTGATGAGGCGTTGTTAAGAAGGCTCTGAAGAACTCGAAAAAAATGCTTAAAAAATCCCTGCACCAAACTTTTGACATTTAAATAATTAGTTATTAATAATTGAATAATAATTTGCTCTAGCGCGTCTCACATCATTCTTTATAATTTTTATCGGAATTTTAGACTGTCAGAATTACGAAGTTGATTAATATTAGCCTCTCCCTAGGTTTTATAACCGTTGTGTATTTTTGACACTTCTATGCGACGTTGCCACGTTATTCAAATTTTCTTGATTTAAAAAAAAAGAAGCACGGTAATATTAATTTTAGTATACAGGGTGTTTATAAAAATTCTGAAATGTTCAAATATAATACCCTTTTATTACTGCATCTTAGTCTATTTTTTGTTCCCTTTATTCTCATGTATCAGTGTATCTCATAAAAAAAATAAATAAAAAATGTCATAATAACTATCAACTTTAAATATAGAAAATACTTACTAAAAAAGAAGAGAACAAAAAATAGAATAAGATGCATAATAAAATACAGAGTGTTCTACTTGAAAAATCACAAATTTTAAAATTAACCCAATTACGATTTTTTGTGAACCCTTTCACTGCTAAAAAAATTCAAGAAAGTTGAAACAAGATATCGAATTGGAGGTTTTGCGATTTTTTTTTCTTGCTGAATATGCAAGAATTTGACGTCACAGTGGAATTGCAAAAATAAATTTTGGTTATCTAATAAGAAGAGGACAATTAGAATATATAAAGATATATCGGGTGTTCAATTTAAAAAAAAGTAAGTTGTGTGTACGGCTTAAAAACAGAACACTCTGTAATTTGAGTGTATGGTCTTCAAAGAACTTTGATCTTTATTTTTTTTTCTTTTTCTAATAATTAATAAAATATTGAGGAGCGTGCTTATTGAGTCACCCTATATACTGGGAAGAATACATTTTTTTGGGTCAAAGAAAGTACTGTTTACTTTGATTTAGTTAAAGATTTTAGGTTTTAGGAAAATAAAAAAAAAATGGCAAGATTTTTAAAGAAAATCGAAAAAACTAAAGAAAAATCCTTCCATTCGTGATCTTTTCAACATAAAGTAGGCATTGATATTTTTTTCTTCATGTTGGATAAACTGATTCGATAATACCTATATGTATAAGTAATAAATATCAGTTTCAAGGAATGTTTTTTCATATTTTTGAAACCATGTGTTCAAAAATTTTGGAAAAAATATTGTAGTTATGTGATTGTGAAATTAAAAGTTGGTCTTAGTTTCATTTCGTTTCATCATGTGTTTATAGTTTTTCTTTTTTTTTTTGATATTTGTATACCGGGTGAGTGACTCGATATCTCATTAATTGTTAAAGATAGAAAAAAGGTTATAGACCAAAGTTGTACGGTTGTTTGAGTAACATGTACTAAAATTACTGTCAACCATACAGAGTGTTTTGTTTTTGAAGCATATCCCAAAAATTTTTTTTTTAATAAAACACTATATATTTTTATACAGGCCGATGAAAGAATGACGTAGAAGTTTGATGGTGCGTTGTTAAGAACGCTCTGAAGAACTCAAAAAAAATGCTTAAAAAATCTCCACACTGAAAATATCAAACTTCAGAGTTGATAATTTTTATCGGAATTTTAGACTGTCAGAATTACGAAGAATAAATAGATGTATTAATAAAATACAGAGTGTTCTATTGAAAGAAAATTATAATAATTTCAGTGTTTTTTTTTTTGTACACACTGAATATTAAGACTCAGTTTTGTTTATCTCTTTGCAAAATATTATACCACAAATTTTAGAAATAACCGTAGTATTCTTTGAACAACAAGGCATGTTTTGCACGATAATTTCTTGTACAGAAACAAGGATTTTAAGCTCCACCTTCTTGGCTCACGAAGAATAACAAAAATCATCACAATTGAGATCGGGTGGGTGGGCGGGGCTTATATTTTGCCCTTTTTTCTTAATATTTGTAGTCTTTTCGCAACAAGAAGCTTAACATATGTTTAAAACAGGAAATATGCATTTTGCAATTGACAACGAATGAAAAATTCATCACGATTGATATTCAGACGAATGGGTGGGACTTATCTTTGGCTTTTTTTTTATTTACTAGCAACACCACCACTGAAGAACATGTAATTCTTGTATAAAAATACGGATTTTGTAATTAGGCTCCGCCCCCCTGACTAACGACGAACAAAGAAAAATCGTCACAATTGAGATAGGGTGGGTGGGTGGGGCTTATGTTTTGCATTTTTTTTTTCTTTTTAATATGTATATGTAGTCTTTTCTTCACAACAGGAAACTGAAAACATGTTTAAAACGGTAAATTTTATCTTCTACACTTCTCTACAAATTTACTCTTTCAAACATGTGTTCAGTTTCTTGTCGTGAAAAAAAAACTACGTACATATGTTAAAAAAAAGACAAAATACAAAGCCCTCATCTCAATTGTGATAACGTTTTTATTCGTTGTGAGCCGAAGGGCGGAGTTTATTGCAAAATACGTAGTTCCTTACAAGAAACGACCATGTGAAACATGTTGTTGAAAGGAAACTATATATGTTAAGAAAAAAAAGTCAAAAAATAAGCCCCACCCACCCGCCCCTATCTCAATTGTGATGAATTTTTCATTCGTTGTCAGACCGAGGGGCGGAGCTTATTTGTAAAATCGATGATTCCCGACAAGAATTTTAGTTTTTTTCGATTTTAAGGACACAGCCTGATAATATTAAAATTTTAATTGCAGATTTATTCGTTTTGAATTAAGCAAAAAATGTTATTCCTATGTATTTTTTTTTTGTAAAATAGAAAATAGAGTTTTTTTTCCCTCTTGTGAACTCAATCCGGGGATATACTGTATATTGTCGTGAAAAAAATTATTACGTAAAAAAAGCAAAATTATGGTTTTTTGTATACGAAAAAAAATCCAAGTTGTGTGTTACGCCTTAAAAACAGAACACTAATTTGAGTGTCCTCAAAGAACTTTGGTCTTTAATTTTTTTCTAATAATTAATAAGATATTGAGGAACGCGGTTAATGACTCACCCTGTGTATTGAGAAAAATCAATTTTGTTTACTCAAAGAACGTACAGAAAAATTAAAAACCGAGTTGATAGTCAGATGAAAAAAATAAAGAAAGCTCGTTCGACCCTTGAAATACTTTTTTTCCCCAAAAATTCCCCAAAATATTTTTAACTTGATTTTTTAAATCTGTTCGTTAATTATTAGGTGTATTTATTATGCGTACTTTGACAAAAGTACATGAAAGAATTCCTGTTTTCAAAAAAAAAATTTTTTTGTCAAAAAAGAGTTATCTTCAAAATAAAAAAAAGCCATATTCATCTTTTGGAAAAACTTTTTCTCCAAACATGATTGTATTTGAAGCCTTCCTTTATCTGTGATTTAATATGTCTCTAACTTTCTGCTTGTGCCATATACAGGTTGTTCAAATAAGGACTCATAAGCTCGATGGTAGGTTGTTAAGAAGGCTCTACGTGAATCGTAATTTAGCAAATTATTTTTAAATTATTGATAACTATTTATCTGTCGATTAATCGACATGCAGTTCGTTAAAATAATTCAGCTTTGACGTTTAATATTTTCAAAAAATTGGTTCAGAGATTTTTGTAACCCTTTTTTTTGAGTTCTTCAGAGCCGTCTTAACAACGTATGCGTGATTTTTGGAACACCCTGTGTATTATAAAAAAAAAAAAAACAAATAATTTGGTGAGGTACAATCAAAATTTCTATGAGAAAATTATAGAACGGACTTTATGATCAGTGTTATAACGTATAATCAAAATCCAACCATCCATCAAAAAGTTGATGACGTAATTAAAAAAAATTGTTGGGCAACTATTGATTGCATTTTTTTGCTTATTGTTGTGCTTCAGAAGCGAAGGAAATTCCGTGCAGGACGATATTATTTATTTTAAAATTTTCAAAAAAAAAAAAAAAATGTAAAACAAGGCATGGTATATTTCATTTTGGAAATTCCAAAAGTACTCCAATTTTCTTGATTTTTTTTAATAGTGCGAAGCATCGAAATCAAATCACAATATGGTTTTTCATTACATCACCTAATCGGTGTATTTTTGCAGGAAATGTATATTTTTTAAATTCAATAAAAAATATTACAACTTTTTTCTCTCTCATTTTGGAACCACGAGTTCACCGTGTTAATATTTTTTAAATATTGAAACGTGGAGAAACGGACCACTTTTTTTAACATAGACAGACTAGTTCATAACTCCACTTCCATTTTTCATGTGTAATCTCCATGACTTCCAATTATCGCGTTCATTCATCATTTATGGTCGCAATATTGCGAAACTCTCTCGACTGTCACCTACAAAACAGCGCTTCTAGTTTGTAATGTACTTCAGAATCAGATTACACTTTGCTAAATTGGGACAAATCGATGTATTTGCCAAGGCCTGTTTCCCGACAAGACCAATATTTACAGAAAAAATGTAATAACTCCACATAAAACATGTATCGATTATCGAAAAAAACCGTCGTATTAAAACATTCTCGTTTCATTGCTCGCGCTATCTTGGGTAAATAGACAATTAAGCGTCACGTTTGTAATTGATGACAAAATCAGCGGGCCAAAACCCCATCTGCCAAATCTTTCTGCATTGCATCCACCAGCACATTTTTGGTTTCTGTTTTCTAACAGTTCGTTTTATTGTAGCTTCACTTGAAGTAATCACAGCATGGCCTCTCGACTAGGCAAAGTAGTTATAGGGGGATTCACCACAACGGTGGGGGCTGGATTGGCTGGTTATTTGTTTCTGACGGACGAGAAAGATAGACGAGTAAGTGTTTTTTTAACTATTGTTTAAATGTAGTGATAATTAGTTCCAGTATTAACTTACCTAAGCACGTTTTTAAATTATCGGTAGTTGTATAAACGCGTGATAAACACTATTAATTGTATGATGAACATCAAACGATAACGTGAATTTTAGGAAAATTGGATTTTATAGACTTATAAAAATGTTTCCTTTAAAATGAAAATTTTTATCGTTCGCTCATGCTTGCTATTTGGCAACGTTTATTGCTTTTTATGAGGAAGGAAACATAACTTACGGGTATTAAATTAATCAGCGTGCTATAATTATAACTTCTCGTTGGAAATCAATATATTACCACGACACAGGTAATGAAAATTAAAAAAAAAAGAAGAAGAATTAAACCAATGCATTCTTTTAAGTCAAAAAAGTCAAAAATTAAAATAATGTTTTAAACAAACCTTCCTTGTTATGTAAGTACTTGGAAACTGTAAACTGATGATTTCATAGGAGGCTAAAAATATGGAATTAATTTATTTAAAGTTTTCCGTGGATTGCAATTTTTTAAAAATTTTCAAAATGGTTTTCTATAAGTGGAACGAAATAATGGAAAATTTCCTTTAAATAAATATAGAAAATGTTGATGATGTGAAAGTAAAACTGTAAAACTGAATTTTTCTGGTGTGTGTGGTAATTTTGACACAAATCTTTAATGTGAAAAAAATTATATTTATCTCACTGAAAAATTATGATAATGAAAATGAAGTTTCAAAACTTTTGGAAAATTGATATAATTATTAACAAGAGTGTTTTTTAACCAGAATAATTAACTTTTTTTGAAATGAAATTCGCTGGTTGGTTTTTCCAGTTCGTGACGTTTATTGCTTTCTTTACTAGGAATGAAACAGTTGAATTTAGACGATTAAGATAAGTTGTGTTATCTCATGAAGTATTTCGGTCTGTCACATTCAAACCATTTAATGAAATTTCTAAAAAAAAAGCCGAACAGTTACTAGAAACGTGATTTTTAATCTAATAATCTAATTAGAATAGTAAAATTAAGATGTATTTTCTTATTGCCGGAAACGAATATAAATAATATACCCCTAAAAGTTCTAGTAGGCCATGACATTATTTCTAAAATTGCAACTATTTGACACTTTACTGACAGTTATTTGATCGTGACTGTCAAATTGAACAAGGAACGCGATGTTGCCAACGTCATTATTTTAAAAATAAATGTTGTGATCCACTACTAGAGGATTCTTGACTTTTTACGGTTTCTAAACACTCTATACTCTCATCTCCGTAGATTCTGTAAATTATTTCTAGGTTTTCAAACCTCTAAATTGCCGTGCCCGTCTAGGTTCTCCAAACTCTTCGTATTTTCTAAAATCTGCAGGCTCTAGACTTGGTAGATTTTGTAGACTCTGCAGCTGCTGTAGATCTTTAAAATCTTTAAAACTTTATGGGCTATTGAAATTCTCTACATTTTCTAGACTATCCACAGCTTCTAGACATTATCCGGTGTAGATTATTATTTCTAGACGGTACATATTTTCTCAAGGGTTTTTGGGCAGTCTAGGTTTTCGCTATTTAGTAAGATTTTTCGATTTCGTATATTCCCTAAACTCTATACTCTTAAAGCTTTGCACTCTCTGAACTCACTAGGGTCTTTAGGTTGCCTAAATTGTGTATAGGTTCATTAAATTCTCTGGACTTGCTTAAAGTTCTTTAAACTTTACATCTCTGAGATTTCTAAATTCTAGATTTCTAATATTTTCTAGAATTTCTGGGTTCTCTTGCGTCCGTATACTTTCTAGACTCTTTAGAGTGCAAATTTTCAAGATTTTTTGGGCTGCATGGAGTTTCTCGACACTAAATGCTATATATTCTATAGACTGTAGATTCTTTACAGCTTCTGAATTCTCAAAACTATCTAGGTTTTCTCTGGACTCTTCTAGAGTTTTTAGTCATTCTTTTGTAGGTTTGCTAAACTCGGTACTCTCTTAAACCTCCAAACTCCATGGACTCACTAGAATCTCTAGATTGCCTGAGCTCTGCGTCCTCTATGGAGTCATATTCAGTAGGTTCATGTAATTTCTGAGATCTCTAAATTCTAAATTTCCAATAGTTTCTAGTCTTTCTGGACTGTTTAATCTCCGTAGGCTCCCTAAACTTTTCGAATTTTTCGAGGTTTTCTGTAGACTCTATACCTTGTAATGTTTCTAGGTACTCTAGATTTTCGCTATTTGGGAATATTTCTCGATTTTGCAGATTCCCTAAACTCTGATCTCTTAAAGCTCCAGACTACCTGGACTCACTTGAATCTCTAGATTGCCCAAACTCTCTGGACTCTATAGAATCTTTATATTTTGCAGACTTTAAACTGTGTGGATTCTTTACCATTTCTAAATTTTCTAGATCTTATAGGTTTTCTCTAGACTCTATATCTTCTAGCGCTTCTAGGTACTCTAGTTTTTCGCCATTTGGGAGTATTTATCGATTTTCTAGATTTCTTAAACTCTACTCTCTTAAAGCTCCAGACACTCTGAGCTCACTAGAATCTCTAGATTGCCCAAACTCTCTATACTCTATGGAATCCTTATATGCTGCAGACTTTCGAGACTGCCTTTAATTTATGGGTTCTCTATTCCTCATAAGTTCATCAAATTCTCTAGATTTTTAGATTTCCTTAAATTTCTTTAAACTTCAAGTAATTTCTGAGATCTCTAAATTCTACGTTTTTCCAGTATTTTCTAATCTTTCTGGGCTCTTTAGTCTTCGAACTGGTTGGTCTCTAGAACTTCTAATTCTCAAGACTCTAAGTTGTATAGAGTTTCTTGACACTATTTTCTAGATTCATTAGACTTTGTGGATTCTTTACGGTTCCCAAACAGTTTAGATTCTATACTTTTAGTGTTTCTACTCTACGTTTCTCGATTTTGTAGATCTCCTAAACTCTACTCTCTTAAAGCTCCAGACTTTCTGGACTCACTAGAATCTCTAGATTATCTAAACTCTGTGTCATCTATAGAATCATTATATTCTGCCAGACTCTCTCTATCTCTTGTAGATTCATCAAATTCTCTAGAGTTCCTTGAAGTTCTTTAAACTTCACGTAATTTGGGCTCTCAAGTCTCCGTAGGCTCTCTAAACTTTTTGGACTTCAAATTCTTAAGATTCTCTAGACTGTACAGAGTTCCTCGACATTGTGTTCTTTAGATTCTTTAGACTCTGCGGATTCTTTACCGTTTCTAAATTTTCTAGACTATCTAGGTTTTTTTCTAGACTCTATATCTTCTAGCGTTTCTAGGCACTCTAGTTTTTCTTTATATTCTTCAGACTTTCGAATCTTTCGTTCCTTTATGGCTTCTCTGTCTCTTATGGGTTCATCAAGTTCTGTAGATTTCTAGATTTCGCTGAAGTTCTTTAAACTTCACATAATCTCTAAGATCTCTAAATTCTAGATTTCCAATATCTTCTAGTCTTCCTGGGCTCTCAAGTCTCCGTAGGCTCTCTAAACTTTTTGGACTTCAAATTCTTAAGATTCTTTAGGGTGTATAGACTTTCTCGACACTGTGTTCTCTAGATTCTTTAGACTCTGTGGATTCTTTACCATTTCTCAATTTTCTAGACTATCTAGGTTTTTCACTAGACTCTATATCTTCTAGCGTTTCTAGGTACTCTAGTTTTTCTTTATATTCTTCAGACTTTCGAAACTTTCGTTCCTTTATGGCTTCTCTGTCTCTTATGGGTTCATCAGGTTCTGTAGAGTTCTAAATTTCGTTGAAGTTCTTCAAACTTCACATAATCTCTAAGATCTCTAAATTCTATATTTCCAATATGTTTTAGTCTTCCTGGGCTCTCAAGTCTCCGTAGGCTCTCTAAACTTTTTGGACTTCAAATTCTTAAGATTCTTTAGGGTGTATAGACTTTCTCGACACTGTGGATTCTTTACCGTCTCTAGATTTTCTAAACTATCTAGGTTTTCTCTAGACTCTATACCTTCTAGCGTCTCTAGGTACTCTAAGTTTTCGCTATTTGGGAATGTTTCTCTCTAGAATCTCTAGATTGCCAAAACTCTCTGTAGGTACTCAATTGAATCTTTATATTCTACAAACTTTCGCAACTTTCTTTCCTTTATGGGTTCTTTGTCTCTTATGGGTTCATCAAATTCTGTAGATTTCTAGATTTCATTGGAGTTCTTTAAACTTCACGTAATCTCTGAGATCGCTAAATTCTAGATTTTCATTATTTTCTGGTCTTTCTGGGCTCTTTAGTCTCCATAGGCTCTATAAACTTTAACTCTAGGTTGTATAGAGTTTTGTGATTCTCTATATTCTTTAGACTTTGTAGATTCTTTGCGGATTCTGAATTCTCTAGACTGTTTAGGTTTTCTCTAGAGCCTATATCGTCTGACGTTTCTAGATACTCTAGGTTTTCGCTGTTTGAGAGTATTTCTTAATTTTGTAGATTCCTTAAACTCTACTCTCTTGAATTTCCAAACTTTCTGTATTCACTAGAATTTCTAGATTGCCCAAACCCTCTATATTCTGTGTAAATCTTTATATTCGGGAGACTTTCTAAACTTTCTTTCCTTTATGGGTTCTCTATCTCTTATAGGTTCATCAAATTCTCTAGACTTCCTTGAAGTTCTTTAAACTCCACATAATCTCTGAGATTTCTAAATTGTAGATTTCCAATATTTTCTAAAATTTCTAGGTTCTCTAGTCTCCATAGGCTCTCTAAACTTTTTGGACTTCTAAATTCTTTCGACTCTATACCTTCTAGAGTTTCTATGCACTCTAGGTTTTCTCTCGACTCACTAGAGTCTCTAGATTGGCGGAAGTCTTTGTACTCTAGGAAGCCTCATATATTCTGCAGACTTTCTAGTCTTTCTTTCCTTTATCATCAAATTTTTTATTCTCTCCAGATTTTCCAGAGTCCTTAAAGGCCAGACTCTCCATACGTCAAATTTCTCTACATCTATGCTATTCAACCTACCTAAATTCTTTATGTTTTTTAGGGTTTCTAGATACGTACTCTGGATTTTACACGTTCTGTTGGCATTCTAACTCTGTAAACTCTATGTAGGCTCTAGATTCTGAAATCTCTAAACTGTCGAACAAGGAAACGTCATAAATTTTACGCAGATTTTCAATATTTTCTGGATTTTCTGATCTCTCTAGCTTCCGTAGGCTGTCTGGATTTCAGATTCGCTAGACTGCATAGAGTTTCTTGACATTATATTTTCTAGATTCTTCAGACTGTGGATTTTTGACGGCTTCTAAGTTCTCTAGGTTTTCTCGGATTTCTAGGTAATAATAAATAACTATATTAAAAAAAATATAGAATCTTGATTATTAGACAACTGCTTTTTATTAAATCTACTTATCGATTTATCAACGATAAGTAATTCCTGGAGTAATGTTACGTACAAAAATACCAAAATACCGGACGTTGCAAAATATTATATGCAAGCAGTATCCCTTCTTTTAATACAACAGAAAGCTCAACTACCTTAGATATTTAAAGTTACACGTATTAAAAACCGGCAAAGAACAAGCTAAACATTATATAAATACATAACAGTAATTTATTATTTTCAGTGGCCAATCAAAGCCCACGCCGAACGCGCCCCCCTTAAAGCCAAGAGACCTCTACCATCCCGAGACGAGCAAATTAAATCCCTACAAAGCGATTCTTTCGATATAGTTATAATTGGAGGCGGCGCCACCGGCGCCGGCTGTGCCTTAGACGCTACAACTAGAGGACTAAAAACGGCCCTAATCGAAGCAGACGACTTCGCCAGCGGCACTTCCAGCAGAAGCACCAAACTCATCCATGGAGGCGTCCGGTACCTCCAGAAGGCCATCATGCAGTTCGACATCGAACAGTATAGGATGGTCAAAGAGGCCCTGCACGAAAGGGCCAGCATGCTGCACTCGGCGCCGCACTTGGCGCACCCTTTGCCAATTATGCTCCCGGTTTACACGTGAGTTAGCAAGCTCTGAATTATTGGTTGCATACTCAATTGATCACGAAATGCAACCCAAAATACACGTTCATAGGCATAATTATTGTAAAAACTTTAACAACTGTCATAGTGTCACACTCTTCTATTTTTAATGATTCCTGCAGCTGGTGGCAGGTCCCCTACTACTGGGTGGGCATCAAAATGTACGACTTCGTCGCCGGCAGCAAAACCCTCAAAAGCTCCTACCTCCTCTCGAAGAAAAACGCCCTGGAGCTCTTCCCCATGCTCCGAGGGGACAGACTCAGCGGCGCCATCGTGTACTACGACGGCCAGCAAGACGACGCCCGGATGAACCTTGCCGTCGCCTTGACCGCCACCCGACACGGCGCCACTGTTGCCAACCACGTCTCCGTGACCGGACTTATGAAAGAACGAAACTCCCAAGGCAAAGAAGTCATCTGTGGAGTCCACGTCAAAGACGAACTCACGGGAAAAAAGTGGACCATTCCTACGAAATGTGTAATAAACGCCACTGGGCCCTTCACCGACTCCATCAGGAAAATGGACAACCCACAAGTCAAAGAAATCTGCTCGCCCAGCAGTGGCGTTCATATCACCCTTCCTGGCTACTACAGCCCGGAACAAATGGGTCTGCTCGACCCATCGACCAGCGATGGGCGCGTCATTTTCTTCCTTCCGTGGCAAAAGCAGACCATCGCTGGGACGACGGATTTGCCGTGCCAGGTCACCCACAGCCCGAAGCCGACGGAAGACGAGATTATGTTCATTTTAGAAGAAGTGAAGAATTATTTGAACCCTGATGTTGAAGGTGGGTTTAAGGCGGGCGTGACGATTTAATTCAAATCGGGATTTTATTTGGTTGTAGTTCGTCGAGGCGACGTTCTGTCAGCGTGGAGCGGGATTAGGCCTTTGGTTTCCGACCCGAATAAACCCGATACGCAGTCGTTGGCTAGAAATCATATAGTCCATGTGAGTGGGAGTAATCTGGTAACGATTGCTGGGGGGAAATGGACGACGTATAGAGCTATGGCTCAAGAAGCTGTTGATGCTGCTGTAGAAGCGTGCCAGTTAAATCCGGCTCATAAAGAGTGCCAGACTGACGGGTTGTTGCTAGAGGGCGCTCACGGTTGGACTCCCACTATGTATATTCGATTGGTGCAGGATTTCGGGCTTGAGTGTGAGGTAGCGCAACATTTGTCGAAGTCGTATGGTGATAGGGCGTTTGCGGTGGCCAAGATGGCGGCACTGACAGGTAGGACCAATAGGACTTTGTTGTGTTGTTTTAGACATGTGAGTCTTCCTTATATGACAAGACATCATTATATACCGAGTCTAATAATATTTTGCTAAATAACATTGATACACAGGCGGGGTAGTTCAGAAATTTTTGAAAATTGTTCGGAAAATTTTGACAGCCACTGACAATATTTCCTAAGTTTAGCAAAAGACTCCCGAAGTCTGCACGTGCATGAACATGAGTTCCAAAATATATATATGTAGTAAAAAAATCAAATGACGATTTTTAGTTAGATTGTTTTATTGAAGTCTCTCCATAAATGTATTCGAAAAAAGTCTTGCTCAGTTTGACAATTACAGTCAAATGAAAATTATTTAAAAATCATTTTCATGGTATACAAGATTTCCTTTTCTTCGAATTTTAGATAAAAATTACTTTCCATTTTTCGCTTTTGAAAAACCTAGAATTTCCATCCTAGACTCGACGTCTAGGAAGATCTGCTAAAAGTTATGCTGATTGATCCATTTCCTAGGATATATTAAATTTTGCCGACGTAATTATGGATTTCTTGAAAAATAGCTGCATTTTAAATTGTGAAATGTCAGTCGCAGCGAAAATGTCATCAGTGCATTTAATGTGAGTGCTTTCTGGGTTTGTTATTTTAAGGTTGAAAAAGTGATTTAAAATAGAATAACGTTGGACTAGTATTTGTTTTCTATTCTTTGTTTGAATTAGAGAAGAAGTATGTACTACATATATGTATATACAGGATGTGTTAATAAGCGTGCCCTCTTTGATACAAAATTATTTCAGGTTTTTAGCATTTTTTAACAGTGTAAAGGTTCACAAAAAAATTAGGATTATTTTTAAGATTTGTATCGTAATATTCTATGGATGGATACAGAAAATCAAGCACTCTGTTGCGTCTCTTTATCGGCTTTATTTCGTCTTTTTGTTATCTTTATTTGTGCTTCTCTCGTTATTTTTTGTTGTTTTTTATATTCGCCTTTTGTTTTCCTCGGATTTTGTCATCTTATTTTGCTTTTGTCCATGTTGGTTGTTTGTATTCTCGCTTTTTTTATCGCTTTTTCTTTCTCGCTGTTTTTTGCGTTTTTTTTTTTGATCTGCTTTGCATCATATTTTGTCTTCCTTGCATTTTGTCGTCAGTTTTTCTTTCCTTTTTTTCACCCTTTTATTACATTTTTTTTAATCCTTTTTGTCGTTTTCCTTCTCGCCTTTTTTTACTTGTGTTGATGTTGCATCTTTTGCGCCTCTTTTGTCGCCCTTTTTGTCAATTAATTTTTTTTTTGTCTTTTCTTCTCGTTTTTTAGTTTTCACCAGTTTTTTGTTAAATTTTTGTAATTTTTTGATATTGCTTTTTGCGATTCTTATGTCATATTTGTTTGTTTCTTATCGCTTTTTTGTTTCCACCTTGTTTTGTGAAGTTTTTGTGGCTTTATTTCTCGTTTTTTTTTGGCCCCTTGCGTTTTTTGTTGTTCCGTTTTATTTTCTATTTTGTTGCTTTTTTGTCACCTCTTTTCGGCCTCTTTTTAATTGTGTTTTGTTTTCCTTGCATTTTGTCATCTCTTTTTTGTCTTTTTTTTCCCACGTTAATTTTTCTCTTGTTTTCTCCTCGCTTTTTCTTTTGTTTTGTTTTTTACCTTTTTGTTGTTTTGGTGGTGTTGCGTTTTTCGGAATTCCCCCCTTTTTTTAATTTTTTTTGGTCACATTTTTTGCGTGTTTTTCTCATTCTTTTGTTGACCTTTGGTTTTGTTGACTTTTTTGTCGTTTTTTGGCTCCCTTTTTATCGCTCTTTTTTTTCCTCACATTTTGTCAGCCTTTTTTGTCCTCCTTGATTTTGTCCTATTTTTCTTTTTTTTTCATCTTTTTTTGTTCATTTATTTTTTTTTTGTAAACTTTTGTCGTTTTTTGTGTTATTTTTTGCGCTTCTTCTGTCACCTTTTTTGTTTGTTTTTTTTCTGTTGGTGTTTCATCTTGTTTTTTGTCTTTTTTGACCATTTTTTTCCGGCTTTTTAGTTTTCCCCGTGTTTTTGAAAACTTTTTGTCGTTTTTTGATCTTGCTTTTTGCAATTCTTCTGTCATCTTTGTTTTTTTTTATACTTTTCTCTTTTTTCTGTAGTCATTTTTTTGGTAGCTCTTTTCTTATGAGTGTTTTTTGTTGTTACGGTTTATTCTATTTTTTGCTGCTTATTTCTCACCTTTTTTCTCGGCTCCTTTTTAATCGCTTTTTGTTTTCCTCGCATTTTGTCATCCGTTTTTTGTCGTAAATTTTCCTTTTTTTCACCTTTTTTTCTGGTTTTTTCATTTTTTTTGTGATTTTGGTGGTGTTTTTTTTTGTCCATTTTTTTTACTTTGATTCCCTTTTTGTGAACTTTTTGCCTTTTTCTTGTGTTTCTTCAGTCACTTTTTTTGTTTTTTTTTTGTCGCCCTTTTTAAAATAGTTTCCTCGTTTTTTCTCTTATGTTGATGTTGCGTTTTCGTCTTGTTTTGTTAATTTTTTTTTGTCGTTTATTTGGTTCCATTTTTTGTCGCCTTCTTTCTTCGCATTTTATCGCCCCTTTTTTTCCTTTTTTTCATCTCTTTTTGATGTTTTTTTTTTGGCCTTTTGGCACCTTTTTTTTTGTTGTCTTTTACGCGAAGAAAATCACTTTTTTATTTTCGCTCCTTTTTTCTGAAATTTTTTGTAGTCGTTTTTTGTCAACCCTTTTCTTATTCTCTTTTTGTTGCTTTTTTTGTCACCTTTTTTTCGGCCTCTTTAATCGCCTTTTGTTTTCCTCGCATTTTGTCATCCTTTTTTTGTCGTAAAATTTTCCTTTTTTGTGTACCTATATTTTTTCTCCTTTTTTTTTATCTTTTTTCTTCTCGCTTTTTCTTTTCTTTTTTTTTATCATTTTGTCGTTTTGGTGGAGTTGTTTGTTTTGGCAATTTTGTCGTTTTGGGCAATTTCATGGTGTCGGACGTAAAATTTGGAACACAAAATACAATGTAAAAGCCTCCTGCATCAATTCATAATAATTTTGATACTATTATTGTTAATGAAACATCTAATAAGACATCGTAGATTATAAAAATAATATATTTGCAGCAAATAGTTCCCACATGTTTAAGCGAGAATCTTACATATTTTGGTGTCGGACGTATTCACACAAAACCATAACCAAACAGTGAGTTGTATGAACGTAATTTTCTGCGAATTTTGGAAATATTCGAAGTATTGAGAGAAATCATACTATGAAATGATATGTTTAGAATACACCTATAACGTCAAACCATAGTTAACAATTTAATTTGTATATTTTAAAATAATTTAAGTTTGGTGTCGGACGTAAATTTATGGTGTCGGACGTAAACTTATCAAATAAAATTACGCAAATAAAATGGTTTAAAGGTATATTTAACTAGAACAACATTTAATTCTTAATGAAAACAAACTAATAGGACTAAATATTTATTTTTACTCCCCGAGGAGTATCTCCAGGCAACTCACTTATGAGCAAATCGCCTTTTCCACAAGGCTGCACAAAATGAAGAGATTGACAACCAGTAATAGACTTCGCGGTTTTCTATTGGTGTCGTTTAATAAATGTGTGCCAGAAGAACTGTTTCAGTTTAGTCTTCAGTTTTTGAAATATTTGTGAAGATGTTTCAGATAAATTGACTTTGTGCGTCCATTGATATTTTGCCACTGACAGTACTCTAGCACTATTTCTTCAGTTGGAGTAAACGCATCTATTTTATTACGGCATAAATCACAAAGTTGTAACATACAATCTTTCGAAGAATCGTCGCAAACGATTTGAGAAATAAATTCTCCAGTATTTGTTTTTAGATCTGTGCACTTTGCAAGTGTATCGAGTAAAAGTTTGATATTTTCGTGGTATATACAAACACATACCGTATGTGGAAGAGATCGAAAGAGTTTGCAGTGTTTTGGTCGTAAAAGAGTAAACTTTGTAAATCCTATCTTTATATCTGAATGTACAGTCTGAAAATGTGAGTACGTTTCTTTTAATGACGACAATAAATATCTTGCTTGTTTTTCCACCTTTTTCCCACATTCTTTATATACAACTTTATCTTTTTTTCCATGAGCTTGCCAACTGACTTCGTCTTGTTCGTGAAAGTTTTTCACAATATCTGAATGATTGTCCTTTTGTAACGGGAAAATAGGCGGACCGTCGTTAACATCTATTTTGTACTGTAAAGCCAACTGATAAATCACTTCCTTACATCTTTCAGCTGACTTTGGCAAATTATTAGTTACCTTCTTTAAAGCTTTTCCCAATGCTTGTCGACTTTTGTAGACGGTTGATAATTGTTCAGTAGAAGAACTAGACTCTACATTTTCTTTACTTTTTTGCTTCTTCATTTTATACCAGTTTTTCATTCTTTCGCATTCCTTTATTTTAAATTGTTTTAGCTGGTATGCTGTCATTTTTTGATTACGCTTGGTCCGGTACTCAATTTTCCTTAATCTGTCCTTTTCCAGGTATGCTTTTTTCAATTCAGGATTACTGTTTAATTTTACCCTTCTTCTTGCCATTTTTTGCTGATTTGTTAACGCCATTATTTAACACGCGTATGCAACAATTTATACATAGATACATTTAGAAAATGTCAAAAAAATAATTTCGAACCCGCCTAGGCTTGCGTAGGTTTCTATCTTCTGCGTGACGAGACTTTCGAAATTTAGAAATAGAAATATTTTACGTCCGACACTACTATTTTACTAAAGACCGTCAGAGTATACTTGAACTTAATTATCTCAAGAGTTGTATCATCTAAAGGTTGCATTATATCCGGTAAACTGATTAATTATTATTTCAAATTTACATGTGGCAAAGATATTTTGTATTTTTTTTGGTGTCGGACGTAAACGCTTTCAGTAAGTGTATTTATTTTATTCCTTTTGTAATAACTACCCCAAATTGTATTGATTAAATTCGGGTAAAGTAACACCTGACAATCATTATTAAGAGCAAGATTACAATTTGTCTTGATTATAAAGCGTAATAATTATTTTTGTTTAAATTACGAAGTCACCATGTAATATGAGAATAATTAAGTATTCGGTCATATTATAAAAAACACTCAAAAATTAAATAATTTCAAAATCTTTTCAAAAATCGATACTAGTATGAAACTAATGAATATTTACTCCAGTGGTGGAAGTAAATTTAATTGTATAAATTTGCAATTAATTTTATTGGTGTGAAGTTGACAAATTTGTGAAACTGCCCTTTTGTTTTTTAGTTTTTTTGGTCACATTTTTTTTAGTTGGACTTTTTTTTTGATTCTCTTTTTTTGTCCATTTTTTTTTTGTTTGTTTCCCTTTTTATGAACTTTTGCCTTTTTTGTGTTATTTTTTGTTCTGTCATCTTTTTTTGTTTTTTTGTCGCCTTTTTTAAAATAGTTTTCTCGTTTTTTTTTTTGTTGTGTTGTTTTCATCTTGTTTTGTGGATTTTTTTTTGTCGTTTCTTTGTTTTCATTTTTTGTCGCCTTTTTCCGTCGCATTTTATCGCCCTTTCATCTCTTTTTGATGTGTTTTTTCTCGCCTTTTGGCGCCTTTTTTTGGTTGTCTTTTAAGCGAAGAAACTCACTTTTTTATTTTTGCTCCTTTTTTGTGTATTTTTTTGTAGCCGTTTTGCTGGCCCTTTTCTTATGAGCCTTTTTTGTTGTTCCGTTTTATTCTCTTTTTTGTTACTTTTTTGTCACTTCATTTTCGGTCTCTTTTTAATCGTCTTTTGCTTTCCTCGCATTTTGTCATCCCTTTTTTTGTAAAATTTTCCTTTTTTACCACCTTCATTTTTCTCCTTTTTTCCATCTTTTTTTCTTCTCGCTTTTTCTTTTTTCTTTTTTTTAGCTTTTTGTCATTTTGGTGGGCACTTTTTTGTTTTTTGGCTCCCTTATTTTGCTTTTTTTTCATCTTTTTTCGCGAACTTTTGTCGGTTTTTTGTGTGTTATTTTTTGCGGTTTGTCTGTCACCTTTTTTGTTTTTTAACGGATTTTGTAAAAATATTCTTCTCGTTTTTGTTTTTGTTGTGTTTCATCTTGTTTTGTGGATTTTTTGTTGTTTTTTTGGTCCCTTTTTTTTTTCTTCGCTTTTTATCGTCCCTTTTTTTGTCCTTTTTTGATCTCTTTTTAATGTGTTTTTTCTCGCCTTTTGACGTCTTTTTTTGGTATATTTTATGTTAAAAAACTCACTTTTATTTTCGCCCTCTTTTTTGAGGAATTTTTTTGTCATATTTTTTGCAGAATTTTTTTAACAAAATACAAATATCCATATTTTACATTAAAAATCAAAAGAGTATCCATAAAACTGTGGTATCAATAAAGACGAGCTCTAGTATACAGATTTTGTATAAGAAATCTAAAATATTTTAATTGTGGAATATTCATATTTCGTATTTTTAAATATGACATTCTATTTTATCATTGGATCTAGGTACAGAACATATTTAACAAAAACAAAGAAAAAAAATGTTTCGGATTTTTTATAATCACTCTGTATATGAAGTTTGTTTATTTGTCTATAAAATATTTTAACACAAGTGCTTTGTCATATTAAAAAGTTTCAGAACCCAGAATAGGCCAGTCGGGGCATAAAAAAATATAACAGGATGTTCCATTAAAAAAAAAAACAATGTCAGGTTTAGGAGCCTTGAATATTTTTTATGTTTAATAATTAATAATATAGCGTGCGTTTATTTTCCCACCACTGTATACATATTTTTTGTTATAAAATCAAGAACTTTTTTAATTTTTTACAAGGTGATTATAAAGGATTGTAAATCAAGTCCTCATTGTAATAAATGTCAATCACAACTTAAATAAATAGGCAACCAGTAATACCACAAAAAAATACAAATTATTTTCACGAAACGGCGAATTCTTTTTAAAATTCGGGGACAAATTTTTCAGTCAGTTTTTGCAAGTGAAATGACTTCAAAGCGCTATAAATCCGAAGCCTCCAAAATATTTGAAGTAAAAAAGTATGTAAATCATGAAAATTTAGAAAACATCCACGAAACTCAGCATCTGTGCACAAACATTAAATCCAACACCCACCCTTGGGAAAACAATATCCCAACAAGCTCTGTTTGCTTAGGATATTTTGGAATAAATTACTTTCAGGCAAACGGTGGCCCATCATCGGCAAAAAAATCCACCCCGAGTTTCCCTACATCGACGCCGAAATCCGCTACGGCGTCCGCGAGTACGCGATGACAGCCGTCGACATGATCGCCAGACGCCTTCGCCTCGCCTTCCTGAACGTCCAAGCGGCCCAAGAAGCCCTCCCCGACATCATCACCATCATGAGCGAAGAACTGGAGTGGTCCGAAGGTAACCCCTCCCAAAACCGCCACACCCTCCTCACTCTCTGCTTCCAGAGGAACAGAAACAACAACACAAACTAGCCACCGAATTCCTGCAGAACGAGATGGGTCAAAACGTCAACCGCGCCAGCCGCGACAAAATCCCGATCAACCTCAGTAAAGAAGAAATTCAGTTGTACATTAAGCGGTTCCAGATTATTGATAAAGACCGCAAGGGCTACGTTTCGATAAACGACATCAGGAGAAGCCTGAAAGTGAGTTGAAGCGCTTGATAGCGCGAAACACCTTCGAGAAAAAATTAATTTCTTGGTAGTCTTTAGGTATGAAACTAACAGATGACGAAATTCACATCCTCTTGTCAGATATTAACGTTAAAAACAACGGCCAATTGGAACTGGCTGATTACTTACAGGTGAGCGAAGTGGCAACTCGGCTAATTGTTGTGTACTTTTCAGCAACAAGGTGAGAAGGAGGTTTCTGGTGAGGAGCTTCATGAGATTCTTCGGGAAATCGACACAAACATGAATGGACAAGTTGAACTTGACGAGTATTTGCAGGTTTGACACATGACGTTCAGTTTTTGTGTTTAGTTTGTTTGGTTTGATAACATAGCTCCGACACTCACACCTCCGAACACCACACTGATTTTGTTTAACTAAATAATAGTTACTATGACAAGATTGAGTACTTTTGAGTGACGGTGGTTCTGTTTTAGATGATGTCGGCGATCAAGTCTGGCCACGTTACGTACTCGAGGTTCGCCAGGATGGCGGAATTGGAAGAACAGAAACACGAAAAGGAAATGCTCAAGAAGAAGATTTCGGTAGAACGCAGTGGCGGCGGTTTGTAAATACCGTGAAGACCTGTGTGGTTCGTCAATTTATACTCAGGTGATTCATTCGGTGTCAATCATATTTACTGCTAAATTGTGGCAGCCGGGACAAGTTTTAAGTCACATTTCGTTAAGAAATGGTATTTTTAATTTATTTTACTGTAGTGCCCTAAACTGAATAAAATAAGAATTTTAAACTAAGCAGTTTACTTCATTTTTTCCTTTTCCTTTCCTAAGTCGTGATTTCACGTTTTTCTTTTCCTTTGTTGCTTTTTTGTCTGCCTTTTTTGTCGCTTTTTTTCCTCGCATTTTGTCACTCCTTTTTGTCCTACTTTTTTTTTTGCTTTTTTCCCATTTTTTATGTGCGTTTTTTCGTCACTTTTGTGTCTTCTTTTTTGTTGCGTTTTTGTTTTAGCCTTTTTTTGTCTTTGTTTTTTCGCTTTGTGTTTCGCCAAGTTTTTGTGGCGCTTTTTTTGTATTTTTGCCCACTTTTTGTTTTCACAATTTTCTATGGATTTTTTTGTCGTTTTTTGGCCTTTTTTGTTGCGTTTTTCGCGTTTTTTGCCTTTCTTTCTTGTCTCCTTTTTTAATTTTTTTTTGTTGGCACTTTTTTTGGATTATTTTTTGGTACTGCGTGTTATTTTTGCATTTTTTAATCTGTCTTTTTTCGTTCTTTTTGTCGCCTTCTGTTTTCATCTTTTTTTTTGGTTCCTTTCTTTTGATTTATATTTATCTTTTTTTTATTTTTTGTCGTTTTTCTCGCTTCTTTTTTAACGCTTTGTTGCTTGTTTCGTCTTTTTTGTGGTCTTTAGTTGGCATTTTTTTTTGGGTTGTTATTTGCTTCGCCTTTTATACTTTTTTTTGTCTTTTTCGTTTTTTATTTCGCCACTTTCTCGTGGTCGTTTTACCGCCATTTTTTTCTCGCAATTTGTCGCCCTTTTTTCACTTTTTCCGCGCCTTCTTGCCATTCTTTTTTTGTTTTTTCTATTTTTTTTGTTTTCGCAATTTTTTATGCACATTTTTTCGTTTTTGGCATTGTTTGTTTCTTTTTTTTCGCGTTTTTTTGCCTCTTGTTTTGTCGCCTTTTTCATCTCTTTTTTGGCCCTTTTTTTGGTTTGTTTTTTTGTACTGCGTGTTTTTTGTTCTTTTTTGTCGTCTTTTACAGTTTTTTTTTCAGCTTTTTTGGGGGGCGTTTTTTCTTCACTTTCCTTCTCTTCTTTTCTCTATATTTTTATCGTTTTTTTCCTCATTTTTTTTGGACCTTTTTTTTCACCTTTTTTTTTGCATCTCTTTTTTTGAGGTTTTTTTCCTCGTCTTTTTTTTGGCGTTTTTAACTTCCCTTTTTTGTCTTCTTTTGGCTTCCCTTGTCGCATTTTTTCGTTGTTTTTGACGCATTTTGTTTTCATCTTTTTTTTGCTCCCTTTTTTTTTTTGATTTGTGTTTACCTTGTTTTTTTATTTTATTGTAGTTTTTCTCCCCTATTTTTTAGCGTTATCGGACGTTCTTCATCAACTATTTTTGTCATTTTTGTGTTTTTTTTCGTGTTTTCCCCCGTTTTTTTTCCTTTTTTCCCTCGCATTTTGTCGCCTTTTTTGACTTTTTTCCGCAACTTTCGCGTTTTTTGCCTTTCTTTTTTTTGTCTCCTTTTTTTTTAATTTTTTTGTCACTTTTTTGAATTGTTTTTTTGTACTGCGTGTTATTTTTTAAACTTTTTTGTCGTTTTTTCTAGTTTTTTTGCTTTGGCGCTTTTTTACTGTTTTTTTTCAGCTTTTGAGGGGGGGGGGCATTTTTTCCTCACCTTCCCTATCTTTTTTTTCTCTATATTTTTATCGTTTATTTCGTCGTTTCTGTGTCATTTTTCTCTTTCTATCGTTTCTTCCCTAATTTTTTTTGAGCTTTTTTTCATCCTTTCTGCATGTCTTTTTTTTGGGGCGTTTTGTCTTCGTCTTTTTTTGTGTTTTTTAATCTTCCTTTTTTCGTTCTTTTTGTCACCTTTTGTTTTCATCTTTTTTTGATTTGTGTTAACTTTTCTTTATTTTTTGTCGTTTTTCTTACTTCTTTTTTAACGCTTTGTTGCTTTTTTTCGTCTCTTTTTTTGTGGCCTTTTTTTGTTGGTATTTTTTTTTTGGTTGTTATTTGCTCCCCTTTTTTGGTCAGTTTTTCCGCCGTTCCTCGCATTTTGTCCATTTTTTTACTTTTCATTTCATTTTTTAAATCTTTTTTCGGAAGTTTCTCCCCAACTTTTTTTTGTCTTTTTTTTGCTTCTTATTTCGCCACTTTCTCGTGGTCGTTTTATTACCATTTTTTTTCTCGCAATTTGTCGCCCTTTTTTCACTTTTTTCCGCGCCTTCTTGACATTCTTTTTTGTTATTTCTAATTTTTTTTGTTTTCGGAATTTTTTTATGTACATTTCTTCGTTTTTGGCATTGTTTGTTTCGTTTTTTCGCCTTTTTTTGCCTCTGCTTTTGTAGCCTTTTTTTCATCTGTTTGTTGGCACTATTTTTGGATTGTTTTTTATACTACGTGTTATTTTTGTTCTTTTTTTATCGTTTTTTCTTCACCTTCCTTTTTTTTCTATATTTTTATCGTTTATTCCGCCGTTTCTGTGTCAATTTTTTCGCTTTTTTTGCCCCTTTTCTATCGTTTTTTTTCCTCCTTTTTTTCGACCTTTTCTTCACTTTTTTTTGCATCTCTTTTTTTTTGTTGGCGTCTTTTTTTGCGTTTTTTAACTTTCCTTTTTGGCTTTTCTTTTTGCGTTCCATGTCGCCTTTTTTTTCATCTTTTTTGTGGTATTTTTGTCCTCTTTTTGTTGGCTTTTTTTTTTTAGTCTTTTTTTGGACGGTTTTTCCGCCTTTCCTCAACTTCTTTTGTCATTTTTGTGACGCTTTTTTTTCGTGTTTTTCCCCCTTTTTATTACCTTATTTCCCTCGCATTTTGTCGCGGCTTTTTTTTCTCATTTTTTGTGTTTGCACTTTTTATGCATTTTTTGTCGTTTTTTTGCCCTTTTTGTTTCGTTTTTTCCCTTTTTTTTGTTCTTTTTTTTTATGCCACTTTTTTGGATTTTTTTTTGGACTGCATGTTGTTTTTTTGATATTTTATGTCATTATTTCTCGCTTTTTTGGTTTCCCCATGTTTGTAGACTTTTTGGCGTTTTTACTGCTTTTTTGGTGTTTATTTCGTTGTTTCTGTGTCAATTTTTTCGCTTTTTTTGCCCCCTTTCTATCGTTTTTTTTTTTCATATTTTTGGACCTTTTTTTCACATTTTTTTTGCATCTCTTTTTTTATGGGCGTTCTTTCTTTATCTTTTTGTTTTGGCGTCTTTTTTGCGTTTTTTAACTTCCATTTTTGGGTCTTTTTGTGTCCCTTGTCGCCTTCTTTCGTCTTTTTTTTGGGGGCTTTTTGTCCTGTTTTTTGTTGGCTTCTTTTGGGTTGTTAATTGCTCCCCTTTTTGTTACTTTTTTTTTGTAGGTTTTTCCGCCTTTCCTCCCATTTTGTGCTTTTTTTTTACTTTAATCGGGTGTTTTTCCGCAACTTCTTTTGTCATTTTTGTGACGCTTTTTTTCGCGTTTTTGCCCCTTTTTATTACCTTTTTTCCTCTTTTTTTTTGTTGGCACTTTTTTTGGATTTTTTTTTTGCTTTTTTGGTGTTTTTTCAGCTTTTTTGGTGGCAATTTTCCTCACCTTCCTTATCCTTTTTTATCAGAGTCGTGCGGACGTACTGCTGTACGGACGTGCGTTAAGTTGCTGCTGCAATATGTCGGAAAAGCAATGTAAAAAATGCAAAAGTAAAGTCACTGTGGCATACATACAGTGTGTTAAATGCGGAGTGTGTTACCACAGAAGTTGTGCCCAACTTTTACAAGATAGAAAAAAGTTATACACTGCGATATCTGAGTATGTTATGGTATGTAATGACCACTTGGAAAATTTAAATGAAATGGATTTTGTCCAAGAAGAAGTGTCTCACTCAAAAGATTTTAATGATTATTTGCATAGTGAAGAATTTAGTTCCCTACTGGAGAAAATTACTGCAAGATTAGTTACCCCTTATCTTGATGAATTAAAGTTTCTGAGGCAAGAAGTACGTGATCTTAAAACCAGCAATATAGAGTTAGTTAGAATCCTGACCCATAGCGAAAAATCAGAGAAGTCATACGGAAAATTCTCCTGGCACAGGGAAACGACATCTGAAGAACCACATGTTTCTAAGGTTTTAATCCACCACAATCAAGCGATTACAAAAAACCCAGCGATAAAGACGACGGAAAGAAAAATAAATACACCGTCGATTGATTTACCACCTCCAAGTGATCAGCTAATGTAGCAAAGTTGCCCGCAAAAGGAAACAGCCATTTTTTCTATGAAGGATACGGACAAGCCGCGTAATAATGAATCCACCACAAAAGAAGAGGGAAACGATTTCATCTTAGTAAAGAATAAACGCAAAACCTTTAGACAAAAGGGAATAATTGGAACTGCAACACAAAATGAGGACAACTCCTGTCAAATTAAAGGACAAGAGCGTAAGGCATGGTTGTACGTAGGTCGATTAAGTAAAGAGACCAAAGACGAAGATCTTGAGATTTTTTTACGCAAAGGATGCCCCACAGCTAATCAGGTGACAGTTAAAAGATTGCCGTCAAAAGGGAATAACGCGTCGTATTGTGTTGGTATTGACTTCGCCTGTAAAGATGTTCTAATGGATCCAGAATTTTGGCCAAAAGGGATAGAGGTTAGGCGTTTTAATCTTAACTTTAATAAACCAAATATAGTAGGGGAGAGTAAACTAAATGCTCAAGAAAACTTGAATCTGAAAGTAAATCCATATTTTTAGTAAAGTGCAGTAAAAAAGATAGCAAAGTAGATAACAATGTTGACATTCGTAAACCGATTATAGATCAAATTGGGGTGCCTAAAATTGAAGAAAAAGAACCAATAACTTGCATCCAACGGGATGATAATAAATTTAAACTTTACATGATGTATCAGAACGTCCGAGGCTTAAACACCAAAGTGGCTCAGTTTTATGAAAATGCTATTTCTGCTACATATGATTTAATTTTGCTAACTGAAACCTGGTTGGACGATTCAGTAGGATCGTACGAACTTTTTGGGGTTAATTATAATGTATATCGCTCTTTAAAAGGAAGAAAGGGTAGGGGAGTGTTGATTGCAGTCAATAATAAATATACTGCGGAGTCTGTATGTTTGAGTTCCCCGTTTGAAGATATTGATATTTTGGTTATTAACGTTTTTTGCTGCGCTACACCCCTAACTGTCATAAATATTTATATTCCTCCTGCGAGTAGTATTCAGATGTACGAGAGTGTTTTGGAATATCTGGAAGAATACCAAGTACAAGATATAACACTGATAGTAGGTGACTTCAATGTTCCAGAGTTTTATGCGTGTATTACGAAAGCCAAGAATTCCTCCTCAAGGTACCAGATACTCAACAATTTTATGAATTTCAATCAGTTAAAACAGCACAATTATGTCACAAATAATAATAATAGAATCCTAGATCTTGTAATGTCAACGGAGAAAATAACATGCAATATCAATCGGCTGGTAAACCCGTTAGTAGATGAAGATCTTCATCATCCATCTTTGTTGGTTAAGTTGACTATAAATTCAAAGCAACGTAAAAATTTCGAAACCCAGATGGACATTGTTCGATATAATTTTAGAAAAGCTGATTTTCCGGGGTTATATGGTGCTTTGATGAAAATGGAGTGGTCTGACATACTTGAGATACATGATGTGAATGATATCTGCGCATATTTTTATGACAAAATATATGAGATGTTCGAGATATATGTCCCGAAGACGAAGGTGGTAACAACTCATTTTCCCCTCTGGTATTCGTCAAATACTATCAAAATGATTAAGAAGAAGGACCGTATATGGAAATCGTATAAGATATCTCACATATTATCATGTAAAGAAGCAGCGCGAAAACTGGAGGAGCAAATAAAGATAGAAATCAAGAAGGATTTTCGTAATTTTCAAAGGTCCGCTGAAGCTAACATGAAATCTGATCCTGCCAGATTTTGGTCATACGTTGCAACTAAGAAAGGTAGAACACGTATACCAGGGAGAATGATTTATAAAGGGAAACCGATATCTACACCTAGAGATATTGTCAATTCATTTGCGGATTGTTTTAGTAGTGTATTCGAGCCAGCAAGCTTCGTAGAAAATAGGAATGGTGTATTTGGTTGTGGTAATTCCCGGGAAAATACAATAGCAGACATCGGAGAAGACGACGGATTTGAGAATCAAGGTTGTTCTGTAAGTGTTCTTCATACATTTTGTGTAACGGATGGTGATATTTTACAAGCAGCGAAGAAGCTTAAGTCAAATTTAACGAGTGGTGATGACAGCATCCCAGCATTCATAGTGCGTGATTGTATAAGTGTTCTGTTGTTACCTTTAAGTCATTTATATAATTCTATAATTTCATGCGCTGTGTATCCTGAAGTTTGGAAAGTAGCAAAGGTTATTCCGTTGTTCAAATCTGGCTCTAAAGAAGATGTGGATAAGTATAGACCAGTTGCAATCATTTCAAATTTCGCAAAGGTTTTTCAGAGTACTCTTGTCAAGTATATGTATAGCCACGTTAAACAGATGATAGTAAGCCAACAACATGGATTTATGCCAGGCAGATCCACAACCACTAATTTATGTAATTTTTCGCAAGATATGTCAAACTTATTGGATCAACAGTTACAAGTGGATGTTGTTTATACGGATATGACAAAGGCGTTTGACAAAGTCAACCATGCGTTATTGATAAATAAACTCATTGAGGTAGGTTTGTGTGACAAGTTGATCCAATTATTTCAATCAATCCTTGTGGGTCAGAAACAGTATGTCTATTACATGTATTGTAAATCTTATATGTATGAGTGCAGTAGTGGGGTGTGCCAAGGTTCGAATTTAGGACCATTGTTGTTTACTATCTTCATAAACGGGTTAATAGCATTATTAAAGAAGCACTGTAAAGTTTATGCGTATGCTGATGATATAAAATTTTTAAAACCTATTCGGAATGTGACTGACTGTGAAGCATTGCAAAATATCGGGAGCATCTTTTATGAGTGGTGTAATGATAATAGATTGGAAGTGAATGGTAGTAAATGCAAAGTTATGACATATAGCCGAAAAATACATAATATATTATATAACTATAAGATACATAATCAGGAACTAGAGAGGTGTAATGTTTATAAAGATTTAGGGGTGGTAATGGATCCGTCACTGTCGTTTGTACATCATATAGAGTATATTTGTAATAAAGCAATGCGAATGTTGGGGTTCATAATAAGAAATACAAAAGATTTTACAAATATGGACTGTATTTTAATGTTATATTATGCTTATGTCAGATCAACACTTGAATATTGCTCCATAGTCTGGAGCCCACATTATATTTCGCACATAACTCTTTTAGAAAAAGTACAGAGAAAATTTTGCAAATTAGTATTTTATCGTAAACACGGTGTATATCCTGTTCAAGGATTTTCACATCACGAATTGTTAAACGAATTCCAACTTAGTCCTCTTAGTAGTAGACGTGATTTATCCTCTGTACTATTTCTGTTTAAGATTCTTCATAATGAAATTTGTGACAGTTCTTTTCTTAGAGAAATACATTTTAATGTTCCTCGCCTCGAAGCTAGAAACTCAAGGACTTTTGTACTGGATCTAGCTCGAACAAATCAACACAACAATTCCCCAGTTTATAGAATGTGTCGTTTATATAATAGCATTCAGTATTATGTCGATATTTTTGCCGTTTCAAGAAGTGTTTTTGGTACTAAAGCGAAATTAGCACTGTCTGGTAATTTGTAATATGGTTTAAGTTATTTGTTAGTCATAATTTATTGTAATTAGGTGGAATTCATTTGTTATTTTAGTAGTAATTTAATTTCATTTATTGTATTAGGATTTTTTTGTTTTGTATTTTCTTTCCGATGTATTTCCTATGTGGGCTATGCCCGTTGGATAAATCAAAATCAATAAATAAATAAATAAATAAATAAATCTCTGTTTTTGTCGTTTATTCCGTCGTTTCTGTGTTATTTTTTCTCTTTTTCCGTTTCCCCCCCTTTCTATCGGTTTTTTCCTTATTTTTTGGACCTTTTTTTTCATCTATTTTTTTGGGGACGTATTTTCTCGTCTTTCTTTATTGGCGTCTTTTTTCTGCGTTTTTCTACTTCCTTTTTTTTTTTCTCTTTTTTTTTGCGTCTCTTGTAGCTTTTTTCGTTGTTTTTGTCGCCTTTGTTTTCATTTTTTTTTTGATTTGTGTTTACCTAATTTTTTATTTTTGTCGTTTTTCTCTTTTTTTTCTTTGTTTTTTTTTCGTCTTTTTTGGTGTTTTTCTTTATCCCACCATTCTTGTCGTTTTCATTGTTGTTTTTGGTTTTGTGGCTTTTTTTCGCATTTTTTCCTCATTTTTTGGACCTACTTTTAAACCCTTTTTGCTTCGCATTTGATCGCCGCTTTTTTTACGCCCTTTTTTCATCTCTGGGGCGCCTTTTTTATATCCCTTTTTATTGGCTTTATTTTTTCGCTTTTTTTTATATTCGCTCCTTTTTTTATGGACTTTTTTTGTCGTGTTTTTTTTTGTGTGACGTTTTTTCGTTTTTTGCCCCCTTTTTTTAACTATATTTTTTCATCTCGTTTTTCTTGTGCCTCTTTTGTCACTTTTTGCTTCGTCTTTTTTTTGCCGTTTTTTTCCTTTTATTTGACATCTTTTTTTTGATAGCCTTGCCTATCATTCCTTTTTTGTTGTTATTTTGTATCTCTTTTTTGAGTCTTTTTTGCATTTTTGGTCTCCATCTTATCGCTTTTTTTTGTGCCTCTTGTTTCGTTTTATTGGTTTCTCCTTGTTTTTGAACTTTTTCGTCTTGTTTTTCCCCTCCCCCTTTTTGGTCCTTTCTTCATCTGTGAGGGGGGGCGTTTTTACTTCGCTTTTTTTCGTTAGCCCCCTTTTTTATTTTTTCAACACCGTTTTAGGTCTCCATTTTTTCCACCTCTTGTGTCACCTTTTTTTGTCGCGGGTTTTGTACACTTTTTATTGTCGTTTTTTTTTTGTTGAACTCACTTGAAACATTGGCATAGCATTGATTTTAGTTTTTAGAAGTTTAAAACTGCGTTGTTTGTTTGCTTTTTTAGGTGGAACAACTGATTCTCAGGCACTTTTATAACCTCTTTTAAAATCAGCCTACTTCACAGTATGACATTTTTCAAATCTCAAAAGCGAAAATTGTAGGTTTGAAATTTTTACAATACTTTGCAACACTTTCTTCTGAGGACATTTGAAGACCAATATCGGGCCAACGTTTCGAAAGAATCAAAGTTAAATTATATACAGTTTCCGACAAAAAAATTCAAACATCACTTTTCTCTCATGTCAAAAATTTTAATGTAGTCTATGCTTTATTGTCATTATTTCGGACAGCTGGAACTTTCAAAATTCAAATTTGATGTGCATGCCAACATTTCAGCGGTAACAGAAGCCAACAAATTCTACTTCTTTTAAAATTACCACAATGAATGTCCACTAATTCTGACTCACTGAGCTTACGCTACAGCACGGCCATGGCTTCATGTAAGTGTCAAATGTAAAAGTTAAAAATGACAGTCAAATATTTTGGTTAGAAACATCTAAAGGTTGCTTTACACTATCTGACGACTGAATGACATTGACGTCTGAAATTTTTTGGCGGCAACTGTATATTCTTTTCCTACTGCCTACAAATGGTCTACACTTACAATCGTGTACAAATATGAAAAAATTGAAAGAAAAAACTAGAGTAAAAGTAGAATTATTTGATTTCATTGAGTTAACCAGGCATCGATGTAAGTGAAAAACTGGTGCCCGAGTTCAAGTCGGGCCAAAAACTAAGATTGAATTTAGTGCGTAATAAAGTAAAGTAAAGTAAAGTAAATTTATTAGCACATTAACAGAATGTTTAGTACACGTCAAACAGAAATATAGATTAAAAATATGTAACAGTTCACAGATTTACATAAGTGACAGACATTAAAATTTATAATTCAAGTATTCGTCCAGGTTATAGAAGGCCATGTCAAGGAGAAATTGCTTTATTTTATTTTTAAAATTATTAGAGTTACGAGTTCTGTAACATGAAGGAAGGTGGTTATACAAATTGATATTAATAGATAGTTTTTCCGTTTTAGCTAAGCGAAATCGTTTGGATCTAATCAAACTTGCTGCTCTGGTGTTATGCTGATGTATTTGATGTTGATATGTATATTTGCTTCGGTTTTCATGTATATATATTAATGTCTGATAAATAAAAATGCAAGGGAAAGTTAATATGCGATGTTTGATAAAAAAAGGGCGACAGTGTTCACGCCAGCCTAGGCCTAAGATGGTGCGAATAGCACTTTTTTGTAGGCGAAAAATACTGATGGAGGAAGTGGAACCACCCCAAATCGTTACAGCATAGGTAATGTTTGAATGGAATAAGCCATAGTAAACAGACATTAACGCTTCAAAATCAACAGTGTTCTTTATACTTCGTATTAGGAAGAGAATTGAAGATAGTTTACCTGCTAAATTTTTTATATGTTCACTCCATGTTAGATTTACATCAATAGTTATGCCTAATAATTTAACAGAACTGATGCTAATGGATTTACTTGAGGATACTTCAAGTTGCTGGGTTTTAGATTTGTTGAGCTTTAACGTATTGGAGGCAAACCAAACTTGGGCATTTTTCATTGCTGTCTCTGCTTTAGCTGCTGCCGTCTTTATGTCACGATCAGTTGTAATAATAGTTGTGTCATGTGCGAACATCACACAGTCAGCGTTTTCCTTGATGCAGGTATAGAAATCATTAGTGTAAATTATGAAAAGAAGTGGCCCTAAAACTGACCCTTGCGGTACTCCAACACTAACATTTAAAGTATTCGAGTAGTTACCGTTTGCAGAGACACACTGTTTTCTGCCAGTGAGGTAGGATGCCAGTAAGTTAAGTGGTATTCCTCTAATGCCATAAAACTCAAGTTTTGATATTAGTATGGGGTGGTTGACACAGTCAAAAGCCTTACTTAAATCGCATAATGTAATCCTACTATGTTCCCCATTTTCAATAGCCTCGATTATGTTTACTATAAGGTGTAATAGAGCTTTGGATGTTGAATTATTCCGTCTGAATCCAAATTGGACAGGATTAAATAGCTGAAACCGTTCGTAGTATAGTTCAAGTCTTTGTTTGATCAAAATTTCTAATACTTTCCCAAAAATTGGGATAATACTAATGGGCCTATAGTTATCTATATTAGTAGGGTCACCTTTCTTGAAGACTGGTGTAATTTTACTCACTTTGAAGCAATCAGGAAAAATTCCAATGCCAAGACATTTATTGATGAAGTTAGTGAATGGAGTTAACAATATGTTCACCGTAGATTTTAAAATTTTTGCGTTTATACCATAAACATCAGTTGAGGGAGAATTCTTTAATTTGTTAATAACATTCAAGATTTCAATTTCACATGTCGGATGCAAGAAAAATGAGGAATTATTATTAGGCATTTTATTCATTAAATTTAGAGCTGGAGATGTGATGGTAGTATCAATCTCTTTTAGAATCTTATGAGCAATAGATGAGAAGTAATCATTCATATCATCAACATCAAATTTCGATACGTTTGAGGCATTACTTTTGTTACGATGCCGGTTTACAAAACGCCAGGTATCCTTAGAAATGTTATTAGAATTAGATATAAAAGAACTGAATGCATTTTTTTTAGCTATCTTAATAGCCATTCGGTAATTATACCTAGCTTTAAGATAAGCATTTTTGTCGACTATATCTTTAGAACTGTTTGAAACTATTTTAAGAGCTATTACTGAATCCCTCATAACTTTGAGTTCATTATTAAACCACATCACACCACTAGCTGAGTCTGTAGCTTTTTGCAGTGGAAAACATAACTCAATGAGTGATTTATATGTGTGAACAAGGTAATCCGCAAAAGTATTAACGTCATTACTAGTAGATTCTTTATAAGACCAATCAATTAATTTAAGATGTTCTTTTAATTGGAATAAGCCCGATTTATTGATATGCCTGGTGGAGAAGTAATTATTTTTGCTTTCCACATTAACAGTCTTTGAAAGAATGCACAAATATTGACCTGAATGGTCAGAAAGTCCCGGCTCAATAACACCAGAAGAGCAACACTCATCAGGCAAGTCAGTAAATATATTGTCAATTGTAGTAGCGGAACATTTTGAGATCCTTGTATAATCTACAGTTAAATCCATAAGGTTGTAACCACTCGTTAAATTGTAAGGTTGGCATTACAGCCAATGGTGTTTTTCACATGAACAGATTGGTAGCGGCGCATATGTCAAAATTTGACAATTACGCACGAGAGAGTTTTATTTAAATATCTCACAGTTTGTTATTAAACCATACCATTGAAAAATGGTACCGACACGGCATATTGTGGTAAATAAGCAGATGAAAATGGCACTTGCCAACTGCCACAATGAATTGAAACTTGCTTATCCCCAAGCATCCTCCCGAGAACTTGAATTCAAGCTTGTAAAAATCTTTTCAGTATGTAGTTATTCTTATACCATGGAAAGAGAGTACTATACTATGAGAGTAACGTATCGACATTCGGAACTTTTTTCATGTTATTACAACATGGTGGTATGTCGAAGGACTTTTAGTTTTAACTATCTCAAGTTGAAAGTGTATATCTCGCTTTTTAGTACAACATTGTCTTTTCAAGTTTTATACCCACTCTTTATATCCTACACAATACAACTAAATGTCCCTCATTAAATTCAAGCACTGCATACTTTCCCTGTAAACTTATCATTAATTCCTATCCTTTCCATAGTGTTCTCGATGTCAAGCCCACAAAATTATAACCCAACACCAATCTGGAGAACCGTTACAAGAAGCAAAGTGGAAACCAAAACAAAAATCGCAGTGGTATTCAAATTTGGAATTTAAAGAAGATCTAACCTACCGTATATTTGACAAAAACAAAAAAAATGAGTTTTTTACTCTTCAGGATTTGTTTATTTTTGCGAAAGAACATCCAGAATATACAGCAAGTTTAAATACTTTACGTTGAGTATTAAAATCCATGGGATTCAGATTTAAGAAAGTTAACAACAGAAAAATAATTGCTTTTTGGTTATTTGGTCTATGTGTTCTCAATGTTTCTAACCACTCCTGTAACAGTAAGTTTAAATAAGCCGTCAAATTATTTTCAACATACCTATTATTTTAGCCTCTGAATTTTGTGAAGTTACATTTTGTTCATTATTACCACTAAAATCGTCAGGACGGAGGAGCATAGCCAGACCTATCGCCTTCAACCAAATCCCTTGTACATTTTGTAAATAATAAGTAGTACCAAATATTAGAGTTATTAAACATAACATTAAAGACTTGTTGGTGTCCCATTTTTTTGATGAAAAATTGGTCATCCATTGCAACTAATTAAGGTGATCTACCCATTATAGACAATTTTGGTGTTGCTCGCGAGATTGATCATTTCAGTCGAGAGAGCTGATCCTTCGAGTCATAGTTAGCCACACATATAATTATCACGTATACTCATGTACAATAATTTAAACAAATTCTGAATATCTCAGTTATTCCCCATCTGTAAAGTAATTTTTATGAAGCAGCAACAATAAATAAATCAATTCACCTTGTTTTTTTACCAGCCCAATATTTGATTTCATTCGTGACCACAATATTTTTGGGTTCATTTTATCGTAATTCGTAAACGTATCGACTGCAAGTCTAAATTACAGCAGGTGGCATTCTTTCTACAGATGAAAGATAAAACACGTTTCTATTTATCGTTGCTCTTGTATTATAATTACCATGAAGACTCAGGTTATCCTGTTTTTATTGAAAATTGTTTATCAGTTTTTACAATATTGCGACAAGTTACAATGATAATTATGAAATAACCTGTGCAGGAGTGCAAGAATTGCAGTGAAGTCGAACGTAATCATGTGTCGCGAATACATGAATGAACTGACATTATATTGACAGGTCACCAAATATGTCACCAGGTTATTAAAAGACAGATTTACACTGAATAATTTTTAAAAATTTACACTAGGGAGTGGTTACAACCTTATGGATTTGAGTTTAGGATTTTAGCGTTAAGTCCAAACGACCTCGTAAGATTAACTAAGGCTTGTATGTCTGTGGAGTTAGTTTGGAAGTCTTTACTGAAGTCACCAATGAGAACTAGTTTAGTGTTATTTTTGAAAATCTTATTTAAGACATTTTCTAAATTTTTCATAAAATTATGAAAATTACCTGAAGTGCTAGGTCTATATAGTGCAATAACGATAGTATTCAATTCGGGGATTTCAATGCCACAGAACTCGGCATGCATTTCAATAGATTCCTCATCCAGACTGATAGGTCTGCAAATCAAGGAATTATGAGCAAATATAGAAACACCTCCATGACTTCTTTGTTTCCTGCAGAAAGAAGATATTAATTTATATTTGTTATTAAAATTTATCATTGACAGTGAGTCCTTATTTAATATCCAGTGTTCTGTGATACATACTATTTTAAAATTATATTTGACTAGAAGAGCACTTAACTCATCGATTTTGTTATTTAAACACTGTATATTAATATGGAAGATTGAACAAAAACCTTCATTGATAAATCGTGTCAAGTTACTAATTGAATTCCTGTGATGAGATTCAGAACTGGTGGTCGTTAACAGGTTTTCTTCGGCGAAAAAAATTGTGCCTTCTTACTACAATCCCAGATGGCCAAAAGTCGGGGGAATATAAAGTATCATGTAGCTCAAAGTCCGCTCCTACCTTAAAACTCTTATTTGAATTTGGAGAAGTGGATGATATGTCCTCAATAATAAAGTTCCTATGCTCACATTTACTCGATAGGTAGTTCTGAATTTTATCAACCGTTACGTCAGATCGTACTCTACTAACGTGTAGCCAGATTCGCCGCTTTGCTGCAGCAAGATTCTCGTTATCAGACGTCCCATTGCCCATTACGGCGTGTTTATGTTTTAACACATTTTGTTTCGATTTATCGATCATAGTGTTTTTTTGTGGCTTTAAAACATTTATCTTGCGATTAGGTTCCAACTTTTTCATGTCTTTATCAGTAATTTTGCTGTCGGTATTATTTCCCTCAACATTTACTGAATGGAAATTTTGGTCAAGGATAACAGATACCTGACTTTCTTCGCTTACATCACTTGATAGACGTTCCAATAACGCCTGATTGGTTTTTTTTAATTCATCAAGTTGAGTTTTCAGGATAAAAACTTCCTGCATCAGTTGCTCAGTCCTGGTGTTTACTATATCAGTTATGAGTTGCTGTAGACTAGTTACCGTAAGGGTACTAATCAAATTATCCTGAGAACGAGTGTTTTTCGTCATCTTTCTAATTACACTGCTTTTAATACTTGAATTAACGATTTAGATTATTAAGCACCGTATCACAAATGTGCCCGGCGCCTCCACCATATTTTCGATTTCATTAAAATGCGTACTTAATCTAATTTTTCGTACGTCTTATAGTATACTAAAACTAAAATTTCTCACAATTCCTAAGGGTTAAAAAATCCAGAACCTTAAAGGAGTGATACAAAAAAAGATATACGTAATGCTATATATAACACAATCACCTTTCAATCAATATATATTTATCTTTTATGAGAACACTTATCAAGTCACGCACAGAGCACCTACAATTATCAGTGACTCAGACAACCTTATTTTAGCTCGTAAATACACCTCAAATATCACCCACCCGAAATTAGAACAAATCGATGACCCCACAAGTCCTCAACTAAAAATAAAACCGAAAACTCACACCAAGTCCAACTATTTAAAAACTTAACCAACTGTCAAAATAAAAATATTCATCACAAATGTCACCAAACGCCAAAAAAATGTCATCGTGCACTTTCACTTAGAGTAGTTAAAAATGGTCTTGCGACTAGGCAAACTAGCTATAGGGGGAATAACCACGACCATGGGGGTCGGTCTAGCTTACTATTTATTTTTTACAGATAAAAAAGTAAGTGCCTTCATCTCCCAATCCAAAAAACTAACTTTTTGTAGTGGGCCACCACCCACGCCAAAACCTGCAAAGCCAAAGCACCTCTTCCCACAAGAAAAGACCTCATCGACTGCCTAAAAAACGACTCTTTCGACGTTTTGATCATCGGAGGCGGCGCCACCGGGGTGGGTTGCGCCCTGGACGCAGCCACCAGAGGCCTAAAAACCGCGCTTGTGGAAGCCGACGACTTCGCCAGCGGAACTTCGAGCCGAAGCACGAAACTAGTTCATGGAGGAGTTCGTTACCTGCAGAGCGCCATCATGCAGCTGGACATTGTCCAGTTCAGGATGGTGAACGAGGCGTTGAAAGAGAGAGCCGGTTTGCTGAAGACTGCGCCACATTTGGTGCACCCTTTGCCCATTATGTTGCCCGTTTATACGTGAGTGTCAAAACTGAAACTACCATCAATAGAAAACATACTAAATTGCAGCTGGTGGCAGCTCCCCTACTTCTGGGTAGGCATCAAAATGTACGACCTCATCGCCGGCACCAAAAACGTCAAAAGCTCCTACGTCGTCTCGAAGAAGAGCGCCCTCGAGATCTTCCCCATGCTGAAAAGCGAGAACCTCTGCGGCGGCATCGTCTACTACGACGGTCAGATGGACGACGCCCGGCTCAACCTCGCCATCGCGCTGACCGCCGTCCGCTACGGCGCCATCGTCGTCAACCACGTGAATGTGACGGGGCTTATCAAGGATGAGACCAGCCAAGGCGAGGTCGTCACGGGTGTGGACGTCCAGGACGAAATCACGGGAGACAAGTTTTGCATTCCTGCGAAGTGCGTCATAAACGCCACGGGACCCTTCACTGACTGCATCCGGCAGATGGATAATCCCGACGCGAAGGACATTTGCTCCCCGAGCTGCGGAGTGCACGTTACCTTGCCGGGGTACTATAGTCCGGAGGAGATGGGCTTGCTGGACCCGGATACCAGCGATGGTAGGGTTATATTTTTTTTGCCGTGGCAGAAGCACACCATCGCGGGGACGACGGATTTGCCGTGCGAGGTGACGTTTAACCCCAAGCCCACGGAGGATGAGATTACGTTTATTTTGGATGAAATTAAGAATTATCTTAATCCGCGTGCCATACAAGGTAGGTTTTTGATAGGGAGCGGTTTACAATCTTATTTATACTAATAATAATAGTAACAGTACTTAATCTAACATGATGCCTAAGTTTTTAATTTGATACCCTCTTTAATTTGATATCTTTACAAAATCTTTAAAAATCCATGACTGAAAGCAGATTCAAATAATTTTACGGGATTATCACAAAACCATACAAATGTACCAATCTGTGTGTTATTTCAAAATCGAAAAACCACCAACGCCGCAATTTCGTCGAACATACAACTGGCAACGTTGCTAGTCTCAATTTTAGTGATTTATTCTGGTGTGAAATAATTTAAGGTTATGTTTAATTTAATTTCATAGAATTAATCTAATTCTGTGATTAATTTCATGGAGGAAAGAATATTCTATTACCTCACCGTTTCATTTCATGGGTAATCTCTATCCATTTTCAAATTTCAAATTGACAGTTCAATAATTAAGCTATTATGTATAATCATTTTTTTTTAACCAAATTCAACAGGTGGTGGATTTTTGACTTTGAAATAAATCATATGTTTTTCGATTCAGCTCATCGAGGTTTATATTCCAAAAGTTTTGTGGTTTTTTAGGCGAAAAAGCTTAATTTTCCAATACTTTCCATGTGCAATTTTAGACAATTTGCCAATTTTGTGATTTTTTTTAAATTTGACTTTCTTCTGTTCTTTCCTGCATCCAGAAGTTTTTTCGGCTTCATTACTATGAAAATTTTAAAACGAAGTATAGTAATTTTTTGGAAAATTATAAAATATTATATTCTATTTGAAACCGAATATTTCAAAAATCTTGGTCCAAGACTATTCACACGTTAAGTTTTTCGATTCAGCTCCTCCTAGATCTATGTTCTAGAATTTTTTGTAAATTTGTAGGCAACTTTGGCGAAAGGTGTAACATTTTTGACAGAAAGTCTTTCGTTGATTTCCTCATTCAGAAGCTTTTTTGACCTTGTTTCTATCATTTTTTCAAAATCGTCAAAATGCAATATGGCAATTTTTGGGATATTATAAGTTTCAAATTGACACCGAATATTTTGAAGATCTTGGTCCAAAACTATCAACAGTGTTTTGAGGATTTGAGGGTTTTGGTGTTTTGAGTGTTGAAAGGTTTGGTGTACTGAGAATTTGAGATTGATTTTTGGTGTTTGAGAGTTTTGATGCATCGCGAATTTGAGAATTATGAGGATTTGAGGAGTTTGAGGACTCGAGGATTTGAGGATTTTAATGTTTATCCGACGATTCGAGGATTTGAGGATTGTGATGTTTGACGATTTGAGGATTTTAGGATTTTGATGTTTGGAGGATTTGAGGATTTTGGTGCTTTAAGGATTTGAGGATTGTGGTGTTTTGAAGATTTGAAGATTTTGGTGTTTTGAAAATGTGAGGATTTTAGTGTTTTGAGGATTTGAGAATTTTAGTGTTTCGAGGATCTGAGGAATTTGAAGATTGAGGATTTTGAAGTTTTGAGAATTCGAAGATTTTGGTGTTTGGGGGATTTGAGGATTTTAATGTTTTAATGTTTTGAGGATTTTAGTGTTTCGAGGATTTGAGGATTTGAGAAATTTGGTGCTTCGAGGATCTGAGGAATTTGAAGGTTGAGAATTTTGAAGTTTTGAGAATTCGAACATTTTGGTGTTTTGAGGATTTGGGGAGTTTGAGGACTTGAGTTTAAGGCTTTTGGTGTTTTGACGATTTGAAGATTTTGATGTGTTGAAGATTTGAGGATTTGAGGATTTTGGTGTTTTGAGGATTTGAGGATTTTGGTGTTTTGAAGGTTTGAGAGTTTTGGTGTTTTGAAGGTTTGAGAGTTTTGGTGTATCGAGAATTTGAGAATTTTGGTGTTTTGAAGATTTGAGGATTTAGGGAGTTTAAAGACTCGAGGATTTGTGGATTTTAGTGTTTTGGGGATTTGAGGGTTTTGATGTTTGGAGGATTTGAGGATTTTCGTGTTTCGACGATATGCGTGGTTTGAAGACTTGAGAATTTTGCAGTTTTGAGGATTTGAGGATTTTGAAGTTTTGAGGAGTTGCGGATTTTGGTGTTTTCAGAATTTGGGGAGTTCGAGGACTTCAGGATTTGAGGCTTTTGGTGTTCTGAAAATTTAAGGATTTTGCTGTTTTGAGGGTTTGAGGGTTTTAGAGTTTGGTGTATCGAGAGTTTGAGATTTTTGGTGTTTTGAGGATTTGAGGATTTACAGAGTTTGAGGACTCGAGGATTTGAGGATTTTGATGTTTTGACGATTTGAAAATTTGAAGATTGTGATGTTTTGAAGATTTGAGAACTTCGGTATTTTGAAAATTTGAGGATTTTAGTGTTTTTAAGATTTGAGGGTTTTCTAGGTTTTTGGTGTTTTGAGGATTTGAGGAGTTTGAAGAATGAGGATTTTGAAGTTTTGAGAATTTGAAGATTTGGGTGTTTTGAAGACTTGAGGACTTGAGGTTTTTGGTGTTTTGACGACTTAAAGATTTCGATATATTGATAGTTTGAGATTTTGCGGATTTTCGTGTTTTGAGAATTTCAGGATTTTACTGTTTTGAGTGTGTAAAAGTTTTGATATATCGAGGATTTGAGATTTTTGGTGTTTTGATGATTTGAGGATTTTAGTGTTTTAAGGATTTGAGGATTTTGATGTCTTAACGATTGTGTTGTTTTGGGGATTTGAGGATTTTATGTTTTGATTTGAGAATTTTGGTATTTTTGAGGAGTTGATTGACCATTTAGGTGTTTTGAGGATTTGAGAATTTGAGGATTTCGGTGTTTTGAGGATTTGAGTATTTCGGTGTTTTGGGGGTTTAGTGCGTTTGAAGACTAGAGGATTTGAGGATTGTAGTGTTTTGAGAATTTGAAGATTTTGGTGTTTTGAAAATTTGAGAATTTGTGTTCTGAAAATTTGAGGCATTGAGTGTTTTGAGGATTTGAAGATTTTGGGGACTTGAGAATTTTGGTGTTTCGAGGATCTGGAGTTTGAAAATTGAGGATCTAGAAGTTTTGAGAATTTGAGGATTTTAGTTTTGAAAATTTGAGGATTTTGGTGATTTAAGGTTTTGAGGTTTTTAGGATCTACAGATTTTGGTGTTCAGAGGATTTGAGGATTTGGAGTTTTCAGTCTTCGAGATTTTTGGTGTATCGAGGATTTGAGATTTTTGGTGTTTTGAGGATATGAGGATTTTCGTGTTTTAAGGATCTGCGGATTTCGATGTTTAGAGAATTTGAAGATTTGTGTTTTGAGGATTTGAAGATTTCGAGATTTTTGAAGTTTTGAGGATTTTGGTGTTTTGGGGATTTGAGGATTTTGATGTTTTGACGATTTTGGTGTGTTGAGGATTTGAGAATTGTGGGTGGTGTTTTGAGAATTTGAGGTTTTTAGTGTTTTGAGGATTTGGTGTATCGAAGATTTTACATTTTTGGTGTTTTGAGGATTTGAGAATTTTCGTGTAATGAGAATTTGAGGATTTCGATGTTTTGAAGTTTGGAGGATTGTGTTGTTTTGAGGATTTGAGAATTTTGAGATTTTTGAAGATTTGAAGATTTTGGTGTTTTGAGGATTTAGGAATTTTCGTGTTTTGACTCTGTAAGAGTTTTGGTGTATCGAGAATTTGATATTTTTGGTGGTTTGAGGATTTGAGGCTTATGAGATTTTTGAGGACTTGAGGATTTTGGTGTTTCGAAAATCTGAGGAATTTGAAGACTTGATGATTTTCGTGTTTTTGAGGATTTGAGGATTTTGGTGTTTTGAGGATTTGAGGATCTTGGTGTTTTGAGGATTTGAGAATTGTAGTGTTTTGAGTCTTTGAGAGTTATGGTGTATCGAGAATTTGATATTTTGGTGTTTTGAGGATTTGCGGATTTTCGTGTTTTAAAGATTTGAGGATTTTGGTGTTTTGGGAATCTAAGGATTTTGGTGTTTCGAGAATCTGAGGATTGTGGTGTTTTGAGAATTTTGCTGTTTTGAGAATTTGAACATTTTAGTGTTTTTGGAATTTCAGGATTTTAGTGTTTTGGGGATTTTGGTGTTCTGAGGATTTAAGGATTTTGGTGTGTTGCGTCTTTAACAGTTTTGGTGTATAGAGAATTTGATATTTTTGGTGTTTTGAGGATTTGAGGATTTTCGTGTTTTGAGGGTTTGAGGATTTTGGTGTTTTGACGATTTGATGATTTTGGTGTTTTGACGATTTAAGAATTGTGGGTGATGTTTTGAGAATTTGAGGATTTTAATGTTTCGGGGATTTGGTGTTTTGAGTGTTTGAGGGTTTTGGTGTATCGAGGATTTCAGATTTTTGGTGTTTTGAGGATTTGAGAAATTTCGTGTTTTGAGAATTTGAGGATTTCTTTGTTTTTAAAATTTGAGGATTTTAGTGTTTTGAGGATTTGAAGATTTTGATATGTTGAGGGTTTGAGGTTTAGAGAATTGTGTTGTTTTGAGGATTTGACGCTTATGAGATTTTTGAGGACTTGAAGATTTTGGTGTTTTGAGAATTTGAGGAATTTGAAGACTTGAGAGAGTTATGGTATATCGAGAATTTGATATTTTGGTGTTTTGAGGATTTGAGGATTTTGGTGTTTTGGGAATCTGAGGATTTTGGTGTTTCGAGGATCTGAGAATTGCGGTGTTTTGAGGATTTGAGGATTTTGAGAATTTGAACATTTTAGTGTTTTTGGAATTTGAGGATTTTGGTGTTTTAAGGATTTTGGTGTTCTAAGGATTTGAGGATTTTGATGTTTTGAGTGTTTGAGAGTTTTGGTGTATCGAGGATTTGAGATTTTTGGTGTTTCGAGGATTTGAGGATCTTCGTGTTTTGAGGGTTTGAGGATTTCGATGTTTCGAAAATTTGAGAATTTTCGTGTTTTGAGAATTTGAGGATTTCGATGTTTTTAAAATTTGAGGAATTTAGTGTTTTGAGGATTTGAAGATTTTCGTGTTTTGAGGTTTAGAGGATTGTATTGTTTTGAGAATTTGAGATTTTTGAAGATTTGAGGATTTAGGAATTTTGGTGTTTTGAGTCTTTGAGAGTTTTGATGTTTTGAGGCTTTGAGAATTTTGAAAATTTAAAGATTTTAGTGGTTTGAGGATTTGAAGCTTATGAGATTTTTGAGGACTTGAGGATTTTGGTGTTTCGAGAATCTGAGGAATTTGAAGACTTGAGAGAATTATGGTGTATCGAGAATTTGATATTTTGGTTTTTGAGGATTTGAGGATTTTGCTATTTTGAGAATTTGAACATTTTAGTGTTTTTAGAATTTGAGGATTTTGGTGTTTTGAAGATTTTGGTGTTCTGAGGATTTGAAGATTTTGATGTTTTGAGGATTTGAGGATTTTCATGTTGTGAGGATTTGATGTTTCGAGGATTTTGGTGTTTTAATAATGGATTTATTGTCTAATAAAACAAAGACAATATAAATAAATATATAAATTAAACTATTATTATAAAATAGAACAAATCTAGTTGTGAGTGTTTGAGAGTTTTGATGTATAGAGGATTTGACATTTTTTGTGTTTTGAGGATTTGAGGATTTTGGTGTTTCGAGGATCTGAGGAGTTTGAAGACTTGAGGATTTTTAATTTTTAAGGATTTGAGGATTTAGGGAATTTTAGAACTTGAGAATTTGAGGCTTCTGGTATTTTGACGATTTGAACATTTTGATACGTTGAGGGTCTGAGGATTTTGGCGTTTCGAGGATTTGAGGAGTTTGATGACTTAAGAATTTTAAAGTTTTGAGGATTTTAGTGTTTTGTGTATTTGGAAAGTTTGAGAACTTGAGACCTTTCGTGTTTTAACGATTTGAAGATTTTGGTATATTGAGAGTTTGAGGATTTGAGGATTTTGTTGTGTTGAGAATTTGAGGATTTTAGTGTTTTGAGAATTCGAGGCTTTAGGTGTTTTTTCTGTAAATTTTTGGGCAACTTTGGGAAGGGAAATGAGATTTTTGACCTTTTCACGAGCATCTTCGAAAATTACCAGAAGAAATTTTTTTTGTTGATTTCCACATCCAAAAGCTTTTTTCAGCTTCATTATTGTGAAACTTCCTACCATTTTTTCAAAATCCCCAAAATGAAATGTGCCAATTTTTGGATATTCTATTTGAAGCTGAATATTTCGAACCTCTAATTGCTTGACAATTTGCCACTTTTTCAGATATTTTAAAATTTGACTTTGAAACTAAAAATGTATTTCTAAAACCGGGTCCAGAACCCTTCTGGTTTTCGCTTCAGCTTGTCGACATTCCAGAATTTTTTGTAAATTTTTAGCCAAAATTTCAATTTTCCGCTATATATAATAAAAGTTGCAATTTGAAGCTGAATCAAAGTATTCACTGGTCATCTTTTTTTATCTCAATAAAATAAATAATTAACTGGTATATTATAGTACGTAGAAGCGACGTTATGGCAGCCTGGAGCGGCATCAGACCCCTAGTGTCCGACCCGAACTCCCCCGACACCAAATCCCTCGCCCGCAACCACATAATCCACGTGAGTGACAGCGAACTCGTAACAGTCGCTGGTGGTAAATGGACAACCTACAGATCAATGGCCGAAGACACCATCGACGTCGCCATCGCCACCTGCTGCCTGACCCCAAGGATCAAAAGAAGCCGAACCGCCGGCATGCTACTGGAAGGCGCCCACGAGTGGACGCCCACCAACTTCGTCGAGCTAGTCCAAGACTACGGTCTCGGAAGCGAAGTCGCCATACACTTGTCACAAACGTACGGCGACAGAGCGATCGACGTGGCCGCAATCGCGGTTCCGACGGGTAACACATTTCTTGCATTCTTTCAAAGAAAAACGTACAGGTTTAGGTCAACGCTGGCCCTTGAATGGAAAGAAGATTCATCCAGAGCTGCCCTTCATTGAGGCCGAGGTGCGGTATAGCACGAGGGAGGAGTACGCGATGACGGCTGTGGATATGATAGCCAGGAGGCTTCATTTAGCTTTCTTGAACACCGAAGCTGCCCAGGAAGCTCTGCCTACTATTGTTAATATAATGGCAGAAGAACTGGGGTGGGGTATTCGTAAGGATATTTAGCTGCTGATGGATGGGAAAAAATGTTGATTTTGTGTTCCAGTTGAAAGAAAACGACAACAACAATATGCGATGGCTTTCCTAAGGGACGAAATGGGTCAAAGTCTCAACCGTGAGCAGAAAGGGAAGCTCGAAGTGAATCTCAAGAAGCAAGAAATAGATCTTTACACTAAACGGTTTCAGGAGTTGGATAAGGATCACACGGGTTATGTTTCAATAAAAAAAGTCGAAAAGAGCCTACAGGTGAGTCCAGTTGTGTGTTCTTTAAGGAAGGAATTAATTTATCTACTTTGTTTGAATTTTCCAGGAACAAGGTGACGTGGATCTTCCTCCTGAAAGAATTCATGAAGTTCTCGAGACGATTGCGACTAACATGCCTGGACATGTTGACCTCGAGGAATACTTGCAGGTTTCTTAAAAATGCCAAAGTTTTTGTGTTTGAAGTCACAGGTTTTTTTGTTCTAGATCGCAACTGTATTTCAGTCTGATGACAAAATCGAAAGTCCGGCAGACAAGCAGCTCAAAAACAGATTTCTTAAACAGAAAATTTCTGTGGAGAGAAGTGGTGGTGGGGTGTAATTAATGTAAATAATTAAGGATTTGTATAATTCGTCGGTCTATTTTTTATTCCGTATACAAAAAGTTTTTTTTTGTTCCATCCTGTGCAAAAAATAAGTCGAAATTTTTTGATTCTAGAGATTCCAAAACGTCTAGAAACAAAAATTAACACTTTACAATTTTAGTCTGAAATTGCGGAATCGAATGTTTTGAAATCTTGCAAATGTTTTAAGGAATTCGGATCATGGCAAATCGTTAATCAAAATTTATCCGTCCATCCCCCCAGAAATTGATGACGTCATCTTGCAATTTTTGTGGTATAAATGTTTTCTAAATATTAAAATAACTTAGTCCTGAATTTGTTTATGAATCCCTGTTGAATTTTTACACTTAACTTCGAGATTTTTGGGAAAAATATTAATTTTTCGATTTTACCGCTTTTTGATTTTTCAATTTCTCGATTTTCAATTTCTGTTTTTCGATATTTCAGTTTGGAGATTTTACAATTTATAGATTCTTCGATTCCTGGATCTTTTTTCGATTTCTCAATTTCGCCATTAAGCGGATTTTTAATTTTCGACTTTTTGTTTTCTCGATTTTAGGATTTTTTAATATTTCGGTTTTTCATTTTTCGATATTTTTATTTTTCGATTTATTGTATTTCCATTTCTCGATTTTTTTGTTTTTCATTTTTTTTTTATTTCTAAAGTTTAGATTTTTCGACTTCTCGCTTTTAGATTTTTCGGTTTTTAAAATTTTTGATTTTTCGATTTTTTCAATGTTTCGGTTTTTACATTTTTCGATTTTTCAATTTCTCAACTTTACGAACTTTTGATGTTTCAATTTTTCTACATTTCAGGTTTGGGGTTTTTCAATTACTCGATTTTTCATTTTTCCATTCTTCAACTTTTCATTTTTTAAATTTTAGACTTTTCGATTTCTAGTTTTTTTGATTTTTTAGTTTTTCGATTTCTCAATTTTTCAATACATATTTCAGTTGCACGATTTTTCAAATTTTTGATTTCTCAGTTTCTCGCTTGATCGATTTTTTGATTCTTCAATTATTCGAATTAGGGATTTTTTAATATTTCGGTTTTTCAATTTTTCGATATTTTTATTTTTCGGTTTGTTAAATTGTTCGATTTTTCATTTTTTTTTTATTTATAAACTTTTGATTTTGCCACTTCTCGACTCCTCGCTTTTAGATTTTTTGGTTTTTAAAATTTTTGATTTTTCGATTTTTTCGATGTTTCGCTTTTTACATTTTTCGATTTCTCGATTTGTCGGGTTTTTTAAATAAATTTTTCAGTTTTGATTTTTTCGTTCGATTTTCAATTTTTCGATTTTTCATTTTTTCATTCAACTTTTTAATTTTTTAAATTTTAGATTTTTCAATCTCTAGTTTTTTTGATTTTCTTGTTTTCGATTTTTCCATTTTTCTATTTTACGATTTCTCAGTTTTTCAATATTTCAATTTTTCAAATTTTCGATTTCTCAATTTCTCGATTAATCTTTTTTTTCGACTTTTCGATTTCTCGATTTTGGGATTTTTTAATATTTCCCTTTTTCAATTTTTCGATATATTTATTTTTCGATTTGTTAAATTTTAGACATTTCGATTTCTCGATTTTTCTATTTTTTTTAATTTTTAAAATTTACATTTTTCACTTTTTTCATCTTCAATTTATTAATTTTTCGTTTTTAGATTTCGGTTTTTCCATTTTTCAGTTTCTCGATTTTTAAATGTTTCGATTTTTCAGTTATTCAATTTTTCGATTTGTCCGTTATTTAAGTTTAAATTTTTCAATATTGAATTTTTTATTTTGGGTTACTCGATTTTTTAATTTTTGATTTTTCAACCTCGCGACTTTTTGCTTCCTCGATCTTTTAATGTTTCGATTTTTCACTTTTTCGACTTTTTAAATTTTGTACTTTTCAGTTTCTGGATTTCTAGTTTTTTTTACTTTTTTAGCTTTTTGATTTTTTTAATTTTGCTTTTTCGATTTTTCCATTTTTCGATTTTTGATGCTTGAATTTCCCGATTTAATTTTTTTTATATGTATTTCAATTTTTCGACTTCTCGATATCTCGATTTTTTCATTTTTAAAATTTTTCAACTTGGATTTGTAGATTTTGGAATTTTTTAATATTTTGATTTTCCAATTTTTGTTTTTTTTGGATTTTTGAAATTTTAGATCCCTCGAGTTTTCAATTTTTCGATATTTTTATTTTTTGATTTGGTAAATTTTAGATATGTACTTCAATTTTTCGATTCGTCTATTTTTCAATTTTTTTAATTTCTACATTTTACATTTTTCACTTTTTTGTGTTTCGATTTCTCAGTCTTTCAGTTTTTCAATTTTTGGGCTACTCGATTTCTCAATTTTTTCATTTTTCGACTTTCGAGTTGATGTTTCAATTTTTCACTTTTTCAATTCTTTCATTTTTCGATTTTTTAAATTTTACATTTTTGGATTTCTCGATTTCTAGTTTTTTTGATTTTTTAGTTTTTGATTTTTTTAATTTTACGTTTTCGATTTTTTCATGTTTGGATTTCCCGATTTTAAATATTTTAATATGTACTGCGGTTTTTCGATTTCTCGACACGTCGATTTTTCGATTTTTACGATTTTTCGATTTTTGGATTTTTTAATATTTCGGTTTTTCATTTTTTGGATTTTTGAATCTTTTATTTTTTCGATTTTATAAATTTTAGATTCTGTTTTTTCAATTTTTCTATATCTTTATTTTTCGATTTGATAAAATTTAGGTCTTCGATTTCTCGATTTTTCAATTTTTTTAATTTTTAAATTTTTCACTTTCTTAATATTTGATGTTTCGATTTCTCAATCTTTCGGTTTTTCAGTTTTTCGGTACTTAAATGTTTTGATTTTTCAGTTTTTCAATTTTTCGAATTTTCGATTTCTATTTTCTAGACAACTTAATTTTTCCATTTTTAAAATTTTTCGACTTTGATTTTTCGATTTCTCAACTTTTCTATTTTTCATTTAATTTTTATTTTTAAATTTTAGATTTTTCGACTTCTCGCTTTGAGATTTTTCGGTTTTTAAAATTTTTGATTTTTCGATTTTTGAGTTTTTACATTTTTCGAGTTCTCGAGCTTTTTAAGATTAAATTTTTCAATTTTGAATTTTTTGATTTTGGGCTACTCGATTTCACAATTTTTCGATTTTTCAACTTCTCAACTTTTCGTTTTTTCGATTTTTTTGATGTTTCGATTTCTCGGTTTTTTGATTTTCTAATTTTTTGATTTTTCAATTTTCCACTCTCCAATTTTTCCATTTTTTTAGTTTTAGATTTTTTGATTTCTCAATTTCTATTTTTTTTGAATTTTAAATTTTACATTTTCAATTTTTTGATTTTTGGATTTCTCTATTTTAAATTTTTTAATATGTACTTTGGTTTTTCGATTTCTCGAATCTCGATCTTTAGTTTTACAATTTTCGATTGCTTGATTTCTAGTTTTTGATTTTTTAGTTTTTTGATTTTTTAATTTTAAATTTTCAGTTTTTTGATGTCTGGATTTCCAGATTATAAATTTTTTAATTTTTCGAATTTTAGATTTCCAGACAACTCAATTTTTCGATTTTTAAAATTTTTCGACTTCGATTTTTCGATTTCTCAACTTTTCTATTTTTCATTTTTTTTTTAATTTTAGATTTTTCGACTTCTCGCTTTGAGATTTTTCGGTTTTTAAAATTTTTCGATTTTTCAATTTTTGGGTTTTTACATTTTTCGATTTCTCGGGGTTTTTGAGTTTAAATTTTTCAATTTTGAATTTTTTGATTTTGGGCTACTCGATTTTTTGATTTTTCAACTTCTCAACTTTACGTTTTTTCGATTTTTTTGATGTTTCGATTTCTCGGTTTTTCGATTTTCTAATTTTACGATTTTTTGATTTCTCAATTTCAATTTTTTTTTGGATTTTAAATTTTACATTTTCAATTTTTTGATGTTTGGATTTCCCAATTTTTAATTTTTTAATATGTACTTTGGTTTTTCGATTTCTCGAATCTCGATTTTTAGATTTTTACAATTTTTCGACTTCGATTTTTCGATTTTCGGATTTTTAATACTTTGGTTTTTCATTATTTTCGATTTTTTGATTTTCTACTTTTTTGATTTTTTTAAATTTTAGATTCTTGGTGTTTTCAATTTTTCTATATTTTTATTTTTCGATTTGATAAATGTTAGATATTTCGATTTCTGATTTTTCAATTTTTTTATTTTAAAATTTTTCACTTTCTTGATGTTTCGATTTCTCAATCTTTCGGTTTTTGGTTCCCTCGATTTTAGATTTTCCGGTTTTTCAGTTTTTCGGTACTCAAATTTTTCGATTTTTTTAATTACATATTTTTGATTTCTAGATTTGTAGTTTTTTGATTTTTTAAATTTTACATTTTAAAATTTTTTAATATACATATATGAACTTCAATTTTTCGATTTGTAGACATCTTAATTTTTCGATTTTTAAAATTTTTCGACTTTGATTTTTCGATTTTTCAGTTTTTACAATTTTAGACTTTTTGATTTTGTGATACTAGATTTCTCAATTTTTCGTTTTTCTAATTTTTCGACTTTTTATTTTTTCCATTCTTCAATTTTTCAATTTTTTTAATTTTAGAGTTTTCGATTTCTATTTTTTTTTTGATTTTTCAGTTTTTCGATTTTTTGAATTTTACATTTTCGATTTTTTACGTTTGAATTTAAATTTTTTAATATGTATTTCAATGTTCCGAATTTTCGATTTCTCGACATCTCAATTTTTCGATTTTTAAAATTTTAGATTCCTCGATTTCTCAATCTTTCGATTTTTCGATTTCTGGCTTTTAGATTTTTCAGTTTTCCATTTTTCGATTTTTCAACTTCCCGATATTTCGATTTTTTCACTTTTTCCATTCTTAAATTTTTGTTTTTTTTTAAATTTTACATTTTTGGATTTCCCAATTTCTAGTTTTTTTAGTTTTTGAATTTTTATAATTTTACATTTTCGATTTTTTGCTGTTTGGATTTCCCGATTTAAAATTTTTCAATATGTACTTCGATTTTTCGATTTCTCAATTTTTCAAAATTTCGATTTTGGGAATGTTTCAATTTCTGCATTTTTCAATTTTTCGATTTTTTTATAAATAAAAAAGGTCCAAGACTGTAATTTGACAAGCAATCAGTTTGACTTCGCAAATTATCTGTCTAATAATAATAAAGTCGCCAACAGACGTCGTACAGACGGAAACGGGATATCTACCTTTTCATATTCTAGAAGGTACAAAGCGTCAAGAATACATAAAATTCGTCATTTGATCAGAATTTATTGATAATTCTAGAGACTCCAAAGCATCTAGAAACAACCGCAGTGTACGAATAAATACCAACTTTTTGACATTAGAAACATTTATTACTCCTTTGAAGAGACATAGTTAAAGCATGCATCGCCCTTTTCGAGTGGAAAAAAAAACATAAGTTAATAATAAAGTTACTAAGTTAAATATATCGCAGCACATCGTAAAAAAAAATAGACCACGTCTATAACAAGAATATCAATTGCAGCTAAATAAATAATTCAACAATCAGAAGCGTTAAAATCGACTCCGCTCGAAGGTCCCGAAGCTCCGGGTTTCTTCCCTCCCCTAGCCAATCGATCCAGCTCAGCTGCCGCGTCCGACCGCATGGTAGCCTTATCCGTAAGAGACTCCGGTCCTCCGGACTTGTTCACCAGCGAGTTGCTCGGACTCGACCCCGTCTTCTTGTGCAGCAGCGAGTTGAAGAAGTTCGCCAAGACTCCCTCGCCCCCAGGGGAACTCACCACCTTGGAGCTGTCCAACTGCAACACCCTCCGCATTAAGCACTACCCCGCACCAATATCGTCAGCGCCAAAAACCTCATCTCCAACATAAAAACAACGAAAATTACGCAAAGAACTAAACAAACAGAAGCACTGTTTCGAGTCTGAGGTTGTGCCAATTTTTGGCGCTTTTGTAATTTGGTTTGTTGTGTTGTTATTACCAGTTAGTCGTTAAACCAACCCAAACACTTATGTCATGCTGCGGTTATCAAAAATGAAATTAATAAAAACATGGGCACATGGAAAATTTGGAAAAACGAGTTTACCTTCTTGGGAGAGCCTTGAGTTGAGGTTCTTACCGTTCCTTTTCCTAAGGGTGATGACCGGATTGGCGATTCTCCGAGTCTTGGTATTTGTAAGTTGTTGCCGCCAGCGAAGAGGATCTGCTGCTGTCGTGCTAGGAAGGTTTGCTCGTCTTCGGCTATGAGCTCGGTCTCGCGGTTTATAGTCTGTGATTAAAAAATACAACGAATCAGAGTTGGCTGTGATATTTTGACACATCACGTTTGACAGATCTGTCACTTGTCGCAGCTGACTTGATTTGAGGCGGATTATCGATCGTTCGTTACCTTTCTGGTTGTTGGCTGCACAATGATGTCTCGGAAGTAGTCGTCGGGTTTACAGGTGTGTAAGTTCTCGTACAGGATTCGTATTTTATTCATGTTGTCCCAGCCGGAGGGTCTTTAAGAATTATTTTTATTATTTTTACCAACGTGTGGGTGTTGATCTTACATAAAGACAGCGTCCTTTTCTACTACTAAAGCTGGTGTGCGGAAGGGGAATCCGTAAATACGGTGTGTTAAGTACTTGTAAAGCAAATCGCAGTTTTTATCTTCTTTGGCGCTTGTGTAGAAAAGGGCAGCTCCGTACTGGAGACAAAACTTGCGGATCCATTGCTGCATGAAGTCGAGGTGCTCGTCGCGGTAATCGTGCTCTTTTTCCAAAGTCTGAATGTAATCAGTCTGAAAAAAGATGACAAAAGTGCAAAAAGCTGGCTATTTTCATGTTTTTTCGACGTGTCAGGAGTCGTAGACTATGAAAAAATAGGTCTCCCGTTTCTGTCTGTCTGTCCGCCGTCTGTGTCGATTTTTATTAGACAGATAATATCCGAAATTAGCGGAACAATCGTTGTCAAATTTGTATGTAAGTGTGGAAAACGGTAACCAAATTGTTTCTGGTCATCATTATTTAAATTTTATAAAATAACGTACTCCTCCGCTTGTGGTTTATAAATCCGTTTTGGGTTTTTACCCAAGGCACATAGATTAAAAAAAAATAATAGTCAAAATTGTTAACTTTGAAATTGCAAAACTGAATGCTTTGGAACTTTACAAATGTTTTAAGGTTATCTGAAGCATGGTAAATCGTTAATCATGACATCATCTTACAATTTTGTGGAATATATGTTTTCTAAATTTGAAAAAGTAACATTGTCCTGGACTTCTGGTTTTAGGAATCCGTGTTGGATCTTTGACATCGAATTTTTGAAAAAAAAAAAACTGAATAATAATTTTTCGACTTTTCGATTTTCATCTTTCTGAATGCTCGATTTTCAATTTCTCGATCTTTTTTTCGATTTCTCAATTTTTCAATATATGTTATACGATTTTTCAATTTTTCGACTTCTCGATTTTTTACTTTTTCGATTTTTCAAAATTTTTCGATTTTTCAAATTTTAGATTTTTCAATTTTTTGAATTGTTGAACTTTAGGTTTTTCAATTTTTGTAATGTTTCGACTTCTCGCTTTTATATTTTTTGATTTTTCAATTCTTTGAATTTAAAATTTTTCATTTCGTTTTTTCAATTTTTAGATTTTTCAGTTTCTCGATTTCTCTTTCGATTTATTGGTTTTTTAAGTAATTTTGAATTTTTCGGTTTTGAGCAATCCGAATTCCCAATTTTTCAGTTTCTCGACTTCTCGCTTTCTTGATCTTTCTATGTTTCGATTTGTTCATTATTCGACATTTGAGTTTTGGGATTTTTGAATTTCTCGATTTTTCAGTATTTCGATTCTTCAATTCTTCGATTTTTTTATTTTTCCATTCCTCAATTTAAATGTTTTAATATGTATTTCTTGATCTTCTTTACCGATTTCTCAATTTCCCAATATTTCAGTTATACGATTTTTCAATTCTGTGATTTCTCAATCGATTTTTTTGAATTTTTACTTTTTCGCTTTTTCAAAATTTTAGATTCTTCACTTTTTGGATTTTTAAAATTTTAGATTTTGCGATATCTCGATTTGTTTTTATTTTTTTAGTTTTTCGATTTTTTAAATTTTCCATTGTTCGATTTTAATTTCTTTAATATGTATTTCGCGATCTTTTTTTCGATTTCTCAATTGGAAAATAAGTACTTCAGTTACACGATTTTTCGACTTTTCGATTTCTCCATTTTCGGATTGTTTAATATTTCGATTTTTTGATTTTTTTACTTTTTCGATTTTTCAAAATTTTAGATTTTTAAATTTTTTGAATTTTTGTGTTTTAGGGTTTTCACTATTTTAATGTTTCGATTTCTCGATCTTTCAAAGTTTCGAGTCCTCGTTTTTACATTTTTCGGTTTTTCAATTTTTTGGTTTTAAAATTTTTCATTTTTCGATTTTTTAGTTTCCCAATTTTTCTATTTATCCGTTTTTTAAGCTTAAATTTTTCATTTTTGAATTTTTCAATTTTGAGCTATCCGATTTCCCAATTTTTCAATTTTTCATACTTCTCGACTTCTTGCTTTCTTGATCTTTTTGTTTCGATTTGTCCATTGTTCGACATTTCAGTTTTGGGATTTTTGAATTTCTCGATTTTTCAGTATTTCGATTCTTCAATTACTTACTTAATTTTTTAAATTTTAGATTTTTGGATTTTTCGATTTCTGTTTTTTTTTAATTTTTCGATTTTTCTGTTTTTCAATTTTTTATTTTTAAATTTCAGATTTTTCACGTTTTTCATGTTTCGATTTCTCAATCTAACGATTTCTTAATTTCTCCCTTTTTGATTTTTCGGTTTTTAAATTTTTCGATTTGTGAATTTGTCGGTTTTTAAGTGTAAATTTTTCAATTTTGAATTTTTCGATTTTGGGCTACTCGATTTCTCAATTTTTCGATTTTCAAATTTTAGATTTTTCGATTTCTCGATTTCTAGTTTTTTTTTACTTTTTAGCTTTTCGATTTTTTCAATTTTATATTTTCGATTTTACGATTTTTTGATGTTTGGATTTCCCGATTTAAAATTTTTTAGTACGTATGTATTTCGGTTTTTCGATTTTGTAATTTAAAAAAATGTTCGACTTTGATTTTGCGACTTTTTAATTGTTCGGTTTTCCAACTTTTGGATTTTTTGATTCTTTACCTTTTCGATTTTTAAAATTTTAGGTTCTACGGGTTTTCAATTTCTGAATATTTTTATTTAACGATTTGTAAAATTTTAGGTATTCCCATTTCTCGATTTGTGTATTTTTCTTTTTTTATTTTTCTTTTACATTTTTCACTTTTTTAATATTTCGACTCTTCGGGTTTTTACGTTTAAATTTTTCAATTTTGAATTCTTCGATTTTGGGCTACTCGAGTTCTCAGTTTTTCGATTTTTCAACTTCTCGACTACGATCATTTGATGTTTCGATTTTTTCATTTTCGATTTTCTAATTTTTCGATTTTTTAAATTTTAGATTTTTCGATTTCATTTTTTTGATATTTCGATTTCTTGATCTTTCGAACTTCACGCGTTTACATTTTTGGTTTTTCAATTCTTTGATTTTAAAATTCTTCATTTTTCGTTTTTTCAATTTTTTGATTTTCAGTTTCTCGATTTATCCGTTTTCAACTTCTCCACTTCTCGATCTTTTGATGTTTCGATTTTTCAATTTTTCCACAATTCAGTTTTGGGATTTTTCAATTTCTCGATTTTTCAGTCTTCCGATTCTTCAATTCTTGAATTTTTAAAATTTTAGATTTTTCGATTTCTCGATTTTTTTTTTGATTTTTTAGTTTTTCGGTTTTTCTATTTTTCATTTCTTTTTAATTTTAGATTTTTCACTTTTTTGTTTCGATTTCTCAATCTTTAGAGTTCTTGATTTTTCGGTTTTTCAATTTTTTGATTTTTCAGTTTTTCGGTTTTTAAATTTTTCGATTTTTCAGTTATTCAATTTTTCGATATCCCAATTTGTCGTTTTTTTAAGTTCAAATTTTTCAATCTTGAATTTTTCAATTTTTCAAATTTTTGGACTTCTCGCTTTGTCGATCTTTTAATATTTCGATTTCTTGGTATTTCGATTCTTCAATTTTTATATTTTTCGATTCCTCGATTTCTACTTTATTTATATTTTAGTCTCTCGATTTTTTATATTTTATATTTTCGATTTTCTGATGTTTGGATTTTCTGATTTAAAATTTTTTAATATGTATTTCGGTTTTTCGATTTCCCAATATCTCGATTTTTAAAATTTTGTCGACTTCGATTTTGGGATTTTTAATATTTCGATTTTTCAATTTTTGGATTATTTGATTTTTTACTTTTTCAATTTTTAAAACTTTAGATTATTCGAGTTTTCAATTTTTCGATTTGTAAAATTTTAGGTATTTCGATTTTTCGATTTGCTTATTTTTATTTTTTTTAATTTTAAATTTCACATTTTTCTCATTTTTGATGTTTTGATTTCTCAATCTTTGGATTTTTCGCTTCCTCACTTTTAAATTCTTGGGTTTTTAAATTTTTTGATTTCTCGATTAATTTTTTATTTTTCAGTTTTTCGATTTTTTAAATTTTCCACTGCTCGATTTTAATTTTTTTTTCTTTTTTACCGATTTCTCAATTTCTCGATCGATTTTTGATTTTTAGATTTTTAATTTTTTTAAATTTCGATATTTTAGTTTTTCACTTTTTTGATTTCTCGATATTTCGAAGTTTCGACTTCTCGCTTTTACATCTTTTGGTTTTTCAATTCTTTGATTTTCAAATTTTTCATTTTTCGATTTTTCCGTTATTCAAATTTTCGATTTTGGCCTAATCGATTTCACAATTTTTCAATTTTTCAACTTCTCGCTCTTATGATTTCTTGATTTTTCGATTTTTCAGTTTTTACATTCAATTGCTCATTTTTAAAATTTTTGATTTCTGGTTTTTTGATTTCTTAATTTTTTGATTTTTCTATTTTTCAATTTTTTTATTTTGAAATTTTAGATTTTTCACTTTTTTCATGTTTCGATTGCTCAATGTTTCGATTTCTTAATTTCTCGCTTTTAGATTTTTCAGTTATTAAATTTTTCGATTTGATTATTCATCGGTTTTTTAAGTTTAAATTTTTCAATTTTGAATTTTTCGATTTTGGGCTACTCAATTTCTCAATTTTTCGATTGTTCAACTTCTCGCTTTGTCGATCTTTTAATATTTAGATTTCTCAGTTTTTCGATTCTTCAATTTTTCGATTTTAAAAATCTTCCATTTTTCGATTTCTCGATTTCCAGCTTTTTTTTTATTTTTTAGTTTTTCGATTTTTAAAATGTTACAATTTTAATTTTTCCATTTTTCGATTTTACGATTTTTTTGATGTTTGGATTTCTTTATATAAAATTTTTTAATATGTATGTATTGTATGTATTTCGGTTTTTTGATTTCTCGACATCTCGATTTGCAATTTTTAAAATTTTTCGACTTTGATTTTGGGATTTTTTTAATATTTCGGTTTTTCAATGTTTGGATTTTTGATTTTTTCCTTTTTTGATTTTTCAATTTTAGATTCTTCGAGTTTTCAATTTCTTAATATTTTTATTTTTCGATTTGTAAAATTTTAGGTACTTCGATTTTTCATTTGTCTATTCTTCAATTTTTTTAATTTTTAAATTTTATATTTTTAGATTTTTCAATTTTTGTGTATTTAAAATTTTCGATTTGTCTGGTTTTTAAAGTTCAACATTTCAAATTTTGAATTTTTCAATTTGGGCTACTCGATTTCCCAATTTTTCGATTTTTCAACTTCTCGCTTTGTAGATCTATTAATATTTCGATTTCTAGGTTTTTCGATTTTTTAAATTTTACATTTTCGATTTTTCCATTTTTTACTTTTTCGATTTTTACATTTTTTACTTTCTCGATTTTTAAAATTTTAGATTTTTCGTGTTTTCAATTTCTTGATATATTTTTTTCGATTTGTAAAATTTTAGGAATTTCGATTGTATATTTTTCATTTTTTTTTAATTTTTAAATTTCACATTTTTCGATTTTTCAATTTTTCGATATTTAAAATTCTCGATTTGTTGGGTTTTTCGATTAAATTTTTCAGCTTTGAATTTTTCGATTTTGGGGTACTCAATTTCTCAATTTTTAGATTTTTCAACTTCTCGACTTCCCGCTTTGTCGATCTTTTGATGTTTTAACTCCACGGTTTTTCGATTTCTCAATTTTTCCATTCTTCATTTTTTCGATTTTTTAAATTTTAGATTTTTCGATTTCACTTTTTTGATATTCCGATTTCTTGATCTTTCGGTTTTTTTCAATTCTTTGGTTATAAAATTTTTCATTTTTCGTTTTTTCAATTTTTAGATTTCTCGATTCGTCTTTAACTTCGCCACTTCTCGCTTTCTCAATCTTTTTCGGTTTTTCTATTTTTCTTTTTTTTAATTCTAGGTTTTTCACTTTTTTGTTTCGATTTCTGAATCTTTCGATTTCTTAATTTCTCGCTTTTAGATTTTTCGGTTTTTCGATTTTTTGATTTTTCAGTTTTTCGGTATTTAAATTTTTCAATTTTTCAGCTATTCAATTTTTCGATATCACAATTTGTCGGTTTTTAAATTTAAATTTTTCAATTTTGAATTTTTCGATTTTGGACTACATACTCGATTTTTCAGTTTTCCGACTTTTCAACTTTTCGATTTTTAAAATTTTTTCGATTCCTGGATTTTTAGGTTTTTTATTTTTTAATTTGTTGATTTTTTAAAATTTATATTTTCGATTTATGCATTTTTCTAATTTCTGATGTTTAGATTTTCCGATTTAAAATTTTTTAATATGTATTTCGGTTTTTCGATTTCCCAACATCTCGATTTTTTTAATTTTTCGATTTCGATTTTGAGATTTTTAATAATTCGGTTTTTCAATTTTTTTATTATTTTTTACTTTTTCAGTTTTTAAAACTTTAGATTCTTCGGGTTTTCAATTTCTCAAATTTTTATTTTTCGATTTGTAAAATTTTAGGTATTTCAATTTGTAAACTTTTAGGTATTTCGATTTCCCGCTTTGCCTATCTTTCAAATTTTTAAATTTTACATTTTTCATTTTTTTGATGTTTCGATTTCTCAATCTTTGGATTTTTCGATTCCTCGCTTTTAGATTTTTCGGTTTTTCAGTATTTCGAAATTAAAATTTTTCGTTTCGACGGGTTTTTTACATGTAATTTTTCAGTTTTGAATTCTTCATTTTTGGCCTACTTGATTTCTCAGTTTTTCGATGTTTCAACTTCTCAACTTCTCGCTTTCTCAATCTTTTGATGTTTCGATTTTTCGATTTTCTAATTTTTAGATTCTTCAGTTTCTCGATCTTTTTTCGATTTCTCAATTTCTCGAATGATCGGTTTTTTGATTTTTTACTTTTTCGATTTTTCAATTTTTTGAATTTTAGGTTTTTGATTTTTTTGATGTTTCGATTTCTGGATCTTTCGAAGTTTCGATTTCTTGTTTTTACATTTTTCGATTCTTCAATTTTTCGATTTTTTAAATTTTACATTTTCCATTTTTCCATTGTTTACTTTTTCAATTTTTACATTTTTTACTTTCTCGATTTTTTAAATTTTAGGCATTTCGATCGTATGTTTTTAATTTTTTTTTTTTAATATTTAAATTTCACATTTTTCGATTTATCAGTTTTTTGATTTTTCAATTTTTCGATATTTAAAATTTTCGATTTGTTAGGTTTTACGTTTAAATTTTTCAGCTTTGAATTTTTCGATTTTGGGCTTCTCAATTTCTCAATTTTTAGATTTTTCAACTTCTCGACTTGTCGTTTTCTCGATCTTTTGATGTTTTAATTCCACGGTTTTTCGATTTTCTAATTTTTGGATTTTTCTATTTGTTTTTTTTTTAATTTTTAGTTTTTCAGTTTTTCTATTTTTCTTTTTTTTTAATTCCAGGTTTTTCACTTTTTTGTTTAGATTTCTGAATCTTTCGATCTCTTAATTTCTCGCTTTTAGATTTTTCGGTTTTTCAATTTTTTGATTTTTTTGTTTTTCGGTTTTTAAATTTAAATTTTTCAATTTTGAATTTTTCGATTTTGGATTACATACTATAGATTTCTCAATTTTTCAACTTTTTGCTTCTCGCTTTGTCGTTTCGACTTCTCGTTTTTCAGTTTTCCGATTTTTCAACTTTTCGATTTTTTTAATTTTTGACTTCGATTTTGAGATTTTTAATAATTCGGTTTTTCAATTTGTGGATTATTTGATTTTTTACTTTTTCAATTTTTAAAACTTTAGATTCTTTGGGTTTTCAATTTGTAAAGTTTTAGGTATTTCGATTTCCCGCTTTGCCTATTTTTCAAATTTTTTTAAAATTTTTAAATTTTACATTTTTCATTTTTTTGATGTTTCGATTTCTCAATCTTTGGATTTTTCGATTCATCGCTTTTAGATTTTTCGGTGTTTCAATATTTCGAAATTAAAATTTTTCGATGTCGGGTTTTTTAAGTTTAAATTTTTGAATTTTGAATTCTTCATTTTTGGCCTACTTGATTTCTCAGTTTTTCAATGTTTCAACTTCTCGACTTCTCGCTTTCTCGATCTTTTTTTCGATTTCCAAATTTCTCGAATAATCGGTTTTTCGACTTTTTAAATTTTCGATTTTTCAATTTTTAAAATGTTTCGACTTCAATTTTTCGAGTTTTCAATTTTCCAATGTTTCAACATTTTAAAAAAGGTACAAGACTATAAGTTGTAGTTCTTTGAGGAGCATATACCAAAATTGTTTTCAACTATACAGAGTGTTCTATTGTTAAGGCATAGCACACAATAGTTACTGTCAAATGCCAACATAATTATTTTAAAAATACGTTTCATGGCTTATTAGACGACTTTTTTTATCAAATGGTGTAAATGTAATCAGAATAACCAAAATTAATAAAATTCAAAATACAACCACATAACATACTTCAAGAAGTTATAAACCCAAAACCGCAATCAACAAACCTTGGTAACGACCACAACAATATCCAACCCCAAATTATTAGTAAGAGTGCCTTCAGGCAGCGACGTCGCGTCGTCCATCCCGTCCTCCCCCTCCCCGAACGTCCTCGAGCTCCTCTTCATGGGGGACGCCGGGTCCAGCTCGTCCCCCGGCTCCACGTACTCCTGCCACATTTTGACTATATGCTGGCGCCGGTTCTGCCGCAAATCCACGTCCAGATTCAGTTTATCGAGATGATCGGCCAGCACGGACGCCCAGTGCTGAAGCTGCTCGAGGATGCTCCAAGGAGCCGTCATGGTCACGGTCAGAATGACCAGCGTGTGTTGGAATGTTTCTTCGTTCAGCGCAAACCGGAGGAGGTCGCTGTGGCCCGGATCGCCGTCCAGGACCCACACACTCAAACGGGTTTGGTCTGCAAAAGATAATTATTCTTAATAAAATAACGAAAGAATTTAATCACGTCAGAAGATGTTTTCTATGAATTGCAATAACCGGATGACAATGCCGACGGTCCAGACTTTTTTATTGCTCTGACTTCCGTTTATTGAATAAAACACTACATTTTATTTTGATATTTTTGATGTTGTAGGTCACATTTGGTTAATTATAACTTGTCTAGATCTAGGGGTTATGAAATATCGAGAAAATATGGAAGTACCAAATTGCCCGACGGACTCCATTAGTGTACATCCTTAGGTTATCCTCGATAAGAAAAACAACTTGAAAGTGTTTATGTTTATACATCGGAAGAATGTCACGTAGAAATTAGTTTGATTTGAATGAGTTCGTCCCCTCAAAACGGAGGATCAAAAGTAGTAAGCTACAATCGACAAAATGTTCTGAATATCTTTATTATAATTCTTATTAAATAAAGACGTTTGTATTTTCACGTTTTCGGGAAAATGGGGTGACTCGTTCTTAATTTGATTAATAAAAATCCGTGACGGCAGACAGATAGACAGACAGACAGACGGACAGACAGACAGACGGGAAATAAAATGGTAATTCCCCTGTTACCACACATTTGGTTTCATAAATCCTGTACATTGGTACAATTGGTGATAGTGATAAACATAAGTAGATAAAATTCTATATGTGGTTTGTGTTATTGTTGTTATTAGTGATTGGAGTGCAGTGATAATTAAAATGGATGAAAGTGACAGCTTGTAAGTTTAATTTTAAGTTAAGGTTTAAACACAGTAAGTAAATTTTGATTTCAGATACAAGTGTTTAAAAAAATCCAACCAACCACCAAAAATGGGTTTAGTGTGTCGTTGGAAGGGCTCTGTTTTTGATTATAAGGCCCATCTTCAACAAATGCACCCTGAGAGTTGCCTCAAGTGCAACAAAAGCACAGCGTTTTACTGGAAAGTGGCACTTGATAAATGCAGTGATAAGGGTCTCATCCAGAACCACTCAAATTTTTATCTGTATGAACTTTATCATAGCAATCAGACAGTCTACATTGCACTAAATGAAACCACAAAAATAAACGGACGTTCGTACCAACTCTATTTGTGTCACAAAGAGTTACCAAATTACAACTTATCTCAAAAAATTAACACCATAGAAAGCCTCTTTCTCCCCCTACACAAGCGTCAACACATCAAAATCCCCAGCCACTTATTCAACGACTACTCCGACACCTCGCGCCGGTTAAAATTAAAATTTGTCTTTAATGAATGACTAATAAAGTGTACAAACCATCACGGTAGTCATCCCTAACATCGATGTATGCATACTCCAACCCTGAGCCCTTCTTAGGGTCCTCCACGCCCTGCAGTTTAGCCACGATGGTAGTTTTCCCGCATTCGTTGTCCCCGAGCACCAAAACTTGCTTGCAGGAGGGTAATTTAGGATTGCCATTATTTTGAACGTCACTCAAAATTTGCGACCTACAAAGTTAGGTTAAGTGGGTTATCGGTGGATGACACTTACGGCAAACTTGCCATAAGTTCTTTTTGCTATCGTCGGCATTTTTTGATACTTCTTCCGGCATTTTTAACGATTAAACTAAAATTCTAACGGGTTTGTTCAAGCTAAACCGACGATTCTGACATTCGACCAGGGCTGACGTTCCCGACCTTGAGTGGCTGAGTCATCGCGGCAATCATCGCTAATAATAAAAAAACAACAAAAATGCGTTTTGTAATTAATTATTTAACTAACAACAAAAAAGTGTGTTGAATATTGTTGCTGAATATTTTTCGTGAACTAAGTATTTGTGGCGCTATTTTCGAGTCACCAGCCAAAATTCCCTAGATTTTTGACTTTCGACAGATTGACAGGTCGCCGTGAAAGTTTGCGTTTGGGTTGTTATTACGCCTCTTGTATTTTTAAATTTTGCCAAAATGCGTTTGTTATGAAAGCGTCTGCGGCTGGGTTTTCGCGTTTACGGCGTTATTGATGTCCGTGAAGTCCTTTCCACCGGTAATCGATGAAGATGTTTGAATCGATTTTACAGTACGTTAGAAGTTGGTTTCCAGCCAACGAACTGTCCACTTCTAATGAATTTTCTCGTAAACGCAGGTAAAGCGTCCCATTTCCACTATATAGCAGATTACCATCTCTTCGTTGCAGAGGTTCAGACAATTACACCCACTTTAGAAGCCCCAAACACCGAAAGATACTCTCCACAGTGACCAACAACATCTTCGACGGTAAACAAACAACACGTTTTTTATTCGTGCTTTAACTTGCGTTTGTTAAAGATGACAGTTTCCCCTCGCCTTTGAGATCGTCGTCCATGTTGCGGCCTTTGAACGGTAGTGATCGGACTGTGGTCATTGATGATGAAGACGACGAAAGACCGCTGACGAAACCCGTTGATATTAAACGCAAATCGTCTGAGAACCGTTTGAAACTGAACGGGAACGACGATTTGAGTTTCCTGAAGTCGGCGAAAAGCACGGCTGAGAAGAAACTAGAGGCTAAAAAAGCCGGCGTCGAGTATATTACTCGATTTTCGTCGAGCTACGAACCTGTGACCACGAAATCTCCAAATATGCAGAACGGCACGAAACCTAAGTCAAAAGTTTCGCCGAGTTTGAAAAATCAACCAAAAACACGTTCCTCCTTAAATAATACGCTGTCTTCGCCTACTTTGGACTACTCAATTCGCCTAGATGATAAGAAAAAATATCAAATGTTGCTGGAAAATGTGGCGTTGCAGAATACTTTTAATAACTCTTTCAATAGCTCGTCGATTTATGGAACTCCGGTTGGAGGGATGTTTAATCGGTCGAGGAGATTGGTGGAGATGGCGAGGTCGCCTAAGCAGAAATCGTTCGAAGTTATCGATCTCACAAGCGAGAATAAGACTAAATTATCGACGAAGGATAAAGTTATTAAGATTTTAGATGATTTTGAGAGCGAGACTGCGGTTATTGAAGACTCGGATTCGGACGTTGAAATTTTGCCAACTCCACCGTCGCCCAAACCGGATATTAAAGTGCCGCCGGTGAATAGTTTGAAGACTGTTATTGATACTTCCAAGCCCACGCACCATAAATGGTTAGAGGATGTGTAAGTACATGTTAAAAAAAATATTTATGGTAACTAATTATTCAAAAATTAAAATGTTGAAAATTTCAACACACTGCCACGTGGTCCAGCAGCTACGCTGCCATCTCCTCGTACCATACTTTTGAGGTTAGAAACGTCACAAATATGAAATATTCATAATTGTAATTTTATTTTTTAAAAGCATTTTCTACACAAAAATAATGGTTTTGAAAAAGCGTGGTATACCCTTTTGGAATTTATGTAAATGTCAGGGTTGTATTCAGGAAAATAGTTATTGTCCAAGCATGGCCAACTAAGATACGGCCTGACATTAATGTCGAATTTCATTGTTGAATTTGATTCTACTAACCTCATAAAAAAAAATTCCTTGGGTAACTAGCGTGATCTCTTGCAGAATTTAAATTTTTGTAATTTCTGCACTTTTGTAATTTTCGCAATTTTGAAATTGTTTAAGTCTCTATTATTTCTCAAAATATTGACTGACTTGTAATTTTTGCCATTACGAAATATCTGGAATTTGAAGATCCTGCAATGTTTTTTAAAATTTTCAAAATTTCTGGAAGTTACATTTGTTTTACTATTTGCAACCATTGTGGTGCTTTCGAAATTTTTTATTAAAAAAATGATTTGAAATTTTCAATTTGTTGGAATTTTTTACACTTTTGGATGTTTTTATTTAAAAATTTCAAAAAAAAAAATTTAAATTTTTAGGACGTTCGCTACAAGATTTTTTCTATTTACGGCCCTCATAGAATTTTCGAATTTCTATTAAGAAATATTTTGAAAATTTTAAGTTACAATTTTTGACCGTTTTGGAAGTTCTGAATTTTAGGATTTTTTAGAAAATTTCAAAATTTCGGGCATTTGTGCAATTTTGATTTTTAGCAATTTTTTAATATTTTATCGTGTCTGTTTTATTAGAACTTCTGTAATTTTCGTCATTTTTGGCACTGTTTAAGTCTACCTAATTTCTGGAACTATCAATCTTTTTGAAATTTTTGGAACCATGAAGTATTTGTAATTTGGAACTTAAAAATTTCAGAAGTGTTTTAAAATTTTTCTAGTTCTACAAAATTTTAAAATTGTTGAAATTTTTCTAGTTCAACGAAATTTTAAAATTGTTGAAATTCTTCAAAATTTCTGAAGTTTTGCCACTTGGAACATTTTGGTATTTTAAAAATTCATCTTAGAACCGCCACAAATATGAAACCATAAATGTACCAAAATAATAATAATATTTATTCCTACAGGTAACACCCAATTACAGGAATAATATCAAACTAACTAAACTAATTCATGACAGTAACTAAAAAAGTATAAATATTGAAAAAACAAAAGTATCTACAGCTAATTAAACATTAACCCAAATTTACAATGTAATTACAAATACTAAAACTAGAATCAAAATTAATATCACATAAATATATCAATTACATGATTTTTTACTTTTTCGATTTTCCAAAATTTTAGATTCCTCAATTTTTGGAATTTTTGAATTTTAGGTCTTTCATTTATTTGATGTTTCGATTTTCCGATCTTTCGAAGTTTCGGCTTTTTGCTTTTATATTGTTTCGTTTTCCAATTCTTTGATTTTGAAAAATTTTTCGTTTTTCGTTTTTTCAATTTTGAATTTTTCGATTTTGAGGTGTCCTATTTACCAATTTTGCAGTTTTTCAACTTTTCGACTTCTCGCTTTCTCGATCTTTTGATGTTTCGATTTTTCAATTTTTCGACGTTTCAATTTTGGGATTTTTCAATTTTTCGATTTTTCAGGTTTTGTTTTTGGATTTCTTGATTTTCAACTTTTTGATTTTTCGATTTTCAATTTCCGATATCTGGGTTTTCAATTTGTGGAAATTTTAGTCTGGGGATTTTACGATTTGTCGATTCGAGTTCTAATTTTTCAGTTTTTCGATGTCTCGATGTTGGGATTTTTTAATATTTAGATTTTTCGACTTTTCGGTTTTTCAAAATTTTTCGATTTTTAAAGATTTTTCAATTTTTTTTATTTTCGAATTTTAGGTTTCTCACTTTTTTAATGTTTCGATTTCTCGATCTTTCGAAGTTTCGAGTTCTGGGTTTTACATACATTTTTTGGTTTTTCAATTCCTTCGTTTTAAAATTTTTTATTTTTCAATTTTTTCGTTTTTTAGTGTTTCGATTTCTCGATTTATCCGTTTTTTTTTTTTTTAGTTTATATGTTTCAATTCTGAATTTTTCGATTTTGAACTATCCGATTTCTCAATTTTTCGACATTTCAGTTTTGGGATTTTTCAATTTCTGGGGTTTTCGGATTTTTGAACGATTTTTTTTATCTGAAAATTCCGTGCATTTTTAAATTTGAATTGTTTCTATTTACGGCACTCTAAAAATTTTCGAATTTCTATTATTAAAAAATATTTTGAAAATTTTGAGTCGTTAGCACTTTTGACACTTTGGAAAGTCTGCATTTTTTGGCTTTTAAAGTTTCTAAATTTTTGTCATTTTTGGATGTACTGAATTTGCTAGGATTTTTTATAAAATTTCAAAGTTTCCGGCATTTCTGCTATTTTTGGAAACTGGAATTTTCAAATTTTCATTCTTTAATAGAATTCTTTAACAATTGAATTTTTTATGATTACGAAATTGAAAAATTGATTAATATATCAAAATATTTCAGTTGTACGATTTTTCTGTTTTCGCTTTTACATTTTTTGGTTTTTCAATTCTTTGATTTCGAAATTTTTCATTTTTAGATTTTTCAGTTTCTCGATTTCCCAATTTATCTGTTTTTTTTTTTTAAGTTTAAATTTTTCAATATTGAATTTTTCGATTTCGACTTATCCCATTTTTTGATTTAGCAATTTTTCAATTTCTCAACTTCTCGCTTTCTCGATATTTTGATGTTTCGATTTTTCAATGTCTCGACATTTGAGTTTTGAGATTTTTCAATTTTTTCATTTTTCGACTTTTCGATTTCGCAATTTTGGAATTCTTTAATATTTCGGTTCTTCAAAAATTTTCGAATTTGAAAGTGTTAAATTTTTAACTTGTTTTGAATTTTTGAATTCTAGGTTTCTCACTTTTACATTTTTTGGTTTTTCAATTCTTTGATTTTTAAATTTTTCAGTTTTCGATTTTTCAATTTTTAGATTTTTCAGTTTCTAGAGTTCCCGATTTATTCATTTTTTTTTTTTTAAGATTAATACATTTTTCAATTTTGAGCTGTCCGATTTCTCAATTTTTCAACTTCTCGCTTTCTTGATCTTTTAATGTTTCGATTTTTCAATTTTTTGATTTTTCGATTTATCAATTTTCAACTTTTTGATTTTTCGATTTCCAATTTCTCGCTTTCTGGGTTTTCAATTTGTCGAGGTTTCAGTGTGGGGATTTTACAATTTACCGATTCTTCGATTTCCAATTTTTCAGTTATACGATTTTTCAATTTTTCGATTTCTAAATTCCTGGATTAATTGATTTTTTGATTTTAAATTTTTCGATTTCAGTTTTTTATGCTTTTGGATCTTTTTACTTAAAAACTTCAAGCATTTTTTAAATTTCTAGTACGGCAATTTTTTTTTTCTATTTCTGGCCCTTTAAAATTTCCGAATTTCTATTATTAAAAAATATTTTGAAAATTTTAACTTGTTACAATTTTTGACCCTTTTGGAACTTCTGGATTTTTCAAATTTCGGGCATTTCTGTTCTTTTTGGAATCTATGAAGTTTTCAAGTTTACATTCTCTTATAGATTTTTACAATTTTTTTTGATATTTTATCATGTCCATTTTATTAGAATTCACGTCATTTGCGTAATTTTTGAAACTGTTTAAGTCTCCCTAATTTCTTAACGTATTAACCCTTTAGAAATTTTTGAAACTATGAAGTATCTGGAATTTGGAGAATCTTTTAAGTTTTTTAAAATTTTCTAGTTTGGCGAATTTTTAAAACTGTCGAAATTTTTCAAAATTTCTGGCAGTTGCAGATGTTATACTATTTACAGTCCTTTTGATGTTTTCGAAATTCTTTTATTAAAAAATTATTTTGAAATGCATAAATCGTTGACAATTTTTTGCACTTTTGAACAATTTTTTTATTTCAAAATTTCATACATTTAAAGAAAATTTTTCTCTTTATAACCCTCTTACAATTTTCGGATTTCTATTATTAAAAAATATTTTGAAAATTTTAAGTTGTTAGAACTTTTGACATTTTGGAACGTCTGGGTTTTTAAGAGATTATTAGAAGTTTCGTAATTTTCGCATTTTTTGGAATTGCTTTAAGTCTCTCTAATTTCTGAAGATCTTAACCATTTTGTAATTTTTAGCATTATGAAGTGTCTGGAACTTATTGAATCTGGAAGTGTTTTACATTTTTTCTAGTGCAACGAAATTTTATAATGGTGGCAATTTTTCAAAATTTCTGGAAGTTAGGCCATTTATAACATTTTGGTTGAGAACATAAATATATCAAAATATATCAGTTATACGATTTTTTACTTTTTCGATTTTTCGACTTTTCGGTTTTTCAAAATTTTTCGATTTTGGAAATTTTACATTTTTTAATTTGTTGAATTTAAAGTTTTTCACGTTTTTAATGTTTTGATTTCTCGATCTTTCGAAGTCTCGAATTCTCGCATTTACATTTTTTAGTTTTCCAATTCCTTGATTTTTCAACTTCTCGACTTCTCGCTTTCTCGATGTATCGATGTTTCGATTTTTCAATTGTTCGACATTTCAGTTTTGGGATTTTTCAATTTTTCGGCTTTTTGATTTTTTGATTTCTCGCTATTCAATTTTTTGATTTTTCGATTTTTAATTTCTCGATTTGTGGGTTTTCAATTTGTCGAGGTTTCAGTTTGGGGACTTTACAATTTGTCGATTCTTCGATTTCCAATTTTTAGTTATACAATTTTTCAATTTTTGAATTTCTCAATTTCGGGATTGATTTTTTGATTGTCGACTTTTCGATTTCTCGATTTTGGGATTTTTTATTATTGCCATTTTTCGACTTTTCAGGATTTTAAAATTCTTCGATTTTAAAAATTTTAGAGATTTCAATTTTTTGAATTTTAGAATTTTAGATTCTTCACTTTTTTAATGTTTCGATTTCTCCATTTTCCAAAGTTTCGACTTCTCGCTTTTACATTTTTTGGTTTTTCAATTCTTTGATTTAAAAATTTTAGATTTTTTAGTTTCTCGAGGGCTTGATTATCCATTTTTAAGAATAATAAATTTTTCAATTTTGAATTCTCAACTTCTCGACTTCCGGCTTTCATTTTTCAATTTTTTGACATTTAAATTTAAGGTTTTTCGATTTCTTGATTTCTGTTTTTTTTTGATTTTTCAGTTTTTCGATTTATGAGCCTTTTAGAAGTTTCGAATTTATTAAAAAATATTTTCAAAATTTTAAAGTTTCAAGATTTTTGACATTTTTGGAAGTTCTGATTTTTCCAGTAAAATTTTTGAGTAAAATTCAAAATTTCAGGCATTTCTGCTATTTTTGGGATCTATGAAAATTTCGAATTTCCATTCTTTAATATATTTTTTTTAATTTTTAAAGATTTTATGTCCGTTTTATTAGAACTTCCGTAATTTTCGTAATTTTTTAAACTATGAAGTATCTGAAATTTGGAGAATCTTTTCAGTTTTTTTTAATTTTCTACTTTAACGAATTTTTGAAATGCCATCTTGTACTACTTACAACCCTTTTGATGTTTTCGAAATTCTTTTATTAAAAAAATGTTTTGAAATGCTCAAATTGTTACAATTTTTTGCACTTTTGAAAGATTTTTTTATTCGAAAATTGAATGCATTTTTGAAATTTTTAGAGCAAAGAGGTTTTTTCTATTGAATTAATTTAATAAATTTAATTTTGGAATTGTTAGAAGTCTTTCTGATTTCTGAAAATCTGAACCATTTTGTAATTTTTGGCTTTATGGAGTATCAGGAAGTTATAGAATTTCTTAAGTGTTTTCAAATTATTCTAGTTCAACGAAATATTAAAATTGTTGGAATTTTTCGAAATTTCTGGAAATTAAAACTGTTTTGCCATTTACATTTTGGTATTTTAAAAGTTCATCTTAGAATCGTCACAAATGTGAAAACGTTGAGAACATAAATATATCAAAATATTTCACTTTTGAAAATTTTAGATTTTTCAATTTATTCAATTTTTTGAATTTTTGCATTTTCGGTTTTTCACTTTTTTGATGTTTCGATTTCTCGATTTTTCGAAGTTTAGACTTCTCGTGTTTACATTTTTTGGTTTTTCAATTTTGAACTATCCGATTTCTCGATTTTGTAATTTTTCGATTTTTCGGCATTTTGATTTTTCGATTTTCAATTTCTCGATTTCTAGGTTTTCAACTTGTTGAGGTTGGGGATTTTACAAATAATCGATTCGAATTTTTCAGTTATACAATTTTTCAAATTTAGATTTCTCAATTTCTGGTTTAATTGATTTTTTGATTATTCGACTTTTCGGTTGTTCAAAATTTTTCAATTTTCTGAATATTAGGTTTTTCACTTTTTTAATTCTACGATTTCTCGATCTTCCGAAGTTCCGACTTCTCGCTTTTAGATTTTTTGATTTTTCAGTTCTCGATGTCTCGATTTATCCGTTTTCTAAGATTAATAAATTTTGAATTTTTTTATTTCGAGCTATCCAATTTCTTAATTCTTCAACTTCTCTCTTTCTCGATCTTTTGATATTTCAATTTGCCAATTTCTTAATTTCTAGTTTTTTTGATTTTGAAGTTTTTTAAAATTTCCTAGTTTAACGAATTTTTGAAACTGTCAAAATTTTTCAAAATTTCTGGCAGTTGCAAATGTTTTACCATTTAGAACCCTTTTGATGTTTTCGAAATGCTTTTATTAAAAAAATGTTTTGAAATGCTCAAATTGTTACAATTTTTTGCACTTTTGAAAGATATTTCATGGATTTTTGAATTTTTTGACTAAAAGGTTTTTTCTATTTAGGGCCCTCTTAAAAATTTCGAATTTCTATTATTAAAAAATATTTTAAAAATTTTAAGTGCTTAGAACTTTTGAGACTTTGGAACGTCTGCGTTTGGGTTTTTAGGATTTTAAATTAAAGTGCTGAAAATCTCAAAATTTCAGATATTTCCTCTGTTTTTGGAAACTATGGAATTTTCAAATTTTCATTCTTTAATTTTTTTTTTTTCAAAATTTTTGGATTTTTGCTCCACATTCAAAATATTTTATTCGCTTATTTTTGTAAATTTTCAAAATTGACAAAATTGTTCTTTAATTAATAAAAACCACGGCTTCTTTTATAAAAAAGAACTGTTTCGTTACAGGAAGTTACAGTAGATAGCGCTAGTTACCTAATAAATTTTTGAGGTTAGCAGAATCAATCAAATACCCGGTTGTGACACGGGTCTGTTTCAAATTTAGTACAACAAATACGACCCTGTTCGGAGTTTGATGACCACCAAGCTCGACTGAGGCTCGGTTATAAAATTTTATCAGCATACAAAAATACCGTGTTTTGATATAATAACGTAACGTGACTTTGTCAAATTCCCTGACAGCGTCAATCATGCCCTAAATTCTCCGCACCAATTTACTCAAAATGGGTCAAATTTTTAGCTTCTTTCTCAAGTACCCCCCACACCCCCGACCTAGCGACTAAGCCCTCCACTTTATTTTCAGCACGAAAAAGCACGAACAATATGTGGTGGACAAGTCCAAAGAGATCCAAGCTTACGAAAAAAGCTCGTCCACCTTGAGCGAAATCAACCGCGACATGCTAATCAAAGCCCTAACTCGAAAGGTCCAAGATTCCCTCGCCATCAAAGACTCCATCCTGCCCCTGATCGAGGACGAAGAAATAGAACTCCCGGCCCTAACCGACGACCAAATCCGAATAATGAAGAAGGCCTTCTCGGGCGACCCCAACGAAGTCCTGACGAAAAAGTTCAACCTCAACGTCAACCGCCGCGACATCCAGACCCTGGCCGGCCTCAACTGGCTCAACGACAACGTGATCAACTTCTACATGAACCTGATCATCGAGAGAGGGACAGACTCCAAGTGGCCGCGGGCGTACGCCATGAACACGTTCTTCTACCAGAAGTTGTCGACCAGCGGCCCCGAGTCGCTCAAGAGGTGGACGAGGAAGGTGGATCTGTTCTCGTACGAGTTCATCTGCGTGCCTATACATTTGGGGATGCACTGGTGCATGGCCATCATCAACCTGAAGGAGCAGACGATCAAGTACTACGACAGCATGGGGAAGTCGAACAACCAGTGCTTGAACGCGCTGAGGGGCTACCTGGAGTTCGAACACATGGACAAGAAGAAGGAGGCGTTCAGTACGAGGGATTTTGTGTTGGAGAACGTGCAAGACATTCCGCAACAAATGAACGGGAGTGACTGTGGGATGTTTTCGTGTACGTTTGCGGAATTTGCGACGAGGAAGGCGAAATTCACGTTCCAGCAGGAAGATATGCCTTACTTGAGGAAGAAGATGGTGGTCGAAATTTTAACGGGACAGTTGTTGATACAGTAAGTGTCAATGAAGTTGTACAGCGTTTTTCACATACTTAACTTTTTTCATTTCATTAATGCGGATCTGTAGAGTTAGAGATCGAGGAGGTGTTGTGATATACACATTTTTTATTTTATGTATTGCGTCAGGTTACAAAAATAAAATAACTTATTGATTTCATTTCTATAATTTTATATTGTGTGTGCAGCATTAAGAATTTAAATAAATCGTTAATTTGAGAATTAGGGTGTGTTTGTCTCTTGTAATTTGGCCTAGGGTACTCTGTAGAAGAACGTAGAAATCGACACTTCTCATATGAATACCATTTTTTTTGTTTCTTCATTTTTCGAGTTTTTAAGTTTAAATTTAATTTTTCAACTTTTCAATTCAATTTCTAGATTTTGCAATTTGCATATTTGAGTTTCTCGAGTTTTCAATTTTTAATTTTTTCATTTGCAATTTTTCGTTCCAGTTTTTTATTTTCTTTTTTTTACAATGTTTCAAATTTTTTGTTTTTTCAATTTCACTTTTTTTTCGTTTCGTCAGTTTTTCAATTTGCAATTTTCCGATTTTCCAACTTTTGGAAATTTCAATTTTTAATTTGTTCAGTTTTTCGAGAAAAACGAGAAAGTACAAGTTATTCTACCTTTTAAAAAAAACACATTTCATATGGTAATTTCTTGTAGAGAAATGAGGATTTTGCAACTAAACTCCGCCCTTTAACTCACGATGAATAAAGCATTCATCACAATTGAGAAAGGGTGGGTGGGCGGGGCTTCTATTTGTTCCATTTTTTCTTAATATGTGAAGTTTTTTTTCCCAACAAGAAACTGAAAACATGTTTAACTATCCTGTTAATAAAACGACAGTAAAATGATAACAAAAGGAAGTCAAAAAAAATAACGATAAAAAAGACGGCAAAAAACAACCAGAAACAAGCCAAGAACAAATTGTGGCCAAAAAGTCTTTTTTTTTGTCTAAAAAACGAAAAAAAAACGGCAAAAAAAGAAGGCACAATAAAATGACAAGTGACCATAAAAAGAGAAAAAAATCACAAAAATAAGTCAAAAAAATGCACAAAGAATGCAATAATAAATCGACAAAAAAGGATAAAAAAAAAACAACCAAAAACAAGGTGACAGTAAAAAGATAAAAAACGACAAAAAAACATCCAAAAGCAAGCCAAGAACCAAATGTGAGCAAAAAAGGCAAAAAACGTCCAAAAAGCGCGAAAAAACGACAAAAAGTGGGCACAAAAAAGTGATAAAAATGATTCCTAGTTTTTTGATTTTTTATTTTTTCGACTTAATTTTCCATTGTTCGATTTTTCGCTTTTTAAAATTTTTCATTTTTCGATGTTTCGGTTTCTACATTTTTCGATTTCAGTTCTCAAATTGTTGGAATTTTTTACACTTTTCGATGTTTTTGTTTAAAAAGCATTTTTAAAATTTTTCGTTCGTACAATTTTTTCTCCAATTTATGGCCCTTGTAGAATTTCCGAATTTCTATTATTAAAAAATATTTTGAAATTTTTAAGTTGTTACAATTTTTGATCCTTTTAGAACTTCTGAATTTTTGGAATTTTAAAGTTTCGTGATTTTTGACATTTTTGGAAGTTTGGATTTTTTGAGGATTTTTTTTAGAAAATTTCAAAATTTCAGGCATTTCTGCTATTTTTGAAATCCATTCCATTCTCTAATACAGTGGTTCGCAAACTGGGTGCCGCGGCACACTGGGGTGCCGCGGAACCTTCATGAGGGTGCCGTGAAAATTTTATAATGATTTTAATAAATATAAGCACAAAACCAACTTTAAAAAATAATAATTGATGATCTGATTTTATTAATATAGTACCACTGTTCAGTAATGGAAAATGTGTTCTGAACATGTTAATTTTCTTCATACTGAAGTAAGATGGCTATCTAAAGGCCGTGTTCTTTCTCGATTTTGGGAATTAAGAAAACGATATAAACGTTTTTTGAATCAGAAAATATTGAACAATTTTTTGACCTCCTTCAAGACCACGTTTGGTGTACAAAACTAGCATATTTAACTAATATTTTTGAACACTTAAATAAAATATGTAAATTCAAGTATGCAAGGTAGAAATGGAAATATTTTAAACTCCAGTGAAAAAATTTTGGCTTTAAAAGACAAGCTTAAATTATGGAAAAAATATTTATAAAACAATCTTAACATCAGTTACTTATTGTACAATCATGTGATAAAGTGTTTTTGATAATAAATTAGTTACAATTAAAACTGTTCCTGGAGGGGTGCCGCCTAATTTTGTTTAATATTTTAGGGTGCCATCAATAATAAAAGTTTGCGAACCACTGCTCTAATAGATGTTTGCAATTTTTAAATACTTTGTTAGTTATTTTATTAGAACTGTCGTAATTTTTGGAACTGTTTATGTCTCTCTAATTTCTGAAAGTATTAATCATTTTGAAGTTTTTGAAACTATGAAGTATCTGAAATTTGAAGAATTTTTTAAGTTTTTTAAAATTTTCTACTTTAACGAATTTTTGAAACTGTCGAAATTTTTCAAAATTTACTTTTGTGTTTTACTATTTGTACAACCTTTTTGTCGTTTTCGAAATTCTTTTTTAAAAAAATGTTTTAGAATGTTCAAATTAATTGTTATAATTTTTGCACTTTTGAAAGATTTTTTTATTCCAAAATTGCATGCATTTTTGAAATTTTTAGGGCCAACAGGTTTTTTCTATTTAATTAATTTAATAAATTTAATTTTGGAATTGTTAAAAGTCTTTCTGATTTCTGAAAATATTAACCATTTTGTAATTTTTGGCAATATGAAATATCAGGAAGTTATGGAATTTCTTAAGTGTTAAAATTCTAGTTCAACGAAATATTAAAATTGTTAAAATAAAATAAAAACAAATAAAACAAGCCCCACCCACGCGCCTCGATCTCAATTGTGATGAGTTTCTCATTCCTAACCAGACCGAAGGGCGGAGTTTAATCGTAACATCAATATTTCTCTAAAAAATTCTACCCTTTGAAAAACGTATTTCGTATGGTAATTTCTTGTAGAGAAATGAGAATTTTGCAACTAAACTCCGCCCTTCAGCTCACGATGAATAAAATATTCATCACAATTGAGAAGGGGCGGGTGGGCGGGGCTTACATTTTAATTTTTTTCTTAATATACGAACTCTTCTTTTCCCAACAACGAACTGAAAACATGTTTAAATATCCTGTTGTAAAAATAATTAAAAAAAGCAAACAAAAACAAAATGACACTAAAATGATACCACAAAAAAAAGGAAGTCAAAAAAATGACGATAAAAAAAGACGGCAGAGAACAACCAGAAATAAGTTAAGAACAAATTATGACCAAAAAAGACAAAAAATCCATTAAAAAAACGGAAAAAACGCCAAAAAAGAGGACACAAAAAAGTGATAAAAGTGACCATAAAAAGAGAAAAAATGGCAAAAATAAATTTAAAAAAATGCATAAAGAATGCAATCGACAAAAAAGTGCGACAAAAAAAAGGACAAAAAACAATTATTAAAAAAAAAACAAGGTGACAGTAAAAAGATAAAAAAAAAACGACAAAAAAACATCCAAAAGCAAACCAAATAGACAAAAAACGTCAAAAACCGCGAAAAAACGCAAAAAAGTGACAAAAGTGACCATAAAAAGAGAAAAAATGCACAAAGAATGCAACAATAAATCGACAAAAATGGGCCAAAAAAGAGCGACAAAAAAGGACAAAAAACAATTATTAACAAAAAAATAACCAAAAACAAAGGTGACAGTAAAAAGATAAAAAAAACGACAAAAAACATAAAAAAAACAAATAGACAAAAAACGTCAAAAACCGCGAAAAAACGCAAAAAGTGACAAAAATGACCATAAAAAGGGAAAAAATGACAAAAATAAGTCAAAAAAAAATGCACAAAGAAAGCAAACCAAAAAAGGCAAAAAACGTCAAAAACCGCGAAAAAACGCAAAAAATGATAAAAGTGAGCATAAAAAGAGAAAAAAATTGGAAAAAATAAATCAAAAAAATGCACAAAAATGCAACAATAAATCAACAAAAATGGGCCAAAAAAGAGCGACAAAAAAAGGACAAAAACAAATTATTTAAAAAAAACAACCAAAAACAAAGATGACAGCAAAAAGAAAAAAAAAACGACAAAAAACATCCAAAAGCAAACCAAAAAAGCAAAAAACGTCAAAAACCGCGAGAAAACGCCTAAAAGTTTGCATAAAAAGTGAGAAAAATGGCTAAAAAAAGGCGATAGAAAAAACAACCAATAAAATATAACAAAAAATGATTATACAAAACAAAACTTAAAAACAACAAATGTATGTTAAAACGAATCAAGAAAAAATGGAAAACCAAAAGCGGCGACAATAAACAAAAAAATCTAAAAAAAAAGACAAAAAAAAAGGTAAAAAAAAAACAGGAATAACAAGGCGACAGTAAACGACAACAAAAGAATGTGACAAAAAAGATTACAAAAAAAAACCACAAAAATAGGCCTCAAAAGGCAAACAAAAAGAGCGGTTAAAGAAAACAAGGAACGAAAGAAAAAGCCATCAAAAAAGGGGACTAAAAATATTACAAAAGAAAATTTAAAAACCACAAATAAGTCAAAATTGCAAAAAGAGCGGTTAAAGAAAACAAGGGACGATTAAAAAGGCCATCAAAAAACGCGACTAAAAATATTACAAAAGAAAATTTAACAATCACAAATAAGTCAAAAATGCGGAAGGGAGGCGACAAAAAAAAAGATCAAAAAAACAACCAAAAAAGAGCGCCCAAAATGATGATAAAAAAAACAGCCAAAAACAAGGGGACCCAATATGTAGTAAAAAAGGTGACGAAAAAAACAGAAACAGAAAGGGTTAAAAAAAAGCAAAAATAGGGAGGCAACAAAAAAGACTTAATAGAAGCGAACAAAAAGAGCGGCAATAAAAAGAAATACAGAAAAGGGCAAAAACAAATAAAAAGCAGCCGAAAACAAGGCGACACAAAATGTGGCAAAAGTGACCATAAAAAGCGAGAAAAAAATGACACAAAAAAAGATTACAAAAGCTTAACAAAACGATAAAAATACGTCAAAAAAAAAGTGCGCAAAGAATGCCACAATAAATCGACACAAACAGGCCCAAAAAAGAGCGACAAAAAATTATTAAAAAACAAGATGACAGTAAAAAGATAAAAAAAGACAAAAAAAATGACAAAAACCGCAAAGAAACGCCAAAAAGTGGGCACAAAAAAGTGATCAAAAAAAAGGCGACAAAAACAACAAAAGTAGTTAAAACAAATTACGAAAAAATGGCAACTAAAAGAAGCGACAATAAACACAAAAAAGATAAAAAAAGAGCTACAAAAGAGAGGCAAAAAAAATAACTTATTGATTTTATTTCTATAATTTTATATTGTGTGTGCAGCATTAAGAATTTAAATAAATCGTTAATTTGAGAATTAAGGTGTCTTTGTCTAGATAGTGTCTCTCTTGTAATTTGGCGTAGGGTACTCTGTAGACTCCTTCATAGCTGCTAACCCCACCAAAAGTTTGGGACTTGATATCTTTGCTACTGTCAAACTGGTCCAAAATCGTGAATCTGTGCTTTTTGATGAAGTTACTACTGGGTCTTAATTGGATTCCCAAGTAGGCGGAATTTTGATGATTGGGGTACAACTGTAGGCATAATTGATGACCTAGGAACACATTCATTCCATCAATATGCACCGGATTTCACACAATTCTTACCAAGAACGTAGAAATCGGCACTTCTCATATGAATGCCACTTTTGGTTAAAATTAACCCCATTTCAATCACCGCCCAATAGTAAGTATACACATTTTCCCCGTTTATAGTATACATAGTGTTATTAAATTGGTCAATTTCAGTCCTAGCCCAAGACGATTCTCGGGTTATTAGCTCGGTCACGCTAACAACACTTTCTTCAACCCTCTCATTATTCAAGCTTTTTTCGTCGTAGCTGAAATAGTCTTCATAGTCGTCAGTTGTCCTAAATGTGGCACTTCTATCACCCGCTAACATCGCCTTTATGTGTTTAAGTTCCACAAGAAGTTTACGTTCGAGTTGTTTAAACTTGCGCTCGAGCTGACCTGAAAATTATACACAACTAACTTTTAAATTAAACTAATAATAATAATAATAATAATAATAACTTACTGCTTGTGCAGACCCCTTTTAACTGTCTTTTAACCGTTGCGTTTGCAGACGTTTGCACTTCTTTTGTGATAATCCTGCAAATTGCGTGTTGGGTTTCCTCGGCGGTGTCCGATTTTGTGTAATTTTCGTTATTCGGGGGTGGTACGTCGGCATAACTCGCAACTTTGGTAATTAGGATAGTGATAATGATTAAGGCGTCGATAGAGAACATTTTCTGTCGCGGCTTGGCTATTGTCTGAGTCAAATTTATGTCTATCGAATTGTTTTGTAATTTCGGCCTAAAAATATACTCAGTTGTTTGCTGTTTGTCTTTCGTTGATAGAGTCTTCCTGGCCTAATTCTAACGGAAACAAACTTCGAATGTTTTAATTTAAGTATGGGGCGTTGCGCAAAAAGGCGCTGAATGTGGCACAATCATATCTACCATAATTTTTTAAAATAACTTAATTTTTGCTTGAAATTAAATTTCTGGACTAATTTTGTCGAGCTGAGGGCGTTTTTGCCATAGTTGTTGGAAATTTTCACTATTTTAAACGAAATCCTCGTTTAACCAAAATTAAAAAAGCAATTTGTGAGTTTTTGAATATTAAAAAATAAAAAAACCAAGAGCTCTTCATTTTTTTTTTTGTTCCAGATGTTTATTCAGTAGGTTCGAATTAGGGGAAGGCGTAAATTGGGGAGTTCTTTAGACTGAACTTCCCTTGTCCCTGAAAAACAATAAAACAAATCCAGTTTCTTGGATAAATTTATTATGAAATATTTAATTTTTCCAATTTTATTTTTTTATGATACTTCCTATAAATCTCATCTGGACGCACTGAAGCCTAATTGTCAGAAATTAAAAGAACATCCCATGTATACGGTTCAAGTGACTCTTTCGTAACAAAATGTTGTGATAACCTCCTCGATTTTTTAGCGAGGACAAGAAAAACGACAAAAAATAGCGACTCAAAAAATGAAGTAAAAAAATGTGAAAAAACTAAAAAATTTCGACAAAAAATGTAAAAAAAAGATGACGAAAGCAAAGGCGACAAAAAATTGATTAAAAATGCGAAAAGAAGGCTACTAAAAAATGACAAAAAACGACAAAACAAAAAAGTCGACAAAAAAAGGACCACAAAGTGAAAAAAGATTACAAAAAAAAACGCCAAAAATAATTTTTAAAAAGTGGGAAAAAAGCGGACCACAAAGATAAAAAAACGACAAGAAAAAGAACAAAAAAACAACCAAAACAAGGCAAAGTAAATAGCAATAACAAATACGACAAAAAAAGTTATAAAAAATGTAGAAGAAAATGACAAAAAAGAGAGCAAAAAATGTCAAAAGACAAAAACCAGAACACAAAAAAATCAATAAAAAAAAGTAAAAAGAAAAGCAATAAAAAACGGCAAAAGCTTAACAAAACGACAAAAAGACCCCAAAAAAATAATGACGTCAAAAAAAGCTACCAAGAAAAGACGACAAAAAGTGATTATACAAAAAAAGTTTAAAAACAACGAAAGTTGCTTAAAACAAATAACCAAAAAATGGCAACCAAAAGAAGCGACAATAAACAAAAAAAACAAAGCGACACAAAATGTGGCAAAAAAGGGCAACAAAAAAAGTTCCAAAAAAACACAAAAATAGGGAGGCAAAAAAACCGACACAAAAGGGCTTCAAAGAAGCGACCAAAAAAAGCGCCAATAAAAGAAAAACAAAAAAGGGCAAAAAACAAATAAAAAGCAGCCGAAAACAAGGCGAAAAAAAAATAGATTAAAAATGCCAAAAATACGCAACTAAAAATGATAAAAAAGCGACAAAACAAAACCGTCGACAAAAACGGACCACAAAGATAAAAAGAATAACAAAAAAAGGCGACAAAAATAGTTCAAAAAATGGGAAAAAGTGGACCACAAAGATAAAAAAACGACAAGAAAAATGACAAAAAAACAACCAAAACAAGGCAAAGTAAATAGCAATAACAAATATGACAAAAAAAGTTATAAAAATTTAGAAGAAAATGACAAAAAAGAGAACAAAAAATGTCAAAAGACAAAAACCAGAACACAAAAAAATACAATACAAAAGAAAGTCAAAAAAGCAATAAAAAACGGCAAAAGCTTAACAAAACGACAAAAAGACCCCAAAAAAATAATGACGTCAAAAAAAAGCGACCAAGGAAAGACGACAAAAAATGATTATACAAAAAAAGTTTAAAAACAACGAAAGTTGCTTAAAACAAATAACCAAAAAATGGCAACCAAAAGAAGCGACAATAAACAAAAAAAACAAGGCGACACAAAATGTGACAAAAAAAGGGCAACAAAAAAAAAAGGTTCCAAAAAACACAAAAATAGGGAGGCAACAAAAACCGACACAAAAGGGCTTCAAAGAAGCGACCAAAAAAGCGCCAATAAAAGAAAGACAAAAAAGGGCAAAAACAAATAAAAAGCAGCCGGAAACAAGGCGACAAAAAATAGATTAAAAATGCCAAAATTACGCAACTAAAAAATGACAAAAAAGCGACAAAACAAAACCGTCGACAAAAACGGACCACAAAGATAAAAAGGATAACAAAAAAAGGCGACAAAAATAGTTCAAAAAATGGGAAAAAATGGACCACAAAAATAAAAAGATGACAAAAACAGGACAAAAAAGTGACAAGAGAAAGAACAAGAAAAAACAACCAAAACAAGGCAATAGTAAATAGTGATAACAAATATGGCAAAAAAGTGATAAAAACTTTACCAGAAAATGACAAAAAAAGAGAACAAAAAAAAGACAAAAACAAGAGGACAAAAAAAAATGCCACTAATAAATGGCCAAAAAACAACGAAGATTGGTTATAACAAAAACGAAAAAATCCAAAAGGAAGGCGACAAAAACCGACCAAAAAAATAGAGAACGTTAAAAAAGGCCACCAAAAAACGCGAGTAAAAAGATTACAAAAAATTTAAAAAATCAAAAATAAGTTAAAAACGCAAAAGTGAGGTAATAAACGATAAAAAATCAAGAACACACAAAATGTGACAAAAAAAAGAGCGACAAAAGAAGGTTCCAAATAAAAACACAAAAGCGACCAAAAAAAAAGCGGCAATAAAAACAGAAAGACAAGAAAATGGCAGAAACAAATAAAAAGCAGCCGAAAACAAAGCCACGAAATGTGACAAAAAAAGGGCACGAAAAAAAAATGTGCCCAGCTGCAATCGGCTGTCGAAAATTTTCAAGTTTTTTAAAGGAAATCCTCCTTTGACCAAAACTCAAAAACCAAATTGCGGGTTTGACGGTCCATAATTTTTAAACGGACAAAGGAGCAAATTTTTGGACACAAAAATGTATTTTCACCTAGATATCTACGTCCGAAAGTCGAATCTATTATTATTATCTTCAGTTTCAGATTCTTATTCAGGAGGTTCGAATTAGTGATATGGCCTAAATTCAAAAATTTTGACCACAATATCTCCGGAAAAATTGCCAAAAAAACATGTTTCAACCTACCCGAAAGTTTCTAGATGAATTTTGCCCAGCTGAGTGCTTTTTTGTCCTCGGTTGTCGGAGATTTTGACTGTTCTAAACGAAATCTTACCTTAATCAAAATTCATAAAACCAAATTAATAACTTTTGAATGGACAAAGAGAGCATATTCCGGATTTTATCATTTGATTCCCTATAGTTTTCTAAGCACGTGAATGTATTTTCACCTAGGTATCTAAGTCCGTTTAAAATCTACCTACACATTTATCGGACGATGTCATTTTCCGAAGACTCGAATATTAAAAAAACCAAGAGCAATTCTACATTTTCTTGGTTCCAGATTCAGGTTCGAATTAAGGAAAGGAGTCATTTTCAAACAAATCGAGGTACGTTTAACCGAGATAGCTTAACCGGAATATCTCCGGAAAATTGTCCGGCTAAGTGCTTTTTGGCACCAGTTGTTGAAAATTTTCACTATTTTAAACGAAATCCTTCTTCAACCAAAACTCAAAAAGAGCATATTTCATTTTTTATCCTTCGACAGATAGAAATTCCGTTAAATTAGTGTGACTTTTGGTGAAATAAACAACCTAATTAAACATAGTGGGAATATAAATATAAAAGTTATTTAATTAGAAGTAAACTTCGAACTCGTTAGAAATTGATAACAAGGTCACCTCGGGTCCTAAAGCATGGAGAAGACAAAAGTAAAGAAAACACTCACAAGATCTCAAAACAAATTCTGACATTCCATTTTTCAGTTAGGTATTTTTGACAAAAACAATCAAAATTCTTGTCATCACTTGTCAAAAAAAAATCAAACAAGAATGTTAAAATGGTAATCATTTTCCACATCAACCGCTATGGATCAGGTAAAAAGTGCCAAATTTTTCACCATTATCGACCACGCATTTTCTGCAGGAGAGCCTTTCGATCAGAACGACGTCCACAGGACACACTCTTTTCCACAGAAAATACCTAGGGATGGCATTTTACACCCCTGTCCTTCTACTTTATTACTACGTGTTAAAAAATTACGACCACATCTACGAAAACACTTCGACGTCAGAAGCCTTCAACACCTTGAAACGCTTCAGGAAGTGCTACTTCACCGGCTGGAACTTGGTAAAATCAATGAATTTGTGTCTCTTGACCCATTTTAATTTCGCAGACGGCCCAAATCTGCTTCATATCCGTGGCCCTCGCCGACGAAATTTCCACCCTCTACAAAACGCCCTTCACCCTTCGAAAAACTCTGGGTTTAATGCGCCGCTACATCTTCACAGCCATCGTTTTCCCGTGCACCCTGCTGGTGTCAATCCTATTCTGGTCCCTGTACACCCTGGACCGAGAGCTGGTTTTCCCTAAAAGTTTGGACGAACATTACCCACCTTGGATGGTACACAGTGTACATTCTTTTGTAGTTCTGCCGTTGATTGTCGAAATGAATTTAAACAAAGGCAACGGGATCGAAGTGGTCGATTTTTCCTACACCCTCCCTGTCTTAACCGCCTTCCTTTTGGCTTATAAGATCACGTGAGCGATTCGGGGGCGGCAGACTTTAATCAGCAGCTGCATTTTTTTCAGGTTGTTTACGGTCCATTTGCTCTACGATGTGTGGTTATACCCCATTTTTCGGTACTTGTCGTGGTGGCAAAGGAGTTTTTTCTTAGGGGTGTTGTATTTCACGGCTGTTCTCTTTCTTTATCTTGGGATTCGTTTGCAGCATGTGAAAAGGAGAGCGAAGAGTATGGCGGTTAGAAGTTTTTAGCAGTGCAGGCCGTAATTTATCGATTTTAATAAAAATGATGTTACTGTTTTATGGTGGTTATGAATAAAGGTTAAAATAGAATTGTATGTGGTGTAAATTTTTGGAAAAAGGAAGGTCACAGTCACTTCCACGGGGCCTTATTGATAAACAATGTACTTGAATGCTTTAAAACCATAGTTTAAGTTTGCTCGGTTGAGGTTTCTCCCGAGAAGCAGCGAACCTCCCCGGCACGTTTGTGTAAGCACTTGCTTATATTGTTAGCAGTAAACGGCTAACAGTAGTGAGATGTAAGCGAAAGAATGTTGAGTTCAGCAGCACATAATTCACAGTTTTTTGCATCGTTTTCTTTTGTTGCCACCTGTGCCTAAAACAAATTATAAAAAATTGTTAAAACTGATGAAGCTGTATTTGTGACGCTTTGGTTAACATACGTCATAAAAATTATATGATAATGTTAAATAAAGTCAAAAAAGTGTCCACCTGGCACTAGTTTTTGTAATATTAATTAATTCTGTTTTGTTGGTTGCATAACCGCTACGAACTTGTTAAATTACCAACTTTTGCAATGTCACTCTAGATTTAATTACAAACAATTAATAAATAAGAAACGAAACAGCAACAAAAAGGAACTGACCTGGAGTTATTTAGATCGAACTTCCCTTGCCCCTAAAGAACACTAAAATAAATTTATTTTCGTAGATAAATTTGTTATAAAATATTCGTACATTTTCGGATTTTATTTAATTATGGTACTTCCTATCGGCGCTTACGTCAATTAAGTAACTGACGTAAGTCCTGTGACTATACTATAAATCTAATCTAGACTTACGCAAAATAAGCCATTGAAGTTGGAATGTTAGAAATGTCAGAAATTAAAAGAAACATCCATTGAAACATCCCATACATACGTTTCATGTGCGTTTTTCGTAACAAAATGTTGTGATAACGTTTAGACAGGACAAAGAAAACGACAAAAATAGGTTTACAAAATGCGAAAAGAAGGCAATTAAAAAGTCAACCCAAAAAAGTCGACAAAAAAAGAACTTTAAAGAGGTACAAAAAAGATTGTTAAAAAGCTTAAAAATGCGAAAAGAAAGCAATTGAAAAAACAAACAACAAAAAAGAAGCCAAAAACAGACCAAAAAAAGAGCGCCAAGAAAAATGACACAAAATGATTAAAAAAAAAACGATAAATGGTAAAAAATGTACAAAAAAAAAACGACAAAAACAAGACGATAACATGTGACAAAAATTGCAACCAAAATCAAAGAAAAAAATTTGGGAAAAAGAGGTAAAAAGAACGCTAAAAAACGAGGAACAAAAAATGTGACAAAAACAGACAAAAAATCAATCATAAAAAAAACGACAGAAAAACGCCACAAAAAAAAGATTACAAAAATAGATCAAAGAAATGTGCAAAGAAGACAAAAATAAATCAACAAAAAACGGCAAAAAAGGCGACACAAAGGTGACCAAAAAAAAAGACGTTAAGAAAACGATTGCAAAAAAAGCTTTAAAAAAACAATAACACTAGGTAAAAACAAATTAAAAAAGGAAGAAAAAAGGCGAGAAAAAAAGATGAAGAAAAAATGGAACAAGAATATAAAAAAAACTGAAAAAGACGAAAAGTGTAAGAATATTAAAAAAGCGACAGAAAACGAGTACAAAAAGTTTAAAAAACAACAAAAAAACGACAAAAAAAGATCATTAAAAATCAGAAACAAGAAGGCGACAATAAATAATGAGAAGAAATGACAAGGAAAACGACAAAAACAGTAAAAAAAAATGCGAAAAGAAAGCAATTAAAAAAAGTATCAAAAAAACAAACGACAAAAAAAGATGCCAAAAACAGACCAAAAAAAGAGCGCCAAGAAAAATGACACAAAATGATTAAAAAAAAAAACGATAAATGGTAAAAAATGTACAAAAAAAAAACGACAAAAACAAGACGATAACATGTGACAAAAATTGCAACCAAAATCAAAGAAAAAAATTTGGGAAAAAGAGGTAAAAAGAACGCTAAAAAACGAGGAACAAAAAATGTGACAAAAACAGACAAAAAATCAATCATAAAAAAAACGACAGAAAAACGCCACAAAAAAAAGATTACAAAAATAGATCAAAGAAATGTGCAAAGAAGACAAAAATAAATCAACAAAAAACGGCAAAAAAGGCGACACAAAGGTGACCAAAAAAAAAGACGTTAAGAAAACGATTGCAAAAAAAGCTTTAAAAAAACAATAACACTAGGTAAAAACAAATTAAAAAAGGAAGAAAAAAGGCGAGAAAAAAAGATGAAGAAAAAATGGAACAAGAATATAAAAAAAACTGAAAAAGACGAAAAGTGTAAGAATATTAAAAAAGCGACAGAAAACGAGTACAAAAAGTTTAAAAAACAACAAAAAAACGACAAAAAAAGATCATTAAAAATCAGAAACAAGAAGGCGACAATAAATAATGAGAAGAAATGACAAGGAAAACGACAAAAACAGTAAAAAAAAATGCGAAAAGAAAGCAATTAAAAAAAGTATCAAAAAAACAAACGACAAAAAAAGATGCCAAAAACAGACGGAAAAAGAGCGCCAAGAAAAAGGACAAAAAATGATTTAAAAAAAAAAAAAAACTAAAAACAGGGCGACACTAAAGAGCAACAAAAAATGATAAAAAAATATACAAAAAAAAAACGACCAAAAACAACAAAGAGCAAAAAAGGACAAAAACAAGACGATAACGAAATATGACAAAAAAAAGACACAAAAATTGCAACCAAAATGAAATTAAAAAACATTAGGGAAAAGAGGCAAAAAGAACACTAAAAAACGAGGACAAAAAATGTTAAAAAAAGGGACAAAAAAATCAGTCAAAAATAAGGCAACAAAAAATTCCACAAAAAAAGCTTAAAAACAAAACGACAAAAATAGATCAAAGAAATGCGTAAAGAAGACAAAAATAAATCAACAAAAAACGACAAAAAAGGAGCCACAAAGATGAAAAAAAAGGCGACAAAAAACGATTGCAAAAAAAACAATATCAGTAGGTCAAAACAAATTAAAGAAGGAAAAAAAAACGAGGAAAAAAGGTGACGAAAAATGCAACAAAAATATTATAAAAAACCCTATAAAAACCGAAAAAGTGCAAAAAAAAGAAAAAAAAGTGATCGAAAAAAGCGACAGAAAAAGATCATAAAAAAACAATAAATAGTGACAAGAAATGACAAGGAAAACGAAAAAATGCAAAAGACAAAAAAAAAGGTGAGAAAAAAGGACTAAAAAAGCGATAAAAAAAAATAAGCGACCAAAAAAAAAGGCAACAAAAAGTAGGGGAAAGAAGCAACAAAAAACGACATCGAAAAACGATTACAAAAAAGTTAAAAAAAAATAAAAAAAATAGGTTAAAAAAACAATACGAGAGATGGGAACTAAAAGAAGCGACAAAAAACGACCAAAAAAGCTACACAAAATGTCCAAAATAAGATAAAAAACAGAAATAAGAAAACGACAGCAAATATTGACAAAAAAGAAAAAAAAAAGACGAAAGAGCGAGAAAAACAGTAGATAATGAAAGGTGAGAAAAAAAGCCAAGAACAAAATAAGACAAAAAAAATAAAAAAAACCGCCAAAAAAACAATAAAAGAAAGTCATAACAAATTTAAAAAAAGGGAGAAAAAGGCGAGGAAAAAAAGTGAAGAAAAAATACAACAAAAAATATTATAAAAAAAAAACTAAAAAAAAACTGAAAAGCGCCAAAAAACATAAAAAGCGGCGAAAACGACGACAAGAAAGCTTAAAAAACGAGAGAAAAAAAAGGGCAAGAAAAAAAGATAATAAAAAAACCAGAAATAAAAAAGCGACAATAAATAGTGACGAGAAATGACAAGGAAAACGAAAAAAAATGCAAAAGACAAAAAAAAGTGACAAAAAAAAGACGAAAAAACTAAAGGAAAGCAAAAAAAAATTACAAAAAAAAAATAAACGAAACGACAAAAATGAATCATAAAATGCCAAAGGGAGGCAACAAAAACAGCGGCCAAAAAAGGCACCAATGAAAAGAGCCACAAGAAAAGAACAAAAAAAGTTAAAAAAAAAACAGCCAGGAATAAGGCGACAAAAAATATGACAAAAAATAAAAAACAAAAATAGGCCAAAATGTGAATGGGGGGCAACAAGAAAGACTATAAAAGCGACCAAAAAAAGGTGACAAAAAGTGGGTTAAAGAAGCGACAAAAAAGCGACAAAAATGCCCAAAATAAGATAAAAAAAAAACAGAAATAAGAAGACGACAGCAAATATTGTCAAAAAACGAAAAAAAAGACAAAAAAAAGGTGATAAGGAAAAAAGGTGAAAAAAAAAGACTAAAATAGCGACAAAAAAGACTATATAACGAACCAAAAAAAAAAAAAAAGCAACAAAAAGTAGGGGAAAGAAGCGACAAAAAAGACATCAAAAAACGATTACAAGAAAGTTAAAAAGAAAACAACAAAAAATAGGTTAAAAAAACAATACGAAAGATGGGAACTAAAAGAAGTGACAAAAAAGAACAAAGAAAGCGACAAAAAACGACCAAAGAAAGCTACACAAAATGTCCAAAATAAGATAAAAAAACAGAAATAAGAAGACGACAGCAAATATTGACAAAAAAGGAAAAAAAAGACAAAAAAGCGAGAAAAACAGTAAATAATGAAAGGTGAGAAAAAAAGCTAGGAACAAAATGCGATAAAAAAAAATTAAAAAAAACGTCAAAAAAACAATAAAAGTGGGTCATAACAAATTAAAAAAGGGAGAAAAAAGGCGACAAGAACGATTACAAGAAAGCTTTAAGAAAAACGAGAGAAAAAAAGAGCAAGAAAAAAGATAATTAAATAAACATAAATAAGAAAGCGACAATAAATAGTGACAAGAAATGACAAGGAAAACGAAAAAAATGCAAAAGATAAAAAAAACGTGGCAAGAAAAAAGACGAGAAAATTAAAGAAAAGCAATAAACAGATTACAAAAAATAAACAAAACGAAAAAAAAAAATAATCATAAAATGCCAAAGGGAGGCAACAAAAAAGTGGTCAAAAAAAAGCACCAATGAAAAGAGCCACAAGAAAAGAACAAAAAAAGTTAAAGAAAACAGCCAAGAATAAGGCGACAAAAAATATGACAAAACAATAAAAAACAAAAATAGGCCAAAAAATGTGAATGGGGGCAACAAAAAAGACTAAAAAAGCGACCAAAAAAAAGGTGACAAAAAGTGGAGTAAAGAAGCGACAAAAAAAGCCCAAAAAAGTTCAAAATAAGATTTAAAAAAACAGAAATGAGAAGACGACTGCAAATATTGACAAAAAACGAAAAAAAAAAAGCAAAAAAAAGACAAAAAAGCGACAAAACAGTACCTAAATAATGAAAGGTGAGAAAGAAAGCGAGGGACAAAATGCGACAAAAAAGCCACTAAAAAAAATTAAAAAAAAAACGCAAAAAATAGGTCAAAAATGCGGAGGCAAAAAAACGATTGCAAAACAGCTTTAAAAAAACAAAAAAAGTAAATCACAATAAATTAAAAGAAGGGAGACAAAAGGTGAGGCAAAAAATGAAGAAAAAATGCAACAAATAAGTTAAAACAAACCTAAAAAACGAAAAGCGCTAAAAAACATAAAAAAGCTGCAAAAAAAAGGACAAAAACGATTACAAAAAGCTTTAAAAAAAACAAGAAAAAAAAAGGACAGAAAAAGATAATAAAAAAAAAACAGAAATAAGAAGGCGACAATAAATAGTGACGACAAATGACAACAATAACGAAAAAATGGAAAAGAAGGAACGCAAAAAAGGGTCACAAAAAATAATAAAGAAAACGACAAAAATGGATCATAAAATGCCAAATGGAGGCAACAAAAAAAAAAGGTAACAATAAAAACAGTGACAAAAAAAGAACAAAAAAAGTTGACATGTTTTTGAGTATCGTGTTATTCAGAAAATACTATGTATTGTATATTAAGAAAAAATTAAAGCCAAATATTAGGCCCCACCCATACCTGCCCTGATCTAAATAGTGATGAAGTTTTCATTCGTTGGCAGACCTAGGGGCGGAGCCTAATTGCAAAATCCATATTTCCTTATAAAAAATTCACCATCTGAAACGTGTTTTGAGTTTCTAAGAATAAAAAAATCATCACAATTGAGATAGGGTGGATGGGTGGTGTTGGACGTAAAGGCTTTGAAAACACCTTTTTTCGCGGCGATTTTACAATTCCAAAAAAATAATATTAAAATTTGGATCGAAGCTGACAAACGCATCAAAAGGTCACCTACCTTGTTTTGTTCAGCCTCCTGGGTTGAGGGTTTGTAGACCGCATGCACAAAGGAACCACGTGTCTAAGTTTCGCGACAACAATTCGCGATTGACGTCACACAAGATGGCAACTGCGTTCACTTAACGCCCACCTTAGCGATGTTACCTCTCTGAGGGTTTCTCGATCACTCTGTTCGATAACAGCGCCAACCCCAAGTACCGGGCCCGTTTGCTCGGTACTATGGCGCCTCTAGTGGAAAGTGACCAAAATACACTTGTCAGCAATCCGCGGGAAAACAAACAAAATCAAAACAAAATATTAACAAACTTCGAACCGGAACAGGTGGGGTCTATATATATTTTTTTCTTAATATACATTGTTTTTAATTTATTGTAAAGAAATAGTTATTTTGCAGTTAGACTCCGCCCTCTTGGTTCACGGCGAATAAAAAAATCATCACAATTGAGACAGGGCTGGTGGGCGGGCTTATATTTTGTCTTTTTGTTTTAATATGTGTAGACTTCTTTTCACAATATGAAACTTAAAACATGTTTAAAATGGAAAATTTGATGCGTAAATATCGATTTTGCAGTTAGGTTCCGCCCCATAATTGCAAAATCGATTGTGTCTTGTTGTGAAAAGATGGCTATGTATATTTAGAAAAAAAAAAGCAAAATATAAGCCCCGCCCACCCACCCTATCTCAACTCTGATGATTTTTTTTATTCGCCATGAACCAAGGGGGCGGAGCTTAACTGCAAAATACTCATTTCTTTGCAAGAAATTAAAAACAGGTTTTTGAGAATCGTGTTGTTCAAAGAATACCATTATATTAAGAAAAAAGGTCAAAATATAAACCCCGCCCACCCACCCCATCTCAATTGTAATGAACACGTTTAAAATGGTAAATTTTCGTAAGGAAAATGGATTTTGCAATTAGGCTCCGCCTCTAGGTCTAGCAACGAATGGAAACTTTATTACTATTAAGATCAGGGCAGGTATGGGTGGGGCTTAATCTTTGGCTTTATTTTTTTCGTAATATACATAGTCTTCTCTTTAAGAATACGATATTCAAAAGATGTTTTTAATTTCTCGTAGAGAAATAAGGATTTTGCAGTTAAGCTCCGCCTTCTTGGCTTACGATGAATAAAAAAAAATCATCAGAATTGAGATAGGGTGGGTGGGCGGAGCTACAATTTGCCTTTATTTTCTTAACATGTGCAGACTTATTTCGACAAGAAGAAACTTAAAACATGCCAAAAATAAGGCGACAAAAAAATAAACAAAAATAGGTCAAAAAACGAATATAAACAAGGTAAAAAAAAACAACGAAAATAGGTTAACAAAAACAATAGGAAAGCTGACAACTTGACAACTAAAAGAAGCGATAAAAAAAAACAAATGAAGCGACAAAAAATCGACCAAAAAAAGGAAAAAAATGCCGAAAATTAGATAAAAAAAAACAGAAATAAAAAGAATACAGCAAATAATGGCAAAAAACGAAACAAAAATTTTAAAAAGACAAAAAAGTAAATAATGAAAGGTGAGGAATAAGCGAGGAACAAAATGCAACAAAAAACCTAAAAAAAAAATAATAAAAAAACAACAAAAATAGGTCAAAAACGCGAAAGGGAGGCAAAAAACGACAAAAGGAGAGTAAGAAGAGAAAAATTAAAAAAAAGGCGCCAATAAAAAGAAAGCCAAAAAAGATGAAAAAAGACAGCCAAAAACAAGGTGACGAAAAACGACTACAAAAAATGCAAAAAAAATACAGAAAAAACGATAAAAAATTACCACAAGAAATGCGACAAAAGAGGACTACAAGAAATTTAAAAAACGACAAAAATCGATCAAAAAATCTGAAAAGGGGTGATTTACAAAACGACAAGAAACCATAAAAATGATCAAAAAAATAGCGACAAAAAGCAACAAGAAAGTAATAAAGATGATTAACAAAAACACCACAAACACGATGATCGTCACATTTTTTGTCGCCATGGTAAAAAAAAAACAAAAAATGTGAAAAAAGACAAAAAGCAACAAAAAGATGATTAAAAATAATACATGGTCTAGCCATGTATTGAGAACACATGTATTTTATAAGTGGTTAATGATTTTAACGTAGTTATTTGAGTTAAAATTGACTTAAAACATTTAAAATGCCAGAGTTGGTAGTACAGTTTTCTATTTCCAGCTAACACACTAATGACAGCAGCGTAACCGAACGCACTCCAGATGAATTCAAGTTGGCAATCCTGCCCCCCAAATAAAAAAACTGCCTTGGATCCTTATGACTACTTCATACTGTCAAATGTGTCTATAAATCGCAACATTTCAACCAAAATAAAACAACTTGTGATGTATAAAGTGAACTTTTGATATTCCCCGGTGCAACAAACCTCACAGGCCGAAATTCGTCCTCAAACCAGCCAAAATAAATAAAAACGAAAGCAACATCCCCTAAAACGTCACTCCTCCAAGTCAATTTCTTCTCTCTCCACGACAACATGCCCCTTTTCGGAAAATCGCAGAAGAGCCCCACCGACATCGTGAAGGCGCTCAAGGAAGCCGTCAACTCTCTAGAAAAAGGCGACAAGAAAGCCGAGAAAGCCCAGGAGGACGTCAGCAAGAACTTGGTCTTGATCAAGAACATGCTGTACGGCACGTCCGACGCGGAGCCCCAAACCGACATCATCGTGGCCCAGCTGGCCCAGGAGCTGTACAACAGCAACCTCCTGCTGCTGCTCATACAGAACCTGCATCGAATCGACTTCGAGGGCAAGAAAGACGTCGCGCAAGTGTTTAACAATATTTTGCGTAGACAAATCGGGACTCGGTCGCCTACGGTCGAATATATCTGTACCAAGCCCGAAATTCTGTTTACTTTAATGACTGGGTTAGTGCGAGGTTGTACGGAGGGCCGGAGCTGATTGTTGCTGTTTTAGGTATGAACTGCAAGAAATTGCTCTAAACTGTGGAACGATGTTGCGTGAGTGCGCTAGATACGAAGCTTTGGCCAAAATTATGCTTTATTCCGACGACTTTTATCACTTCTTCAGATATGTGGAGGTGTCGACGTTCGATATTGCGTCAGATGCGTTTTCTACTTTTAAGGTAACGAAATGGGGTGTGTCGATGAAAATCAGTTTGGTGTTTTAGGAATTGTTGACCCGTCACAAAATTCTATGTGCGGACTTTTTAGAAGTTAACTATGACAAAGTTTTCAGCCATTATCAGCGCTTATTAAATTCCGAAAATTATGTTACACGCCGTCAAAGTCTGAAATTACTTGGAGAATTACTACTCGACAGGCATAATTTCACTGTGAGTCATATTTGTAATCTAATCTGTTTTGTTATTTTATCTAGGAAGTGATTTGGGTAGCAATTTTTGTAGTGAATGAGTTAGTAGGTCAGTTTCTCTTAATGACAGTGATACCAACCTTATTTACTCCGGCGATTTGTAAGCCAAGAAAAATTGGAAAAACGGCAAAGAAAAAGTGTGCCAATTCAAATTTTTACACATAGTTATTTGCCTTGTTTTATTTAATACATTAACATTATTCAAGATTTAATTAACTGCAAAATTGTGGACTTAAAAAAAAAGTTACAGCGGTTTTTTGATTTTATTTAAAGCTGTTTTGGAAACAAGAAAACTACTAATTATTTTTTTAAAGTAACGGTATTCACTTGTATGAAATTATTTCACTAATTAGTAATAATCATGATTAATTTGCTGTGGTCCCATCTGGCCTGAAGTAGAGAAAGTATAACATTAAAATGTCATTTTCATAACGGGTGTTGAATTGAAAAAGTCATCAAGTTGGCGTTGCTTTTTTAATAGAAGAAAACGTAGCGAAAAATGCATGTGTATTATTAATCCATTCTGTTCTTAAAATTGGCATTTCCGCGTTGACAGCTGCCATTGATTAAATTTGGGTTTATTGTAAAAAATTGCGTTAAATACTGTAAGAACAATAAAAAATATGATCAAAGGCAGCCATGGACTTTTGAAATTTTTGTCTTTGATAGTTACATTTTCGACTCAAACTTTCTATCAAAGACAAATCTTCAAAAAACTATAGCTGTTTTTGATAGTACCTTTTATTGCCTCTCTGGTGCTTTAAATATCAGAAGGTTTTTTTTTTGCGAGATATCTCTTTACCTCAACCTGAGAATTGAATTTTTTCCATCTGATTTAAGCCTGTATCATAAAGATAATTGTAAAATTTTACTTACAATACAGGTTTTCAGAAAAAAAAGTGCAGCATAAAAAAATATTCGATTGTCCTAATCTTTATATACTTTATTTATCCTTTTTTCTTTGAAGAGATTAAATAAAAATAATGCCGGATTTGTGATTGACGTCATCTCGTGTGTGACGAAAAGTTCTCAACGATTCTGAGAAGAGTTAATGTTTGTCATGTTTTCACAAATTTTAAAGTTTTATCATATTTTGTTCAGGAATTTGTAGTTCAACATTTATACATGAATTATCATTTTCTTTATAAAAATAATTTTTACAATTTTTATTTCATTAAAATTCATTTTGGAATGTTTTCACAAAATTTTGACGAATAGCAACATTTAAATTTCCTAGTAATCGAATTGCGAGTTTTACGTTTGGAAGATACGCAATTTACTAGTACTCAGTGTTCATTATTTAATTTTCTTTATGACAATTATTTTCAAAATTTGACTCATTTTGACGAAGATTCTACAACTACCAATTTTTGAATTGTCGCGCTGATTGAAGAAAAATTTATTTATACACACTATCCTTTTGTGCAACGCTCAGAAATTTAACTAATTTCATGGATGATACCGCACAAATTTTATCAGAATTAAGAAAATATATAAATTGACGAAATTTTGAAAAAACAAAAAAATAACCGGCATTTTCCAAACTTGTAAAGTGTTGTTACCAAAGAATTTGTAGTCACTGCCTGCCTTTTACGGATACAATTTTTATTCATTAAAATTATTTTGAAATTTGATCTATTTTGACGAATAGCAACATTTAAATTTCCTAGAAATCGAATTGCAAGTTTTACGTTTGAAAGATACGCAATTTACTAGTACTCAGTGTTCATTATTTAATTTTCTTTATGAAAATTATTTTCAAAATTTGACTCATTTTGACGAAGATTCTACAACTACCAAGTTTTGAATTGTCGCTGATTGAAGAAAAATTTATTTATACACACTATCCTTTTGTGCAACGCTTGGAAATTTAACTAATTTCATGGATGATTCCGCACAAATTTTATCACATTTAAAAAAATACATAAATTGACGAAATTTTGAAAAAACAAAAAAATAACCGGCATCTTCCACACTTGCAAAGTGTCGTTACCAAAGCATTTGTAGTCACTGGCTGCCTTTTACGGATACAATTTTTATTCATTAAAATTGATTTTTGATTTTGACGAAATTTTGACGAATAGCAACATTTAAATTTCCTAGTAATCGAATTGCGAGTTTTACGTTTGGAACATACGCAATTTAATAGTACTCAATGTACATTATTTAATTTTCTTTATAAAAATTATTTTCAAAATTTGACTCATTTTGACGAAGATTCTACAACTAGCAATTTTTAAATTATTACTAGTTAAAGAAAAGTTTATTTATACACACTATCCTGTTCTGGAACGTTCTGAAATTAAACTAATTTCATGGATGATTCCGCACAAATTTTATCAGAATTAAAAAAATATATAAATTAACGAAATTTTGAAAAAACAAAAAAAACCGGCCTCTTCCAAACTTGTAAAGTTTTGTTACCAAAGAATTTGTACCTAATCACTGGCGCTTTTTACGGATACAATTTTTATTCATTAAAATTGATTTTTGATTTTGACGGAATTTTGACGAATAGCAACATTTAAATTTCCTAGTAATCGAATTGCGAGTTTTCCGTTTGGAAGATACGCAATTTACTAGTACTCAATGTACATTATTTAATTTTCTTTGTAAAAATTATTTTCAAAATTTGACTCATTTTGACGAAGATTCTACAACTAGCAATTTTTAAATTATTACTAGTTAAAGAAAAGTTTATTTATACACACTATCCTGTTCTGGAACGTTCTGAAATTAAACTAATTTCATGGATGATTCCGCACAAATTTTATCAGAATTAAAAAAATATATAAATTAACGAAATTTTGAAAAAACAAAAAAAACCGGCCTCTTCCAAACTTGTAAAGTTTTGTTACCAAAGAATTTGTACCTAATCACTGGCGCTTTTTACGGATACAATTTTTATTCATTAAAATTGATTTTTGATTTTGACGGAATTTTGACGAATAGCAACATTTAAATTTCCTAGTAATCGAATTGCGAGTTTTCCGTTTGGAAGATACGCAATTTACTAGTACTCAATGTACATTATTTAATTTTCTTTGTAAAAATTATTTTCAAAATTTGACTCATTTTGACGAAGATTCTACAACTAGCAATTTTTAAATTATTACTAGTTAAAGAAAAATTATTTATACACACTATTCTTTTCTGCAACGTTCTGAAATTAAACTAATTTCATGGATGATTCCTCACAAATTTTATCAGAATTAAAAAAAATATATAAATTGACGAAATTTTGAAAAAACAAAATCTTCTAAACTTGTCGAGTTTTGTTACCAAAGAATTTGTACCTAATCACTGGCGCTTTTTACACAAGTTTATTTACACACACTATCCTTTTCTGGAACGTTTTGAAATTAAACTAATTTCATGGATGATTCCACACAAATTTTATTACAATTAAAAAATATATAAATTGACGAAATTTTGAAAAAACAAAAAAACCGACATCTTCCAAACTTGTAAAGTTTTGTTACCAAAGAATTTATACCTAATCACTGGCGCTTTTTACAGATACAATTTTTATTCATTAAAATTGATTTTTGATTTTGACGAAATTTTGACGAATAGCAACATTTAAATTTCCTAATAATCGAATTGCGAGTTTTACGTTTGGAAGATACACAATTTACTAGTAATCGGTGTTCATTATTTAATTTTCTTTATAAGAATTATTTTCAAAATTTGACTCATTTTGACGAAGATTTTATAATTAGCAATTTTTAAATTGTCACTGGTTAATGAAAAGTTTATTTATCCTTTTCTTCAACGCTCTGAAAGTAAACTAATTTTATGGATGATTCCGCAAAAAGTTTGTCAGAATTAAGAAAATACTACGAAAGTGGAAATTTTGAAAAAACAAAAAACGTCATCTTCAAACTTGTAAAGTCTTATTACCAAAGCAATTGAAGTCTACACTGGCTGCCCTTGCGCGTACAATTTTTATTCATGAAATTTGATTCATTTTGACAAATAGCAACATTTAAGTTTCTCAATAATCATACATAATATAGTTAGAGAACATTGCACATTTTCCAATTTTCTCATTTTTGGCAACGTTTTTGCGAAATTCCAAAAAACGAAATTCGCAAAGTTAGATTTAAGACTTTTCGAAGAAGTGGAGTTTGGTGGACTATACTTCAGGGGCGAGGGAGATTCTGTGTAGTACCTTGAACCAATCTTTGTTACAAAGTATTGCTTGAAGCTTGAAGCTTTTTTGACGCCAAAGTGGAATTTGTTCGACTATACCTTAACCAACTTTTTATATCTAGTAACATTTCAAAAATAATATCGTATTCTGGGCGCCAGAAAGTTTATTTTGCGAATAGTTTCCACAGAAATCAATACTCAACGCAATGCGTCGTCTTTTCAAGGAACTTTAGTGAATTTTTCTGAGTAAGTTTGTGATCAAGACCTGATTTGGAATATGAATCATCGACGACGAAGCTTAGAAATAAAAAATCGTTGAACTGATTCCAAGTGACTAATGTGCATTTCGCTTATAAGAGACCAAACGCATGCACAATTCTAAATCCGTAGTAGATGAATGTTCAGATGACGAGATCTTGTACGTAATTTACAATTTGTCTTAAACATTGGACAGAAAAAAAGTCGTCTAGTAGGCCATGAAATTTATTTTTAGATAAAATAAATAATGATGCTGGAATTGCAGCTGTGTAACACAGTGTTTGACCGTAATTGTTAAAATTACTAAATACTGCGTTGGTGTTGTATATTTACAATCACAAAGTTAGCACTTTTCTTCGCTTTTTTTTTAATATTCGAACCTCGAACTTGGTGTATTCATTTTTTTAACCTATAGCAGGTTCAATTTTCGTGTTTTTTAGGTGATGACGAGGTATATATCCAATCCCGACAATCTTAAACTTATGATGAATATGCTTAAGGAACGATCTAGGAACATCCAATTTGAAGCCTTCCACGTATTTAAGGTATACAGAAGTGTAGATTTCGGTATATCTTTATGTATTGTTATATTTGGCAGGTATTTGTGGCAAATCCAAACAAACCCAAGCCGATCCTGGACATCCTGCTTCGCAACCAAGACAAATTAGTAGATTTTCTGATGAAGTTTCATACAGATAGGGCGGAAGACGAACAATTTAACGACGAAAAAGCATACCTCATTAGGCAAATTAAAGAACTAAGGCCGATGCCCGGCCACTAACAATTTTCCTATTAACATTTTAATAATTATTGTTATATATTTTAATTTCAGCCGTTACCAAGATTTAAGCCCCATGGACTCCATATCATTTAATTTCATTGTATTTGACGTCCATTTAAAAATTTTCGTAGTCGTTCGCTGAGATCTTGCGTTTGTTTAGTGCTCAAGCGATAATAAAAACTGACAGTAATAATTTGAGTGATTTTTGCGTTTATTTCAACAGTTTTAGATTCAGTTAATAGGGTCGGTAACAAATATATTAAGTGTATTTATAATATATATTTATACAAATATTCGATTGTTGTTAAGTGTATAATTTATGAAGGGTGCAGAACAAACCGTTTCACGAACTGATTGCCTAAATTGAACCAGAAATAATTTGTTCTGCCGTTCATTGTAAATTTTGTTCCATTATTATCTCCTTCCTTTGTTTATTTTGTCCGATTTCGGCTTAGCAATAATTTCTATTTACAGACTACTTAAGTGTATTTTTTGTTTGTTTTTGTTTTGTAAAGTAAGGCTAGTTGATAGTTTAGTGAATGGATTCTGTAAAATCATTAATTCAATTAAAACACTAGTGGGGTGCCTATAAATGCTTATGGATAGTTTTTAAACAATTAATCTTATTAGAAATTAACTGACCATCCATGGATGGGGATTCTATTAACTGCGTTAATTCAATCTCGATTGTGGCGACTGGACAACTCGTAGTGGACGGCTGTAATTACTAATAAGATCTATTCTTAGCATACTTAATAAAGTTAAAAAAATGATAGGATACCTAATACAATTCTAAATCTTATTGAAATTAATAGTTTTATAAAAATGAATTTCTATGGAGGAAATAAGTAATGTGGATTGTTATTTCACTACAGAAGGTGCGTGTTGTATAAAGTTCTTTAGGCACTTGTTCAAGTATTCAACACACAAAGTTTAGCCATCTGCTAATGTTACGAAACGAAAATTAAATTAATTTTATTTTCTATACATTTTTAATTATTTCTTATATGTATTGTATTGTATTTATTTTAAACTATATGATTTACACTGAAACTGGAATCAATACATTCTTTTAGATGAACTTGGCCTTTTATTTTCAAGAACCAATATGAAAACGTGATAAAAACTTTCTACTTTACTTACCGCAGATTAGGGGCAAGGTAACTGAAGACGTCACTCTTACTCTTCACTGTTTTTTGATAAATATTAAGAAATGAACTCCAAATTTTCAAAAACCGGAAGACAGGAATTTAAAACTGTCAAAAACTGTATCAGGAGTACCAACAATACAGTACTATAAAATGACAAATTTCACAGCCTCCTTGCATAATACATAATTCTTATTACACGATCACAGCGTATGCGATTTTTATTCCAGTGGCGTAACAGGACGCAATTAAGTTACGCAAAAACCATCAGAAAAATGTCGGATTTAATTTTTCTTTATATTCAATAGGTTAAGGTCGAATTTAGAGAAGTACTTAATCACACAATTGAATCAATCGCGTGATCAAATACTCAGGTTCGCGGGTTAGTCGCAATTAAATATTAATGTGTGAATCTGCGATTTTGATTGGTTGAATTTGATCACATCATCAATTATGTGACTAAAATAATGGTATTGATACATCTATAAACCGTATAAATAAGTTTCACAGTTACTGAAGATCTTTTTAATTCATTCATTGATTGAAGTTTTCGAAAATATGAGTATCAAAATACAATTTTGCAAAAAAAAATCATCACAATTAAGACAGGGCGGGTGGGTGGGGCTTATTTTTCCCTTTTTACAATTAGACACAGTCTTCTTTTCACAACAGGAAATTTTAAAATATGTTTAAAATGGTATAATTTTGTAGGGAAATATGGATGTTACAACTCCGCCCCTCGGTTTAATAACGAATGAAAAATTCATCACGATTGAGATCAAGGCGTGTATAGGTGGGGCTTAATCTTTGGCTCTGTTTTTTACTTAACACACATTATTTTCTTTGAACAACACGATTACTTAAGAACATTTTCACATGGTACTTTCTTGGACAAAAATGAGGATTTTGAAATTATGCTCCGCCTCTCGACTTGCGACGAATAAAAAAATCATCACAATTAAGACAGGGCGGGTGGACGGGGCTTATTTTTTGCCTTTTTATAAATATTAGCAGTATTCTTTCCACAACAACTATTTTAAAACATGTTTAAAGTGGTAAATTTTTGTAGGGAAATATGGGTTTTGCAATTACGCTCCGCCCCTCGGTTTGATAACGAATGAAAAAAACTTAACAATTGAGGACAGGGCGTGTATAGGTGGAGCTTAATCGTTGACCTTGTTTCTTACTTATTAATACATATAGTTTTCTTTGAGCCACATAATTACTTTAGAACATGTTTCATATGGTAATTTCTTGTAGAAAAATAAGGATTTTCCAATTAAGCTCCGTCTCTCGGCTTATGACGAATAAAAAAATCATTACAATTAAGATCGGGTGGGCGGGCGGGGCTTATATTTTGCCCAGTTTGTAAATACACGCAGTCTTCTTTTCACAACAAGAAATTTTAAAACATGTTTAAAATGGTAAATTTTTGTAGGGAAATATGGATTTTGCAACTAAGCCCCACCCCTCGGTTTGACAACGAATTAAAAATTCATAACAACTGAGATCAGGGCGTGTATAGGTGGGGCTTAATTTTTGGCTTTTTTTTACTTAATACATATCATTTTCTTTGAATAACACGATTACTTAAGAACATGTTCCATATGGTAATTTTTGTAAAAAAATAAGGATTGTTCAATTAAGCTCCGCCTCTCGGTTCGCAACGAATAAAAAAAAATCATCACAATTAAGAAAGGGCGGGTGGGTGGGGCTTATATTTCGTCTTTCTTTATAATATAATGCAGTCTTCTTTTCACAACAGGAAATTTAAAACGTTGAAAGTGATAAATTTTTGTAGGGAAATATGGGTTTTACAATTACGCTCCGCCCCTCGGTTTGATAACGAATGAAAAAAACTTAAAAATTGAGGACAGGGCGTGTTTAGGTGGGGATTAATCTTTCACCTTGTTTTTTACTTAATACGTATAGTTTTCTTTGACCAACATAATTACTTAAGAACATGTTTCATATGGTAATTTCTTGTAGAAAAATAAGGATTTTCCAATTACGCTCCGTCTCTCGACTCATGACGAATAAAAAAAGTCATTATAATTAAGATCGGGTGGGTGGGCGGGGCTTATATTTTGCCCAGTTTGTAAATACACGCAGTCTTCTTTTCACAATCAGAGATTTTAAAACATGTTTAAAATGGTAAATTTTTGTAGGGAAATATGGATTTTACAATTATGTTCCGCCCCTCGGTTTGATAACGAATGAAAAAACTTAACAATTGAGGACAGGGCGTGTATAGGTGGGGCTTAATCTTTGATTTTGTTTTTTTACTTAATACATATAGTTTTCTTTGAGCAACATAATTACTTAAGAACATGTTTCTTTGGTAATTTCTTGTAGAAAAATAAGGATTTTCTAATTAAGCTTCGTCTCTCGACTCATGACGAATAAAAAAAGTCATTACAATTAAGATCGGGTGGGTGGGCGGGGCTTATATTTTGGCCAGTTTGTAAATATACGCAGTCTTCTTTATCACAACAAAACATTTTAAAACATGTTTAAAATGGTAAATTTTTGAACGAAAATATGGATTTTACAACTAAGCTCCACCCCTCAGTTTGACAACGAATGAAAAATTCACCACAACTGAGATCAGGGCGTGTATAGGTGGGGCTTAATTTTTGGCTTTCTTTTTTACTTAATACATATCGTTTTCTTTGAACAACACGATTACTTAAGAACATGTTCCATATGGTAATTTTTGTAGAAAAATAAGGATTTCTCAATTAAGCTCCGCCTCTCGGTTCACAACGAATAAAAAAATCATCACAATTAAGATAGGGCGGGTGGGTGGGGCTTATATTTCGTCTTTCTTTTTAATATAATGCAGTCTTCTTTTCACAACAGGCAATTTAAAACATGTTGAAAGTGTTAAATTTTTGTAGGGAAATGTGGGTTCTCCAATTACGCTCCGCCCCTCGGTTTGATAACGAATGAAAAAAACTTAAAAATTGAGGACAGGGCGTGTTTAGGTGGGGCTTAATCTTTGACCTTGTTTTTTACTTAATACATATAGTTTTCTTTGACCAAGATAATTACTTAAGAACATGTTTCATATGGTAATTTCTTGTAGAAAAATAAGGATTTTCCAATTAAGCTCCGTCTCTCGGCTCATGACGAATAAAAAAAAAATCATTACAATTAAGATCGAGTGGATGGGCAGGGCTTATATTTTGCCCAGTTTTTAAATAGACGCAGCCCTCTTTTCACAACAAGAAATTTTAAAACATGTTTAAAATGGTAATTTTTTTTAGGGGAATATGGATTTTGCAACTAAGCTCCACCCCTCAGTTCGACATAGAATGAAAAATTCATCACAATTGTGATCAGGGCTTGATTTTTGGCTTTCTTTTTTACTTAATACATATCATTATCTTTGAACAACACGATTACTTAAGAACATGTTCCAAATGGTAATTTTTGTAGAAAAATAAGGATTTTTCAGTTAAGCTCCGCCTCTCGGTTCACAACGAATAAAAAAAATCATCACAGTTAAGATAGGGCGAGTGGGTGGGGCTTATATTTCGTCTTTCTATTTAATATAATGCAGTTTTCTTTTCACAACAGGAAATTTAAAACATATTGAAAATGGTAAATTTTTGTAGGGAAATATGGGTTTTGCAATTACGCTCCGCCCCTCGGTTTGATAACGAATGAAAAAGACATAAAAATTGAGAACAAGGCGTGTTTAGGTGGGGCTTAATCTTTGACCTTGTTTTTTACTTAATACATATAGTTTCCTTTGACCAACATAATTACTTAAGAACATGTTTCATAGGGTAATTTCTTGAAGAAAAATAAGGATTTTCCAATTAAGCTCCGTCTCTCGGCTCATGACGAATAAAAAAAATCATTACAATTAAGATCGGGTGGGAGGGCGGGGCTTATATTTTGACTTTTTTTAAATATACGTAGTCTTCTTTTCAAAACAAGAAATTTGAAACATATTTAAAGTGGTAAATTTTTGTAGGGAAATACGGATTTTACAATTAAACTCTACCCCTCGGTTTGACAACGAATGAGAAATTCATCAGAATTTAGAACAGGGCGTGTATAGGTGGGGCTTAAATTTTGACTCTCTTTTTTACTTAATACACATATAGTTTTCTTGGAACAACACGATTAATTAAGCACATATTACACATGGTAATTTCTTCTATAGAAAAAAATAAGGATTTTGCGATTAAGCTCCCCCTCTTGACTAACGACGAATAAAAAAAAATCATCACATTTAAAATAGGATGGGTGGGCGTGGTTTAACTTTTGCCTTTTTTCTTAATATACGTAATCTTCTTTTCACACTAAAAACTTAAAACATGTTTTAAATGATAAATTTTTGCAAGAAAACATGAATTTCGCAGTTAAGCCCCGCCCCTCGATCTGACATACAACCTATGTTAAAAAAAAAATGGGTCCAACATTTTATACAATTTTTTGTTTTTACAAAATCCTTTTGGCCTAATTCAAGTTTTAGGCTTTCATCATGTTTTTTTTTTCAACATTGATTTGTGTGTGTTATTTTTTATTATTTAATTCAACCAACTACTGCACAATTAGTTCCCGTCGAAATTACCGAGAAAGCAATAAAAACACGAATAAAGGCAGACGTTGATTTTTGAAGATTGTCTTTGATAGAATTTTCGTCTTGTCAGATTACCATCAACTTGAGAGTTTCAATTTAAAACAGAACGATCAAAATAAGTCTTCAAAATTCCCTGGCTGTCTTTAATTGTGTTTTTATTACTTCATTATAAATTATAAATAATTTTATCATGCTCCAATGGCAGTGTCCTCACTTTTTATTTTATTCCAAGTTTGTTAATTTTTTTGTGCGCTAAATATTAGAATGTTTGCAATTTAAGCCCTAAAAATATAACTACAAAAAGTGTGATAAACAATAATATAGCAATGACATTTGAAGATCGATTTAGCGACTAGTTTCTACGCCACTGTTTCGACCAAAATAAACCAACCCGCGAATTTAAAAATGGCGGGTCGTTTTTAGTGTCGCCAACCTCACCTTGTCAATATTCCACCACGTGCTGTGGTAATTTATTTTGCGTCTTTTAAAAAATCAACAAAAACAACCCACTCACAGCACGCATCCTCCTCCCAAACAAACCGCTTTTTTGCCCCGCTTTATTTCCACGTGCACACCCATGATATCCCCGCGTGGTGTTTTTGCGTCTTAGCATGTCCCAGACAGTGAACTTTGTTCCGTTATGGCTGTCAAAATGTTGAACCATGTTGTGTGAAGAAATAAAAACAATAATAATTCCCTGCTTAATAATTGCGTAATCGTCGACAAGGCTGTTACGAAATGAAGAAGTAAAAAAGAACCTCCAAGTGACTCCCAACGCATCGAGACCGCTCAAAACCCGCCAGGTGTGTTCAAGTGCGTCGCTAGCCCAGTTATGAAATAGCGAGATGCCAGCCCCTAAGCAGAGGAAAATCGCCCTCATGGGCTACCGCTCGGTCGGGAAGTCCTCCCTGAGCATGCAGTTCGTCGAGGGGAAGTTCCTGGAGTCGTACGACCCCACGATCGAAAACACATGGAAGAAGTCGCTGAGGATCAACGCCACGGACTACGAGCTCATCCTCGTGGACACCACAGGTCAGGACGAATTCTCCATGTTTCCCTCGCAGTACAGTCTCGACGTGCACGGCTACGTCTTGGTGTACAGCATCGAGAACGCCAAGTCGTTCGAGGTCGTCTCGGCTTTGTACAACAAACTCGTCGACATCACGGGGAAGACCTACTTTCCGTCGGTCCTCGTGGGCAACAAGTCGGACATGTTCCAGTGTAGGGAGGTTTCGGCTGAAGAGGGCCGCAAGCTGGCTGAAAAGTGGAAGGCCACCTTCCTGGAGACGTCCGCCAAGCACAACATCTCGGTGTCTCAGGTTTTCCAGACGTTGCTGAACGATATAGAGCGAGCCGACAGCAACGAGAAGCCCAATTGTAGCATCAATTGACTGTGGCTCAATTTAGCCGAGACTGTACTTGTTATTTTTAACGAAGTGGCATAGTTTTGTATCTATTTTTTTATAAACACTTATTTAATCTATGTGTTGCGGTGCACAGTTGTGTGAGATTCTTGTCATGCATTAACCATTTTATTTAGGTTTAAGTGTAAATGATAACTTAGGTTAGTCCCCCTTTGCGTTCCGCTCGACTAGTTGAATTCTGCTGATAGATTTAAAAACGTTGTTTCGAACTGTACAAATGTTGGACAAATGTATTTTCATAACTGAGCAAGGGGCGTAGGTTTAAGTGTTATTTAGCTGTTTGTATTTATTTCCTATAGAGTTGTAAGTAAATGAATTTTTTTACGATTTGTGGGTGCCGCCATTGATGGAACCGTGCAATTTGGCCCCAGATACGTCTACAGCTTCGCATTTGTGCCCAGAATAACTGATCGCTAATTAAGATTTATATTTAAAGGGATGGGAATTGGTGCGCTTGTTCTGTGCAAAAATGCATTTTTTTGTAGTATATTTTCATCTGTTGCTGTGGTGTATACTTGTTTGTATTAATGTACGATATACGGATATAAATAAATTGGATACTTTATTTTACGATTTTTCTTTCATTCTAGGTCAATGCGGTCACGTGTTGCGACATGTACCAGTCTGGTGGCCGGAAATGGGCCAATTTTCGTTAGTTTTCCCTTGTGAATTTGCTCACAAACGAAACGCATTAAACTGTTCAACGTAAATACTCCATTGTGTTCGTAATTAGTGCTCTCAATGCTAAATGTGCCATCGAAACTAGAGTTTTCATTTTTTTAACAGAAAAACATGACTCTTGTTCAAATATGAAAACAATCGGTGAATCATAGGGCTTCCGGTTACTGAATTAATCGGGATTTCCCAGGCTTTAACGCTCGTTTTTATCGATATCGATGTATGGCGTGTTCGTGTGTGGCTGTTGATGTGGCTACAGATGATAACACAGGTCAAACACGGGATTTTTCCTAAGGAAGATAAAGATATCGACAATATGTTGAAAAAGTCTGCTGTTGGATTCAACTGCTTCATATAGTCTGCGTTTGCTTTGTAAATTATTGCACAATGTTTCGCAATATTAAAAAAAAACTCATTTGTGCTTAATAAAAATAAATTCTAAAAAAACTATTTGGAACCTTGGAAATCCTCACATATATACGATTTTTTTTAAAACTTTACATAGAAGGTTTTAAGAACATTTCTAATATCGGCAGTGTAGCCCCTAGAGTACATTTGTATTTTTTAGGGGCTATACTAGCAACAAATAAAAGTTCGATGCTAACTTCAACAACTTTTAAACAAAAATTTGCATTGGTGGGAGATTTCAAAATTGGCTACTTGTACTACAGTGACATAGATTAATATAGATGCGACATACAGGCTGATTTTGCAAAACCACCCTTATTGACATTAGAGTCCTCAACCGCCAAAGACAAGCGCCAAATTTAAATAGTCGATGCCAATAAAAAAAACTTGTTTCACTACAACTCGTCACCTGAGAACTTGTTTGATCTATAGACCAGAGCGCGCTCAGGCCAATGTCGACTCTAAGCGTTCAGAAGCGATTTGGTTGGTTTAGAGTAGTTTAGTAGTGATGTAAAAATACCGTATTTTATTTTTGCGGTATAAAACCATGGTATAATACCGTTTTATACGGTATTTTATATGGTATTATATTCAAATTTTGGCGCCAACATTTTTCATTTTTAGCTTTATGGTAAATGTCATCTGGTGATTTACTAATTAGTAGAGAGAATAAAAGAAAAACACTTCACGAAGAATTTATTATAAAAAAAAAACAAACAATAAACTATGTAAATATGAAAATAAAACATTTTTCTCAATTAAAAAAAAAATAACAAAAGTAGAGACTATTGTTTTATTGATCTTCATCAACTACGTGATGTTATCTTCGGCAATGTCGATATCATTATCCACATCGTCTTGCAATTTGAGGATATTCTCATTGTCATCCTCATAATCAAAAATATTATTTTGCAATGATAAATTGCTTTTAATGTAACTCAATAAGTTAAAAAAATTACGATTGACATAACCTAAAAATTTAATTTTATACCAGTGGTATAAAAACATTTTATACATACCGTATAATACAGTTTTAAACCGTGGTATTATACAGCCTGTATTATACACTCACATCACTAGTTTAGACTATAGTTTCTGCGGGATATAGTTGTTTGGTCGGTTTTTATAACGAATAAGTGAATATTTTTGGTACTTATTTAGTTTAACTAAGAATTAATTCCTTATTTGTGTTTTATACTAGCAAAACATCTTAAACTAAGAATATTGTTGAAATCGTAATAACCCAATGGATTTTTTTCGGGAAAATGGTTTGGAAACACTGTTCTATTTTGTATGAATTTTTTAATGTTTTTAGTGACAATTTTTGTGGTTGTTACACTGTATGATATTAACAGTGACAAAAAAATAAAGAATTAAAATAATAGAAAATTCTAATAATCGAAAAATCGAAATCTTAAAAAATCGTAAAACCGAAACATGGAAAAATCGAAATATCGAAGAACTGAAAATCGAAAAATGAAACATCAGAAAATCGAAAAGATGTAAAATTCAAAAATCTAAAATTTAAAAACCGAATAACGAAAAACCGAGAAATCGAAAAGTTAAAAATTGAACAATTTATAAATTGAGAAATTGACAATCAAAATATCGAAAACTCCAAATTTCGATAAATCTAGAAATCAAAAAACTTAAACATTCGAAAAATTGAAAAATTGAGTAATTGAAAGATCAAAAGAACGAGAAATCAAAAAGCGATGAAGTCGAAAAATCGAAAAATAGAGAAATCGACAAACAAAAAATTAAAAATTGGAAAAGCGGAAAAATCAAAAAACGAAAAAATGGAAAACCGGAAAAGCTGAGAAACCGAAATAGGCCAAAATAAAAAATGTAAAACTTATAAATCGAAAAGCTGAACAATCAAATCTCAATAAATCGGGAATGAAAAATTAACAAATCGAAAAATTGAAAAACAGAACATCTAAAACCAGGAAGTCGAAAAATCGAAAGATTAAGAAATATTGAAAAATTAAATCTAAAAATCTAAAATTTAAAGATCCAAAAATTGAAAAATCGAAAAAGTAGTAAGGTAGACACATCGAAAAATCCAGCAGCCAAAAATAAAAAAGCTGAAGAATTGAAATATTGGAAAATCCTAAAACTGAAATATCTAAAAACTAAAAAATCGAAAAATCAGAAAGTGAGGTCGAAAATAGAAACCTTAAAAAATCGAAAAATTGAAAAATCAAAAACCTGAAAAATAAAAAATTTAAAGAATTGAAGAACAGGAAAATCGAAACACTCGAAGGTCAAGAAATGGGAAAATCGAAACATGGATTAATTGAAAAATCGGAAAATTGAGAGTTTATAAGAGTCAAATTTGAAGAATTAAAAAATCGAAAATTTGACATAATGACAATTGAAAAACGGAAAATCTAAAACCGGGAAGTCGAAAAATCAAAAGATTAAGAAATCGAAACCTTTGCAAAATTCGAAAACTCGAAAAGTTCAAATATCGAAGAACTGAACTGAAAAATCGAGAAATCGAAAAATCTAAAAAGTAAAATAATCGACACATCTAAAAATCCAGGAGTCAAAAATCGAAAAGTCGAAGAATCGAAATATTGAAACATCCTAAAACTGAGACATCGAAAAGCTGAAAAATGAAAGAAAAACTAAAAACTGGAAAACCTGAAAAATCCGAAAACTGAAATATCCAAAAACTGAGAATCTAAAAAGTTGAAAAATTGAGCAATCTAAAAATCCAAAATGTGAAGTCGAAAAATCGAAACCTTAAAAAAACTAAAAAATCAAAAATCAAAAACCTTAAAAAATCGAAAAATTGAAAGATCAAAAAATTAAAGAATTGAAGAACAGGAAAATCGAAACACTCGAAGGCCAAGAAATGGGAAAATCGAAACATCGATTAATTGAAAAATCGAAAAATTGAGAGTTTATAAAAGTCAAATTTGAAGAATTAAAGAATCGAAAATTTGACAAAATGACAATTGAAAAACAGAAAATCTAAAACCGGAAAGTCGAAAAATCAAAAGATTAAGAAATCGAAACCTTTGCAAAATTCGAAAACTTGAAAAGTTCAAATATCGAAGAACTGAACTGAAAAATCGGGAAATCGAAAAATCGAGAAATCGAAACTCCCAAATTTAAAAAATCGGGTAACTGAAAAATCGAAACACCGAAAAACTGGAAAATCGAAAAGTTAAAAATTGGACAATTTATAAATTGAGAAATTGACAATCAAAATATCGAAAACTCCAAATTTCGATAAATCTAGAAATCAAAAAACTTAAAAATTCGAAAAATTGAAAAATTGAGAGATTGAAAGATCAAAAGAACGAGAAATCAAAAAGCGGTAAAGTCGAAAAATCGAAAAATAGAGAAATTGACAACTAAAAAATTAAAAGTTGAAAAATTGGAAAAGCGGGAAAATCAAAAAGCGAAAAAATGGAAAACCGGAAAAGCTGAGAAACCGAAATAGGCCAAAATAAAAAATTGAAAAACTAACAAATCGAAAAATTGAAAAACAGAACATCTAAAACCAGGAAGTCGAAAAATCGAAACCTTAAAAAAATTAAAAAATGAAAAATCAAAAACCTTTAAAAATCGAAAAATTGAAAAATCTAAAAATCAAAAAATCCAAAAATTTAAAAATCGAAAAAGTAAAAAGGTAGACACATCGAAAAATCCAGCAGTCAAAAATAAAAAAGCCGAAGAATTGAAATGTTGAAAAATCATAAAACTGAAAAATCGAAAAATCAAAAATGTGCAGTCGAAAATAGAAACCTTAAAAAATCGAAAAATTGAAAAATCAAAAAACTAAAAAATAAAAAAATTAAAGAATTGACGAACAGGAAAATCGAAACACTCGAAGGTCAAGAAATGGGAAAATCGAAACATCGATTAATTGAAAAATCGAAAAATTGAGAGTTTATAAAAGTCAAATATGAAGAATTAAAAAATCGAAAATTTGACAAAATAACAATTGAAAAACAGAAAATCTAAAACCGGGAAGTCGAAAAATCAAAAGATTAAGAAATCGAAACCCTTGCAAAATTCGAAAACTTGAAAAGTTCAAATATCGAAGAACTGAACTGAAAAAATCGAGAAATCGAAAAATCTAAAATTTAAAAATCGAAAAAGTAAAATAATCGACACATCGAAAAATCCAGGAGTCAAAAATCGAAAAGTCGAAGAATCGAAATATTGAAACATCCTAAAACTGAGACATCGAAAAGCTGAAAAATGAAAGAAAACCAAAAACTGGAAAACCTGAAAAATCCGAAAACTGAAATATCCAAAAACTAAAAAATGAAAAATCGAAAAATTGAAAAAACGACAACTGAAAAACAGTAACGTCGAAAAATCGATAGATTAAGAAATCAAAACATTTGAAATATTCGAAAAAGTAAAAGAATCGAAGAAAAATCCCAAAGCTGACATATCGAAAAACTGAAAAATGACAGAAAAACTAAAAATGCGAAACTAAATCGGGAAATCAAAACATT